TTCACTTCCCAGTCCTCCTTTTCCTACACTTAGAATATTTTGTTTTTTATTAACCAGTAGACGACGTGGACACGAGTTCAAGTGCCTAATAAGATGAGTTGTAGGACCCCCAACCTTAGTAGCAAGCTTTGTCTTGCAAAATTTGCATTTTGCTTTTTTACTACCATCCGGCTCTGTAACTATCTCAAAGTCATTCCAGACATGAGATGTTTTTTTTCTTTTCTTTGTTTGAAATGGGCTTTCTTTACTGACCTCAACATCAATCACTTCATTAACCTCATCAATTGGCCTTTTGGCATTTTCATTTTTACTATCCATTTCTAAACTCTCTGAATCTGATGTTGAAGAATTCAAAGAGAAATCTGGATTTTCATTTGACATAGCTGTATATAAAAAATTAAAAAAAAAAAACTACTACAGTATCCAAAAAAAAGAAAAAAGAAAAAAAAGAAAAAGAAAATGATAGAGTAAAACTTAAATCCAAAGAGATGCTAAATAAGATATATTGGCAAAATCTGTAAAAGGGTTGGAAGAAGATATTTAACAGGAGAGAGAACATCCAAACATATAATATAATTAAAGGTTCGTACTGTGACTGCAAACTTTAGTTATAATTTAGTCTTTGTAAGTGTGAAGAGTGAAGACCTACAAGTGTCTGTGCTGGGAGCTATTGAATGTCTCCAGCTCAATTGACATGGCAACAAGAAACATCACTAAAACACAGCCCACATATACCTTGTGCGATGACATGACATTGCAAACACATGCAATCAAATTCATCAATTACTAAACACCTACCACTGTATCAAATTAATGTCCAGTTTGAGTTCAATTTTTTTTACATAATTTAGCACATCATAATATCTAAAAAAAAATGTCGGATCTAATTGTTCAGATATAATATAATAAATGTAAAATGTTATGTGTAATTATCCATATATAATATAATAACAAGAAATCATTGCGAATTCGGGAAGTAAAAAATTGAATCAATAAAGTAGGAAAAAATTCTCTCTCACAGTTCGCACTTGGAGGGTGAAAAATTGAAATAGATATTTCCCCACTAATCTGTAAAGAACTAATTCACGAGATAGAACAGAATGGTTGAATCCACACCCAAAAAAAATAAAGAATAATAAAATAAATAAATTAGGATTTCTTACCAAAAGCAAAGATTCAGCCTCAATTTCCTCTGATGTCTGAAACACCAAGAGATTAGCTTCTTTGATCTGTTCCAAAATTCCCTGTAACTTATCTTGCGGCAGTCTAGATCGAGACGAGATTGTCAACCTTCAGGCAAGGTAACTGGTTAGCCCCAAAGGACTTTCGAAGAAGAGGCCTCACAATTCGCTCACTCCAAAGTCCAGAAGACGGAACTGGGGAACTGAAGATCAAGCCTCACAAGTCACAATAATTCAATAAATCGTCTTTGTTGGAGAATGAATAAGGGAAGATGCCAGATGGAGATAAAATTAACCCGGTCAAGAGATTCGTGAGATTTCCCAACAGTAACAGATAAGATTTGAGATTTCAAAGAGATAAGGTAAGTTTTAATCAATTGACAGGTGTGCAAATCTGCAATAGTTTATAATTTAATTTATTTTCTTTTGGGTACTTATGTTATAAATTATAATAAAATCATATATATATATATAATATATATAATATATATTACATATATAAATATTAACGAGCCTAAACGAGCTCTGTTCACGAACATTAACGAGCCTAAACGAGCTCATGTTCACGAGCCTAAGCGAGCCGAGCCCAGCGTTGCTCAAGCTCGGCTCGTTTGCTTAATGAACGAGCCCGAGCCGAGCCCTTAACGAGCCGAGCCCGAGCTGTTCATGAACAGCTCGGCTCATTTGCAGCCCTATATACAACCACCTATTAAAGCTTGAGTATAGTGACACCTTGATTGCAAAACCTCATTTTCAGTGAATTCACCGCTAAAATGAAACAAAAATGACTATGAAAACAATGAAAAGAACAAATAGATCTACACATGTAGAGATGTTGCAGAAACACACTCTAAAAGAAATAACAATATTGACTTTTTTGCTGTGAACAAGAAACATAAAGAAACACAGAATCAGACTAAAATAAAGATACAAGTGATTGTCACTGTATAAGAGCAACAGATTATAATAACATTAAAGATGGTATAAAAGCATAAGATTCTAAAGATTCTTGGAGAGACCTTAGACGGGTAGCGTTCCGGCCATTTCTCCCTTGCTTCATTGGTCGGAACTGGATTTCCGAGGAACCTGGATTTATTATCCTCCGTCCGAAAAGTCTTTTTCTTCTTTACTGCAAAAGAAGACTCTAACGATGACGGAATGTCCTGCTGGACTTTCGCTTAGCGTCCCTGGTCCCGAGCCATTAGATGTTGATCCGAAAAAGAAAAATAACTAGGTATCAAGGAGGGGGAGAAAGGGGATATGAGAGAGATAAATAGTTCAGAGGCGCAACACGCAAAGGGTACGTTTGAACTTTTCAGAGAATTTTATTTTATTTTATTATTATTATTTTGTTTCCTCGCAAAAAAACTAAAGAAACGTCATACGGCATCTACATATAAAAAAACATGAACCAAGGCCATAGATCAAAGCAGATGAAACTACAACAGGCCTGAACCCACAAACTAACACCCCTTATAGTCAATATCACATTCTTGACAATTAAACGAAAGGATATAAGTAGTAGAGAAACAAGTAGTCCGACAAAAGAAAATGAACAGGACCAACATAAAGACATAAGCCAAACCCAATATATACAGGACACAGAACTAACCAAGCAAAACTAAAACCTCTAACAGAACCAAATAGATAAGCGTATCCAACACACCACACTCGCACAGACACTTCTCACAAGAAAAGATAAACAAGACAGGTCCAGAATTGTTCCACAGTAGGCACCACCATGAACAGGACCAAAAACGTGGTACTACGGCATGCAAGCATAACCATGCACATCACAACACTTGGGCAAGATAAAGGCTGCTACACAGTACATCTCCGACCTCGGAAATAGAGCACCGTCTTAAAAAAACATGAGAAGAGTCAAGAAGCTGGCCCCACCGCAGGAAAATAACTCCAGTAAAACATCATGCAAACACATATATCATTTTTCAGAGAATGGAGCGGGCGGGGAAGTAAGAGATTGCTTCTATATCCTTTTGACCGAGACCGACCCTTGAAATTTAAAAAATACTGTAATACTACTAATATACACCGTCACAAATACAATCAAGAAACCCAACGAAAATACAAATAAAAATTAGAAATATTTATTAGGCAATTAATATTTATTGAATTATTTTCTTAAATTTCTTCTATAATTATCCTTCCTATTATAGATTTTCTTGAAAAATATAAAGAACATAACATCACTAAAGAGAACCAAGACCAAGATTTTCGATTATGTTATCCTAATAAAAGAATTAATTGTGTGTTTGATGTGCAATAATGGAATGGAATGAAATATTCATTTCAATCATTCTTTTATTTAACATACAATTTAAAGTGAAAATATTCATTATATTGGAATGAAAATTTATTTCTTGTACTGAAAATCTATTCCACAACTAAACCTGACAATTTCATTCTCAAATAAATAAATATATATATATATATATATATATATATATATTAATTAAACTTCCCAAAGAATCAGTAACTTTAAATTTTTTTATTTTTTAATTAGTAATTTAATTAAAATGGCTTATTAAATTAATATTAAATTTTTAGTTATTTAATTCAAATATAATTCTTAGTAATATATTATTAGTAGTTGATAAAAAAGGAAATACATATAAATAAATAATAGTATAAATATTTAAGATACTATCAATAAATTTAATTTCATTTAGTATTGCCAATTAAATGTCTTTTAAAATTAGTTATTTCTTTTATGTGAAGAGTTTATGTTTAAAATTATATTTATCACTAAAAAATAGAGTTCGTGGTCAAAAGTAGAGTTTCGATCCCACCCAACAAGTAATGGAAATAGCATAGATTGGCGGAGATGATGAAAACTCTTTATTTATTTTGCTAAAACAAAATAGAAGAGTCTATGTTTAATGAAAACAGTTTTATATTTCCTAATAAAAAATTGAAATAATAAAATTGTTATGTATGTGTGTGCCTTGTGTGGGGTCCACATGAGTGGAAAAAATTGTGGCATATTGATAATGGCAGCAAGCTTGTCTTAGAAGCTGCTTGCTGCCCACGATTTTGTTTGCCTATAAATAGGCATTATGTGTATGTAATGTGTGGTGTGTGAAAAAACCAAAGCTGTAAAGCTTCTCTCTCTGTTCGTCCTCTCTCTTTCTTCCTTTTCTCTTTTACTCTAAAACTTTGTCCTAATTTCTCTTATACTATTACTCTCTCTATATATATATATACACATATATTTATTATACGTTATCAGCACGAGCTCCATCCATCTCAGATTTGAAGAAAAAGCTTTCTCTTCCTCTTTTTATCCCAACTATATATCTATTTTTGTGATATTAGTTTTGATAAATTGTTGGGTTGGTTTGCTTTATTAAAGAAAATAGTATTTCTAATTCCAAAGGGTAAGAAAATTGTAATTATAGATTGTTGTTCATAAAATAAATTTGTTCATTTAAATAATATATATGCTTACACTATGGTCGGTTCTACCACCTTTATTATTTACTTATCCACTAATTATGGTCGGTCTTACCACCTTTATTATTTAATGTTTTATGGCTGGTTTTACCGCCTTTATTGTTTCATAATTTATTTACTATGGCTGGACTTACCATCTTTGTTATTTAAATAATTTATATTATGTTATTATTTCATTCAATGCCATTTTATTTATATATTATGCTAAACTATATTTTTATATTATTGTCACATCTAGTTATTCTAAAAAAATCAAATCTGACAAAGCTGGAATTCGTGGCTCTGGATATTTCTGGCAAAAATTATATATCATGGATTCTGGATGCTCAGATCCATTTGGATGCCATGAGCCTTGGAGACACAATTAAAGAAAACAACGATGCATCATTGCAAGATAAAACAAAGGCCATGATTTTCCTCCAGCGCCATATTAGTGAGGAACTGAAAACTGAATACCTCACTGAAAGAGATCCACTTTGTTTGTGGAATAATTTGAAAGAAAGATATGATCATCAAAAAACAGTCATCCTCCCAAAGGCCAGGGCTGATTGGCTGCAACTGAGGTTGCAAGATTTTAAAACTGTGGCTGAATATAACTCTGCTCTATTCAAAATCAGCTCTATATTGAAATTATGTGGTGATACTGTTACTGATGAACTTTTGCTAGAAAAAACATTCACCACATTTCACGCCTCGAATGTACTCTTGCAACAACAATATCGAGAACGTAGATTTAAAAAATATTCAAAGCTGATATCATGTTTGCTTGTGGTAGAGCAAAATAATGATCTTTTATTGAGAAACCACCAGTCCTATCCAACTAGATCGATACCGATCCCTGAAACATATGTTGCCTCATCCCGTGGTCGTGGACGTGGTCGTGGTGGTAGAAATGAATATGAGGTAAAAATAACTACCACAATAATGAATATGGTCGTGGTAGAAATCATTCTTATTATCGTGAAGGATATCAATCTTCACATTTTCGCAATCAGAGATCCACACCATATCCTCAAAGGAGAGATCATCATGAAATGAAACAGGGAAAAGGGAAGGATGTGGCTCAACCTTCCAAGGCACACGATAATACTTGTTATCGGTATGGCATGACAGGGTATTGGCAAAGTATTTGTCGTACACTTAAGCATTTGGCTGAACTTTACCAAGCCTCAATGAAAGAAAAGGAAAAACAAAAGGAAATGAATTTCTTTGATCATGATGAGCCAGTTGACATCACAAATCTAGAAATGAATTTCATTAATAATAATGAGCTAGTTAACATCACAAATTTGGATGTATCAGATTTCTTTGAGGATCGTAATGAAAAGATAGACTTTCTGATTGGTGATGCAATGTCCACACCAATTAATCTTTTTTTTTTTTTTTTTTTTTTCATATTCTGCCTGTTATGTTTTTATTTTCCTTATATTAAAGTTTTTATCCTCTAGTTTGTATTAAAGTTTATTTTGTTATAAAAGTTTCTTTTCTGATAAAGAAATTTGCATGAATAAGAATGGATCTGACTAGTTCAAATATAAATGGAAAAAACATGTCTTGCAGATAATGGAACAACACATACAATCTTTCGAGATCAAAAATATTTTTCCCACTTAATTCTATCAGACGTCAGTGTCAGTACCATATCAGGTCCCACCTACTTGATTAAAGGCTCTGGACTAGCCAACATCATTTTACCACACGGAACAAGATTACAAATCAATGATACCTTATATTCTACAAGATCTCGGAGAAATCTGTTGAGTTTTAAAAACTTGCGTCGTAATGGGTATCATATTGAGACCGCAAATGAAAGAAATGTGGAATATCTCTACATGACTTCCATTACCTCAGGCAAGAAGCTGATATTAGAAAAACTACCTATTTTTTCTTCTGGGTTACACTATACAACCATTAGAACAATTGAATCAAATGCTGTGATCCATAAAAAATCTTGTGACCCAAAACTTTTTATGCTTTGACATGATCGACTTGTTCACCCAGGGAGTACAATGATGCGTCGAATTATTGAAAATTTACATGGACACCCACTAAAGGATCAAAAAATCATCTTACCAAATGATCATCTGTGTATCGCCTGCTCACAAGGTAAGTTGATTATCAGACCATCCCCTTCAAAAGTCATTGTTGAGTTTCCCCCATTTTTGCAACGAATTCACGGGGATATATGTAGGCTAATTCATCCACCCTGTAGACCATTTCGCTATTTTATGGTCTTAATTGATGCTTCAATAAGATGGTCACATGTTTGTCTGCTTTCTACTCGTAATGTTGCATTTGCTAAACTTCTTGTTCAAATCATCAAATTACGGGCACACTTTCCTGATTACCCAATTAAGACAAATTCGTCTTGATAATGCCGCTGAGTTTTCTTCTCAAGATTTTGATGATTATTACATGTCAGTTGGAATTAATGTTGAACACCCTGTTGCACACACTCATACTTAAAATGGTATAGCTGAATCCTTTATTAAAAGACTTCAGTTGATTGGTCGTCCTTTGCTTATGAGAACAAAATTACCTGTCTCTGCCTGGGCTCATGCTATATTGCATACTGTATAATACCCCTAATTTAAAAAGAATAGTCTCGGTATTATTTTAATAGTTTTAATTGCATTTAATTATTTAGTTGTTTTCTTGGCTGATTGTTTACTTGTTTAATTGATTTAATTATTTGTTTAAATTGAATTGTATGTGATGATGTGTATTTATTTAGGAATTTAATTGTTTTATTTTTATTTTTATTTTATTTTTATATTTTTAAGGAATTGGATATGGATAGTAGTAATTGACCAATTAATTGGACTGGCATGGACTACTTGGATAAGGGGTTTAATGGGTACGGATAATTACCCATGTATATGTATATTTAATAAATAAATAAATAAATATATATATATATATATATATATATATATATATATAAGGAAAGTCCTTTAATAATAATCTGATATATATTTATATATTATATATAAAAAAGAGTACACATAGATTATACGTAATATATATTTAAGTTACTTTTTTAATATTTAAATTTTATTTTATTTTTATTTTTATTTTATTTTAGTTTGTCTTGGAATGGGAAAAGGATTAGGGTTATTTTAGTTGCCTATAAATATATAACTATATAGTTGTGAAAGAGGTTAGAAAATATATCACGTACTATATTTTGAAGAGAGAAAGAAGGAAGAGGAAGGAAGAGAAAGAAGGAAGAAGGAGGCTAGGATTTTTATCAAATCCCTAAAGGTAATTTTTAATTATTCTCTTCTCCTTTGATTCGTACCTTATGCATGCTATATTAATTCTAGGTTCTTTAAATAAATTAATTAGATCAAACTACATGGATTAATATAGAAATTTCACTTCGTGCTTTAATAATGAGTTTTAATATTTTTTCTTTTATACTGAACTGGGCGTCATTGGTGGGCATGATTTTTAATTTATTTTGTTTTATTTTCACTTGAATTAGTGTTAGCGTAAGTCAGTATCCTATATAAATATGAAATCAACATTTATTTATGCATAAAGCATGCACATGAAACGAGGGGTTAAGTATACTAAATTAAAGCACAAATTGATTCATGTATGTGAAGTCAAAGTTAGACCTCAAAAGCAGTTTTGTGTAAAAAGGTTTGAAATCAAATTTGTTTGTTTCTTAAATTCGGCACGTCGAACGAGGAAGCAACCATCGGTTTGGTAGTTCTTATATTCTAGAATTTCTATGAATTGAATTGTAGCAACAATCAGTTTGGGTTATTTTTTTTCATGGTTGGTGCACGCCGAATGAGGAAGAGCAAGATAATGACTTTAAAATAAATTAGTTTATAATAGAACTATAATTGGAATTTGTTTTATTCATGAAGTGTACAGGTAAAACGAAATTGGCATAAAGTATAAGTCAGTTTGATACAACAGTATTGGTTTTGCATTAAATAAATTGTATGTGAATCTGATTAAGGTAAGAATATTAAATTAATATTTATTATTTTTGAGTGATGGATCTGAATTAAATATTTATTTAATTTAATTAGACTCATTAAGAATTGGAATACATGATTTAAGTTTGCATGCTAAGTATGGAATTTAATTAATTTAAAAGGATAAATTAATTAAATATTATTGGATTAAATTATTTTAATCCATTGCTAGATTTAAATTAATTAAATCAGAACATGGAGATGTACAACTTAGTGGATATGCATGTTAATTTTTTATAATGTAAATTAAATACATGCTACTTAGAATTGATATTTTGCTCAAATAAATGCAAATGATGTGTTTATGATCTATATCATATTTATTTGGATTATTATATGTAAATATTATTTACATTATCTTTGAATTGAAAACTTTTATTGGATTATGATATGGATTAATGCACCATTATGGGATGGGGGCATATTAAGGACGGATTAACTTAAGAGTTAAGTCCTACCTATTTTTAATAAGGGAACGGATTAACCATAGTGTTAAGTCCTACTTATTCGTGTCAGGTCAACGGAATAGTTGGATGACATATAATTAAAATAATAATTGGATAGTTTATTTTGATGATTGGATAGGACAGATTTTACATATATAATTATATGCCATGATATGAGCTTAAGTCTCAGGATCAGTGGTTAGGGTGCGTATATTGCCAGGGATGTGTAGCTAGATATAGCGTAGTTGTGTACCCTGGTAGGTCTAGGTACTCATACCCATTATATGTGCGTTTTGCATGTTGCCTACTATTCAGGTTGAGACAATTCTATAGACTAGTGAGGTTCCTTTAGTGTATATATATCTATATATGAACTATTTAGTTATTGTTGAATTAATTAGGATGCATACGTGTATCGGGTCTCTGTTTGGGATATAGTAGATTAGAACTTGTTTGTGAGTCTGACCCACTATTATTTTTCAGGTGTTCGTCAGTTCCAGTCTTAGAGATTATTCGTGCCAAGCAGAGACAGTCATTCACTCTTTCGACTCTACGTAGGACTCTTCTTCATGATTTAATTAATAGTTTTATTTCAGTTCAGTTAATTCAGTTGGTATATTATTAGGGGTTCACAATATGGATTCCCGAGTTGTAATTTTAATTAATTACTGGTATTAGAGGATTGGAGGATTTTAGTATGGGATTTTTAATTATTTCTATTTGAGGATTTTTAAATAAGGATTTAATATTTAGTTTCCTTCAGCTTCTTATTTATTTATTATTCTTTTTGTATTCAAATGCTTGTTTAAATATTAATTGTATGATATTCCTTGTATTCTGTGCTCGGACTTAATCACCCGTGGCTCTAGAATTGAGGGGTATCACATGCTGCATCACTAGTTCGTATACGACCAACTACTTATCATAAGTACTCACCATTGCAACTTGTTTTTGGTTAATAACCAAATATCTCCCACATATGAGTTTTTGGTTGTACTGTATATGTTCCAATTGCACCACCCCAATGCACTAAAATGGGTCCTCAACGTAGACTTGGAATTTATGTTGATTTTGATTCTCCATCTATTATTAGATATCTTAAACCCTTGACAGGTGATGTCTTTAAAGCACGATTTGCTGACTGTCATTTTGATGAGACTGTTTTCCCACCATTAGGGGAAGAAATGGCACAGCAACAACGTGATCTTACTTGAAATGCCTTGGAATTGTCTCATTTTGATCCTCGCACAAATCAATGTGAATGAGAAGTTCAGAGGATCATTCAATGTCAATGCGTCAACTAAAGGATCTTCAAGGTTGATTTAATGAGGGGGAGCAATTGATCAAAGAGGTATTGGCATGATGTACTCTTTTTCCTTCGTCCAGGTTTTGTCCCACTGGGTTTTCCTAGCAAGGTTTTAATGAGGCAGTTTTAATCTATGTAATACCATTTTTCAGATACACAAGAATGCTGTACTTTTTTTCCTTCACTAGGATTTTGTCCCACTGAGTTTTCTTTAGTAAGGTTTTAACGAGGCATATTCTTAATATAGGATTGTGGACCCCAAGGGGGAGTGTTATGTATGTGTGTGCCTTGTGTAGGGTCCACATGAGTGGAAAAAATTGTGGCATATTGATAATGGCAGCAAGCTTGTCTGAGAAGCTGTTTGCTGCCCACGATTTTGTTTACCTATAAATAGGCATTATGTGTATGTAATGTGTGGTGTGTGAAAAAACCAAAGCTGTAAAGCTTCTCTCTCTTTTTCCCTCTCTCTCTCTCTCTCTCTTTCTTCTCTCTCTCACTATAAAACTTTATCATAATTTCTCTTATACTATCACTCTCTCTTTATATATATATATATACGCATATATTTATTATAAAAATAATATTAAAAACAATTAAAATAGAATTAGAAAAAGGTAAATTTATATTTTAGGAAAAAGCTAGAAAGAGAATTAAATAGAAGAGGAAAATATTTTATTAAATACATTATAAAAATTAAAAATAAATAAATAATGTACAGAAACATTTTTTTTTTTTTGCAAGTACCGAAACTCAATAACACACTAAAACTAAATAATGTTTTGAACTCTTTGTGTATGAATATATTTTATATGTAGTAGCATAATTCACGTGCAACACACGTGGTAAAATAATAATTGTTGAAAATGTAAAAATTAGGATAAAGTACAGTCACACTTCCTGAGGTTTGACAAAAGAACACTTAGAGAAAACTTACTTATTTTTTAGACAAAGACACCCCCTGAAGGTTCAAAAATGGACAAAGACACCTTAATTTAAAAGAAAAATTGACCGAAAACGAAAACGAAAACGAATATTTTTATTTAAGCGCTTAGCATGACTATATCATAAACATTATAGTTTTCGGCGGACTAGTAATCCGAAAACGAATATTTTTATTTAAGCGCTTAGCATGACTATGTTTCCGGGAGTGTGAGTGTGTTCCGAATTATCCCATTACTTGATTTCGATTTTTATTTCCAAGTTGACATTTATGTGTTATTACAACTTGTGGATTTATGTACATTACATTATATCATTTATGCTTGTCTTGATGAATGAATTAATATTGTTCATGCTAGACTAGGATGATCCTATTTAGGTTTCCCCCTGAGACTAGACGTTAGGGAGCATGTTCCTTGTATTGTATAGCCATGCAATGTTTGTAAAATTTTAAGAAACTTAGTTTATATTTATGAGACATTCTTACGGAGCAATTCGTTGCTCACCCCGTTGATTTTTATATTTTTCAGGAGAGGGCATTACCCAAGAGGATGTTTCTTATCCCTAGCTTGATTGGGATCTTGGCAACATTTTTAAGCTACTTGTGATAATTGTGACATCCAATGTGTAGCTTACTTTTGGACCTGTATTTTGACACATGGTGTATTTTGAATATTATATTTGATGACATGTTTGTAATATTTTTTTGGAGGAGGGAAATGATGTAGGAACTCACCCATCTATCTTTTGAAGTTCTTATGGAATTTTCTCTCTTATTTTTACTTATGTAATCCCTTAACATTATTTCTCACCTTATGGATTGTAATGAGGCCAGGACTTATATAGTGAGATTGAACAATAATTGTTTAAGTTGTGTACATGTGGGTTCATTTGGATAGTCTAATATAAATAGTTAATTAATCATGCTATTATTTATTTTTATGAAACTATTATTATTATTTTTATTTTTATTATTATTATTTTCAATGAAACTATGATCAGTGTATGTGCATGTCCATGTACATTCAAAATAAATCCAAGAATTGACTTTCTCAGTGAGGCCACTTAATATTGTTATACATGTATGAGACCATTTGTTGCCATAAATTGAATTATTGTCATATATATATATATAGATTCATTTTAGTATCATCAGTTAATGTCATGTTGTGGTTCAAAGGTTTAACCCACTACCGTGTTGACAACAACCAAGCTAGTTCACCTGCCACCATATGTGTCTATTTTAGGCTACCTAATGCAAACATACTGTATTGTCGACTAAATGATATTCACTTAATTAATTAATAATAATAATAATATTTTTATTTACTTATTATTTATTTACCCAAGTGAACCTAATTATTTATTTATTCTATTTATTTGCTTCTTTTTTTTTCATTTTCTTTTTTTTTTTCCTTCGCGACCTGAGTCACGGGTTTCGGGGTGTGACAACTACTCATAATAATTCTATATATATGCAAAATTAATTTTATATTTACTTTTTTATAATGGATTTTGAATAATTATTTAGAACATATATATATATATATATATATTTTTTTTTTTCCCTAAATGGAGGAAATTTTATAGATAAAACAATAAGGTACATAAGAAAAATGAGGAAAAGTCCTCACAAGGACGCCCTATATTTAGAACATATTTTTATATTTTATAATATTATGTATTTCAGTAAATATATAAAAACACTTCCATTAGTAATGGACTCCTAAAAATTATAGATCAATCACTAATAAAATCCTAAACTTTATCAACTACTTCTAAAAAGTTTGTGTATAAAATTATTCTTATATTTTTGTTCTGGATCCTATCTATTTTTTCTACTTGCAATCTCTACTAATACAATTCTAAACCCTATCAATTATTCTATCCACCTAGAAAATTAAATTTATGTGTTTTTCTATTCTATATAAGTATTTTACTTTATGATCATACAAACACGCATGGTGGTGGTGGTGACTATTAACATTCAAGTTTTAATTCTTATAAACTGTAAACCAATTAATTAAAAATTAGGATTATTTTTTACTGAACTTCCACAATTTTGTTTAGGTTTTAATATTAGTCTAAAATAAAAAACAAAAAAATAATGTAGAGATTGATCATATTTTAAATAATTATGTTAGTCAACAAACAATTAATTAAAAAACGTTAAGATAAATAGTGCCTTTTTGTTTAAATTCCAAATTTACCCTCAATTTATTTTATACCAAACTATCCTTGTCACAATCACCTCCGTTTTTTTCTCTATTTTGCGACTGCCAATAATTGTTATTGCAAAGACTAAAAAGAATTCAAGCCTTCTTTCAGCGGAACCTGATTAAGTGGGGATGATTTATGTTTTCTTTTACTACGCAATAAACAAGTTGGGATTTTATTGGTGGTATCAGACCAATTCAAAACTTCATATTACCACTCATATTGCATATATAAAAAAAACATGATAATTATATATTCCTTCCGTCCTATATTAATTGTCCGCATTAAAAAATTGACTCACAATTTTTGTTAGTCAAAGTTATCGAAATAGACATCTAATATATGATATAGGTACTATATAAGTATAAAAAATAAATATGACTAAAAATGACTCAAAAATAAAAGATAGTAATAAGTTAAAATTTTTTAAATGAACAACCATTATAGAATGGAAATAATATTATATAATCTTGTGCACAAGATCTTACGACGTACGTACGATGATAGATTTTATATGGTGTTTTTGTCAGTAGGGATTCTTGGTACAATTGCACAGAGCATTTACAGTTGGGCAGGCTATTGCCAAAACCTAAACTCAGTACCAAATATATTTGGAAGAGAAATGGTTCTGAAAGTTTTTTACCAAACCAATCAAAACGTATTTTAATCTATATCTTTTAGTAGCCTTAAAAGAACCAAAGGCTGAAAGACATTACCTCTAGAAGCTTCGAGTGCCTTGATCAGTTAAGTTTCTCAATTTTCCATATCTGAATGTTCTTTATCAATGGCCATGCCACTACAAGATATACATAACAAATAACCTGCATCGCTAACGATAATACAAAACGGATTCAGGAATAAGATGAAATGTATATCTCATATGTGGTACCAATGCCATGTCTCTCAAATTGACATTGCCGCCTGCGGAAGAGTTCCCTCCTTATAGGCTGAAGTGCCAAAAAAAACACTCAGCCAAAAATAGGAGTGACAGGCTGGGTATGAGCATTTTTATTGCAAAATGCTATATTTTCATGTCAAATTTATATTTTAAGAAGAGTTACAGTGTCAAAATGTTATATTTTTACAATTATGCTCCAATAGTGCATTTCATCCAAAATGCTATTTTTTGACACAACAACCATTCTAAATTTTGAGAGCTCATTGGAGTGTCTTATTTTCATTTTTGTAACTTTTAACAATCTCAACATATGAGAGGTTTTTTGAGAGAGCTCATTGGAGTGCCTATTTTCATCCACTTGCTATATTTTGAGTTTGAGAGCTGCTATATTTGAGAATCTCAAAATATGAGAGGTTTTTTGAAAGGCTATTGGAGTTATTTTCATCTACCTGCTAATTTTGAGTCCATTGGAGATGCTCAAGTGATTATTGATGGGGCCGTGTAAGTACTGAGGGTAGTTTTGGAATTTTATTAAAAATTCCTTAAAAGTTAACATTGTTTAAAAAATTCCCCTGCTTCTTTTGTTCTTTGTAGCTAACTCAACGAGCAATGTCACTAATCCTGATGTTGAGCTTGTATAAGGGGCAGGTCATATTGATCCTGTAAAAATTGTAAAACCTGGTTTAGTATATGATGCCGGAGAGCTTGATTATGTGAAATTTTTGTGTGGCCAAGGTTATAGCACTGAGCATTTGCAACATATCACTGGTGACAATATCAATTGCAGTGAAGTTGGCAATGGGGCTCTTTGGAATCTCAATTATCCTTCATTTGCTTTGTCTTTTTAATCTGAAAACCCTATTGGTGTCTTCCACGGGACTGTTACAAATGTTGGTTCATCGGTGTCCACTTACAAGGCAACTATGATAGCATTTGTAGGACTTAATATCTAAGTTGAGCCAAATGTTTTTACTTTTAAGTCACTGGGTCAGAAGCAGTCTTGTGTGATTAATGTCACAAGCCATATGTACTCGTAAAAAAACAAAGAAAAAGAAAAATACGAATATGCCCTTTCAAAAAAAATTTAATTTTTTAATTTGACAATTGGGTAGACACGATGTATAAAATTAATCCACGCTATACGTAAAATTTAATGTTTGTTTTTTTGGGGTGATGCAACATAAGTGTGTGTGTACGTGTGCGTGTATATATATATATAATTATATATACACATATTTGATTATTGCATGACCTATTTGATCATATCATATTCACTTCAAACAAAAAGAAACTATCCTAACAATATAGTATTATGTATTTGAATATAGGTCCCATCCGTACGTAGACCAATGTACCATATAGCCATTTTTTACCCAAAATTTCTTTTGCGTGGCACTAGTGCATTCTTGTTTATCATATACCACATTAATTAGGAGGGATTATAACCTGATTATGTATGTACGAACAATTAAAAAATAAATAAATTGATTTTGGGATTCCAGAAATTTCCACAGAAGACAAAACTTATAGGTAGCCACAATAATACATAATTGTATTTTGTCTGACCGCCAGACCGACGATGAAATTGTAACCAACTTACGTGTATTTGAGACCAAATGAGGGCTTAATGATTACTATGTTTTACTGCTATGATAGTTTTCATAGGGCTTGTTGCAATTGAAGGGCGAGTGTGTGAATTCGAGCATGAAAATGTTTAAGGTTACGCCTGACCACCAGTATTTCTTTGACAGCTTTCAGATGGAGAATTTCCATGTTTTTTTCTCTTTTTGGCAAATCAGTGAAAGGGAGAATTGGAACACAACACTGGCATATCCCAACTTACTTGGAGAATTATATGCTCTCTCAATTAAGTCATTAATAATGTCCGAATACTCAGTAAAATAGTTGTTGAAGAAAGCTTATGTAGCGCTCTAATTTTGATTGGTTTCACTGTGCTGCCTTCTTTATTTTGAGCACGTGCAGAAGCAGCACTTATAAGTTAAAAGCTACAATAATAGGAAGTGAAAACGTGTCAAGAAAAAGATGGTCAAATATATCCCTATTTCTTCACCGATAACGATTGAAGTTGGCACACAGAGTCATTCATTGAGGTAAATAAGTAAATTGGATGAAAGGAGAAAAAGTGGGATGAACAACACATCAATAGAAAAGAGATTTTATGTTTTTTCTCTTTTTGTTTCGTGGGATATATGGAATAGAAATAAATAAACTCACAGCTTAAGCCCTGTTTGGTAAAGTTGTAATTTTGCTGTTTAGTTTTTTAAAAGAGAAAATATGTTTTGTAAATTTATTTTGTATTTAAAATTGTCTCTTTTATTTACTATTAGAGTATAATTGAAAAATAATAAAATAATATTTTATTTACTATTCAAGTATAATTGAAAAATAATAAAATAATAAAATTGATTCATTTATTTACTATTAGAGTATAATTGAAAAATAATAAAATAATATTTTATTTACTATTCAAGTATAATTGAAAATTAATAAAATAATAAAATTGATTCTTTTATTTACTATTGGAGTATAACGAAAAATAATAAAATAATATTTTATTTATTATTCAAGTCGAATTGAAAATTAATAAAATTGACTCTTTTATTTACTATTAGATTATAATTGAAAATTAATAAAATATTATTTATTTAGTATTCAAGTATATTGAAAAATAATAAATAATAAAATCAAAATTTTCTAATTGTGAAAAATAAAAAAATTATAAATAACGTATTTGAAAACCAAAACTTCATTTTGGAGTTGTAGGAATTGTAAAGGAAATGACAACTAGTTTTCAAAAGTTTTGAAATGTGAAATGTCAAAATAGAATTACCAAACGGATTTTGTTCCCTTTAAAAAAAAATGAAAACGGAAACTGAAAACTTTACCAAATAGGGTTAATCTTTTTTTTTTAAAAGTTTTAAATTGTTTTTACTATTATATACCCATTGCTATTTATGATACTTTAACTTATAGAAGATAGTTTTGTAATTTAAAAAATATATAATTTAGAATAACATAATATTGTAAATTAAAATTTGTATAATAATTCCACTTGTCTTCCCTACTCTCTTCCATTAATCTTTAGAAGGATGATATTTTCTAAAAGATGAATAATGACTCATTGCAGAAAGAAGTTTGTTCCTATGAAAAAAGTTTGTTCCTTCATAGTTCCTATAGTCCCTCTATGCTTCTTCAGTACTTCTTTCATTTTCACCAAACAAAGCATGGTAGTAACAAGAATTCTTGTTGGACAATATTGAAATCACAAAAATAAATAAAAATAATAAATAAATATAATTATTCTAATACTACTATTTCTTCACTCTTGTATTCGTTTATTTATAGTCTTTCTAATTTTGTTGAGACGACAATCAACCGACTTAGACACAGGGCTAGACACACCTTTCGTGTCTAGTTAGACTTATGTCGGCTTTACCAATGCATCTTAAATGGGCTTTGTCTAGTCAATCGATTCGATAAAAAAAAAAGGTAGAAAACAATATTTAATTTATGTATATTAGTACCATACCATACATAAATATATGCGGGTTTTATTATTGATGTTATCAAATGCAATACAACAAAGGCCTTTTGGCCTACTGATATCAACGCCTCATGGTGAGAAAAATAAATAGTTCCTAGTTAAGTCTTTTTGAAAACTATATGTATAATAATTTTAAAGTAAAAGTAATTCACACTTTATTTTGAAGTATTTAATTTCATTATTATTTTGAAGTATTTAATTTCATTATTACGTTTTTTTTGGGAAAGTAATTGCATTATTACGTTGCCAATTAAAGCATGATACGTTGTTGTATTTCATTTTTATAGCATGGATTCAATCCAAATGCGCTGTAGATTGCCTTTTCTATCAGATTCTATGTACAAGTATAAACCCAATTAAATCTAATCCATTTCGGGAATTGTTTTCTTCAAAACAAATTAAAATATATTTTTACCTTCCAAAATAAAAAATAAAGAATAAAAAATAATTTTCCAAACAGAAGGGTATTATCGTAAATTTAATTGATAAACGGGGCAAATGACAGTGGTCAACACAGAGAGAGCTCAGCCGGAGCCCCCAAAAAGCCAGAAAAAGGCAACAATCTTTTCGAGATCTTCCCATCTTCGGCTACGTCGCTCGATCCTTCGCATTAGCTCTGTCTATATTTCTGTCAAGCATCACCACTCCACTTTCTCACCTCCTCCATCTCCACCTTGACCACCTACCTATCACTCTCCCTCTCTATACATATATGTATGTATATGTATTTATATAAATCTCATCATCTGCATCCAAGGTAAGATAGCCTCCACCCTCTTTTCTCTTACTGTGATGGCAATCATTTCATAACGTTATTACCTCTCTCTCAATCTCACCATATATATCTATTTATGTTTCTTCTTATTTGAGTAATAGCTGGTTTTGATTGGGAAAAGTCTTCATTTTATCTGCAAAACCAACCGTTTGATATCTCTGTGTCTTTCCACATGCGTGTGTATATATATATCTGACAAGGGTCGTGCTCCAATGTTTCTTTTGTTAAATTCCTCAAGTTTTACATAATTTGATTGGCTAAATTTTGTAAACTTTCCCGTTATTTTTTTATTCCAAAATTTGTTTTTGTTATTCAGTTTTCATCAAAAACGAATTGCATAATTTGAAATTAGCTGAATTTTGATGATTAGTGCAAGATTTAACGTTCAATGGGTTTCAATTGTTTTCGTGCAATAGGTGGTCATGAAACCATTCAGAGAAAGGGATCGATTTACTGTGATTCACTCATAAACCAGTCAATTCGGTTCACAGAATAAGATCCAGATTAATACCCAACTCTATTTTTATTTAGGGTGGGGTATCTACCAAGCTATTAGAGGTTCTTCTGTAGATTAGAGGACCCTTCTGGTTGGAATTGTTGTTCCATCTTCAACTTGTTGCTGCCAATAACTTCTTGCCATAGCATCCACTGAACTGATCTGGTTTCTAGCCCTCGTTTTGTTGGCACTGTTTTTCACATCATGCCAGCTATACAGAAGCTCTATAATGCTTGTAAAGTATCACTTTCCCCTAATGGACCTGTATCAGACGACGCTCTAGAAAGAGTTCGTGCTCTGTTAGGTAGCAAGAGATAATCCTTTCTTTGCATCGTATTGTTATTATTCTTTTTAAATTTTTAAGCTTTGCTATTTGAATGTGAAAATGAAGTGCCCATGCTTTTTATGGCTTCATTTGATATTGCTTTCAAACATATTTGCTTGCTTAGTATATTGAATGAATTTGAGCTTCTTATTGGATAGATTTTAGCCATTGGTGTTGGTACAGTTAACGATTTTCATTGCTGATAGTATTTGCTCGGGTTTGTGTATAGGACCTCTGTAAAATGTCTATGAACTATCTGTGAAATTGCATGTTGAATACTATACGTTCCTATCTTTTGATTTTATTTGATGATTGGAGTGGCTTGTCATCCTAGTATACTTATTAATGTCAAGAAAGTATCTGTTTTTGTCCCCATTTGATGAATATGCAATGCCATTTTCATCATTATTAAGTTTGTAATGCAACATAATCACATTTTGTTGGTACTTTGTAGATATGTAATCTTGATTGCACAAACCAAAATGTGGTGAACTATATTTTGAGAACACAAAGTTTGGTGAATCTCTTTGTTTTCTTAAAAAAATTTCCCGAGGCAATAATAAAATAGTTTACCAGAACCTCATAGGTAAACACTTGGGAAAAGAAAAAGTCATATTCTTCCCTTCTAAAAAAGAATTAGTCCTGACAACATTTGGTAAAACCAAGAAGCACAACTTTTACGTATTATTTCATATAATTACTAACTCTCCCATATTTCATGTTTTATTAGTTCGGATTAATATATATATATATATATATATATATATATATATATATATATATTTTTGATATATATCAGTTTGGATTAATATTACAATTTCGTCATTATCTTTCATCAGATTTATGTTTCTTTGATTCTCGAATGAAAAAATAATTGCTGCATATTTTAACTGTTTTTATTCTCAATGTTTTGTCTATGGATGACACAACATTTCTTAGTTTGGATTATTTAGTTTATTTAATATAATTATATTTTTACTTACACTTATTTGGAATTTATTCAAATAAACTAGGAAATGTTTGGATGACCAATTTTACAAGTTCCTTTTTTATTGATTATTTCATTTTCACCAGATAAACAAATTGACAATAAAATCTTTCTACTTGAGGATGCCCAATTAATTAGATTAACATTAAATCTTGGAGAAACAAAATCCAATTATGCACTAAAATTTTGTCATGAAATTGAATTCATATTAATCTTGACTTTACCTAATTGTGGGAAATCAAAGTGAATTAAATAATCCTTGTAAAATTTAAGAAATTTGGACAAAAACTTAAACAAATAATCTCTTTTTGTTAATTGAATTTCATAGAAAAGTAACTAATTCTAGCAACTGATTAGCTGTTGCTAAGAAAAGGCAAATTTGTACTTGTAATCTCAGGAAATTAAAATAAAGTTCAAAAGAAGACTTGGGTTGACAAGTTGATAAATAGAACTATCTTTAACTAATCTGAATAGGATTGTACGAGAAGGTTTCTGTAATTGTTGTAAAAAGAAATTGGAGTGAAACATTAAAACTATCCAATTTGGTGAAATCTAAATTGGCAATTCTAAAAAATTCTTGGTTTGTTGAAATGTCAATTTGTTGATTTATTCTTTAAATGATCACGTCTTGTTCAGAATTGATGGGCAAAATTTTAACTCAAGTTTGAGAGTTTTTGAGTTTTTCAACAGGTAAGTAAGTAGATTGTATACTTATTTGGGAATCATATTTGAAAAATTTTTTTTTTTGGTCTTATTGGAACTGGAAGTTCATAATATTTATCGGTCCTATGATCTAAAAAATAGGGCTTAGTATCTCTTTACCTATAAAACTCTAAGAGACCAACAATCCTAACACATTTATTTATATGGATTTGCAGTTTCATAAAATCACTAAATTGGGCAAAATTCAAGTAAACATGTTGTAGACAATTAAGATCTATTTTGGAGGTCTAGGGCTTATCAATAGCAGATCCCCTAAAAATTCAATTAAAGAATCATTTTACTTGACGCCTTTCAGTTAAAGACATTGATACACAGAGCTAATCACTGAGAGGATTTAGCTTATAAACCAGAAGTTCCTCCTCTCGAAGGTATGTCTATTCAGTTCCTTCAAAACAATCCAGCAAAGACAAAAGGAAGCTATTTACCACATTGGCTAATTGTTCTGGAACTCCTCCCACCCCACCATGACTCCAGAGCTTCTATCACTGAGCTGGACATGCCAGCTGAATCCTGGATAAGGAAAGCTGAACTAACTAAAGATCTACGACCACCAATCAATGCAGTGATTGATCTCGAGCTCTTTTAATTAATTTATTATACAATATTCTTAACTCCTGTTTAAGTAAGGAGCAATATTTTAAGCTAAATGATCTTACCCCCTTTCCGTAGCTTTCTGTTTACATGCTATTGTTCGGTGTGATGCAACAGTCCCACTTTTGACATTACACTTTGTCATGAATCATGTTCTCATTGTGTGATCGAGCTCCTGATTTGACAAAACTATGTGAGTTTACCCCTATTAGTAGCTTTCTGTTTACATGACATTGTTCAGTGTAACACAACAGTCCACTTTTGATGCAACACACATGCTCCTAATTCGACAAGAAGAATGCTGATTTACCTTTTTTTGCTAAGTGCAATACAATACCCAATGATTTACATACTGGATAATTTACATCCAAACAACACTGGCTTAGTGCATAAATTCCTCTTTAATGTCATGTGCTTTTAGCCACTATGCATTGCTTCTAGTGGCGATTGACATGGTATTTTAGGTTTCTCATCTTATTGCTTCCTTTTTTTCTTCTTCTTTTATATATTATTATTATTTTTTTTATAGATTCAAAATTTTACTGGCCACCTAATCAATTTACTTTTGTGTCTATTGGAAAGATGGGGAAACATTTTGCATGGCCTTTGAGGATTCATCTCTTTGCTAGCAGCCCCTTATCTTGCATTCGATTGTGTTTTCTAGGCTTCATGCAAATTTCAGTATTTGTCGCTCAGGATATAATTCTCTTCCTCATCATCTCTTCCATTATTTAGTTTTATATATATATATATATATATATATTTATTTATTTTAGCAATTTGACTCCACTACTTGCAGTCTAGAACGAATTGGGTTAGGGCCTAGTGTAACAGGACTAGTGCAATTTTGGTTGCCAAGATTTGCATACTTTTTCTTCAGTGGGTGCCTTATTTATTGATTAGCATCTGTCAGCATGAACTTTTTGTGTTCAATTACCACTCAATTTATAGTAGCTTTATGTCTGACTTTATATTTATGCTTTATAATTAATTTGGGAAATCAACAGGGATTGAACTAAATCAGTTCAAATTTTTTGCTTCTTTGTTCTTTCTTGGAAATATACCTACTCAAGTCCATCAACATAAATCATATTGTTAGTAAAAGCGTAGGACTTCTTTGTGATAAATGTATGTTTATATATATATATATATATATATATATATATATATATGCATACTCTCAATGATCAATAACTGTCTTAGCTCTACTGTCTCTTTTGTAAAATTTCTTCTGGAACAATCACAAACACATTTTTGATTTTGGATCTTCTCCAGAAATTCAACACGTAATCTTAGCATCCAATGTGTATTCCTGAATAGTCTCATTTTAAATTATTCAATCATTGAATTTTACCAAGTTCATTGTTAGCCTGATTATTCAACATTTATGTGCTTCCATGCAACAAGAAGATGTTATTTGCAACAAGTAGTTTTGTTGTTTGGTTAATTGGTCACATTTAATCATGAAATGGGTTGGATTGGTACTAGTCTCGATGCCGCAAAATAATTCTATTAGATTGAATGTACTTATTCGATCTAATAAGTACCTTGTGTTAGAATTGAGAAATTCTATGGCTCAGATCTTTAGTATTCTCTGATTTATTACCTGTGTCTACTATTTAGGTAGACTAATACCGTCAAAGGTTACCTGTACAATTTATCTTTTAAGCATGTCATAGTATAAATATATATATATATATATATATATATATATATATATATATATATATATAGATATTTAAGTCTGTTGTGATTGAAAATTCACCTCAACAGTTGTTAGGGTTTCTTCTTCTCCTTTTATTATTGTTATTATAATTATTTTGTTATTGTTATTATAATTATTTTGATGATTCCTTCCAAAAGAACTCTTCCATCCTAAATTAATTGATATTTAGATGTTACTTATTCACAATGTTTTATACTAGTTCCTTCACTGGTTAGTATTTTGGGTTACTTAGGGGTGTCTACATTTTCACTCTTCTCACACAAAGTATAAATGACAGCTTTTAGTAGAGTATAATACTTCATTGAAGATAGGTTGTTGAGTGCCTTGCACATTTACGTAATTTAAGGGAATAAAGTAATGTTTTGACACAATAGATCTAGGGCAGTGTGCTTGTACTATCTCCTTTTGGGAGATTGTGCGGAGAAATTGCAGTTATCTGTCCCATTTTTTTTTTTTTTTTTTTTTTTTAAATCTTGGTTAGCACCCTATATTTTACCATTTTTTATTTTATTTTTCTTTCTTCCATCTACCAGTCTTGAAACCTTGACTTGTGGTTTGAAAATCAAGACCCAAAGCCACCGAGACAGAGGTAGACCGATTATCATAATTTATCCTTTCTGTTCCCTTCTTCTTTCCCTGCCATCATTCCTAATCTTCTTTGGTTTGTCACTTAATTTGGATTCCATGTGCTGGCTTTTACACATCCTATACACCAAGCATAGTAAAATATTCGGAACGTCCTTGGCATCCAAAATTCTATAAACCAGAGCATAATAGATAATTCTTCAGCTTTTAGTCGAAGATTCTTGGCATCTTCAAATGTCTTAGGCCTCAACATACCCCCATTTACAGCGTTACCAATCATTCTGCTCAAAGTCTCCATCATGAATAGAAAAACCGTTGAGGATAAAGGATCCAAAAATGAGAGACAGTGATTGGAACTTCTCTGACTGGCCAAGGATGAATCTGCTTAGGCCTCGACATATCCCTAACCACAGTTTTATCAACCATCCTTCTCAAAGCCTCCATGATGAAAGAAAACCAGTTTAGAATATAGGGTCCCGTCCTATGTTCTTGAATTCAAAAAATAAATCAATACATCAAAAAGGGGGAAAAAAACTGTTGGGGAGCCATTCACAAAAAGTAAAAAATTTGATTCATGGATAGCATGCTTTAATCCAGTTCCTCCTCCATTTGACCTCAAACCCCTCATAATCTAGCATGGGAACCAGAAGGAGTTAGAAAATGTGATCATAAGCTTTCTCCTTCTCTAACTTAAATATCTCATTATTTCCTAACTTGGGATCTGCCATGCATTTGTTGGAAAGACTGTATATAAGTCTGGCCGCCACCTGCAAAGGCATTATAGGATTCTGACAACTCTCGTTAACTGAATCCTAGGATTGTTGCCATCAATTTGTAAACACTACCCGCAAGGTTACTATTTTGAAGTCTTTCAAATGAATGGCCCTCTTTTGTTGTAGCTAAAGCAATGAAAGAGTTACCGAGGCAGAGGCTTCAACTAAAAGACTTCTGACTCCTGGAATCTGCTAAATAGCTGCCATAGCATCATCCCTGATGACACTCCAATGGTTTTAGAAAAATGCCATCGTCATGCAATCTGGAGCTGGAACTGTGTCGGTAAAACTCTTTATAGCGGTGGTCCTTTCTTCAAAATTAATAACCACTTTCCCTATCTAATTGGATATTTGATGAGCATTTGCTACCATTTAATATTGTTTTTGTGTGCTTATTATCTTCTTATTCTTTAAGCCATAAAGCACCATACTTCTACAGCCAACATATTCCTTCATCAAGATTAGCCTTCTTAAGTTATTAATCATTTCCTGTCGCTTCTGAACCATCTCCTGTGTCTTAGCCTCAAAGTTTTTATACTCCCCCAGTGCCCTGCCTCATTTCCAAACTTCTTGTTTCATTTCTTCAAGTCTTATTTCACTACGTTGAATTTTCTTGCTACGATAAAGCTTCGGGTTCCTTCAAATCTATACCCGTATCACCACTTCTGCTCTCTTTCAATAAATCCTTTCTCCTCCTTCGCTCTCTTTCAATAAATCCTACCTCCTCCTTCGCCCTTTTTCAATAAATCCTACCTCCTCCTTCGCTCTCTATACTCTTATTTCATCCCACTACTATCCATAACAATCCCGTTATCCAGGACAATGAGCACATGGTCCGACACTGTCCATGGAATAGCAGAGTGTATCACACTGGAAAATCACTTTTTTATTTGCTGATATTAAAAACTATTTGGCCCGAAAACAAAGGCAATTTTCCTATTGCTAGACTATGTAACCCTCGCCATACCAGATGAATTATCCATTGGATAACAGGACATAGCAAAATACATAAAATCCCTCATAGCTGTCAAAAGACAAGATCAACCCAACCTAGCCCCTCACTTAATTTCATCATTGTAGTTACATAGAAGGCCCAGTTTATCTTTCACCCTCTTGAATTATCTCAAAGCCCACCTCTCCTAGCTTCCTTGACATCGCTACAAATTTCTGTAAACATCCACTAAAATGCAACCTTCGCATTCGAACAAGAAATGAAATGGAACTGACACCACTCATCTCCTTCACTCACTGCTCTCTTATCATACATTAATAAATTTATGCCTCACAAACACCCAATCAGCAAATCTCCTACCCCATTCGCTCCTTGTAACCATTTCTGAACTGCCTGCATTTTCGTCTCTAGTAGACAAACAACATCCCCCCTCACTTCTTCAGTACAGTCTTGATATCAATTTGTCAGGATGACCCTGAACATCTTAAGATATAATTCTTAGCTTCATTTCATGAAGAAAAAAATGGGACAGTCCCAACCCTTTTTCCCACACTAAACCTCCTTTCGACTTCCCCACCTTCCCTTCCATTATCATAAGTTACTGAGTTTGATTCTTCTTTAGCTCTCTTTTCCTTATTGATTCACATTCCACTTTTTTTTCATCTGCTGTCCCATTTTGATTGTGACTGCAGTCTTTGCTAATGTCCTTAAAAGAACGGAAAAAATCCTCATCAATCTTGGCATAAAATACGTACTTTCAAAATTAAGATGTACAAATATTTTAAATAAGGTGCCGTGTCTGTGTCAACACGTCAGACTGACACTTAGCTGACACTACACTTGTCCAGCCCATTATAAAATATTTCTGTAATTAAAATAAGTTTCATTATTGTAGACACTTGGCGGCACCTTTCATGCACTCCCCAATACATGACTTGCGTAAACAAACACATCTTAGTTGAATTTGTGTCGACATTCTTGGAAACAATACAAGCACACCCCTTAGTGTAATAATGATCTTTATGATATTTGTTGAGTTTCCTTGTCTACACTACACAATTTATAGCTTTTAAAATGAGGAAATTGATCAATATTATATATTTGTCTTACATAAAAAGCTAGTATTTCTATATTGTCGTACACTAGTTTTGTTTTTATCCTAGTTTGATAAGTTTTGTTGTATTGTCAAATCCTTGTTGTATCATATCTGTGTCCCATGGTTGTGTCTATGTTACTTAGTTTTCAGAAAGCATTGAAGGCCTTTTTATCTTTTCCATAATTGATATTGATCCTTTTCATAATTTGAGGTCTTGAACTCCGAAAGCCCTGACAGTGCCAAACCCCCCTTTTGAAATTAAGCTCAAACTTTGGGTGCCCATCTCGAACCTATCCTTTCCCTGTGAGGCCTCATCCCATTCTTGATATCATCCCACATTACCCAGCCTATTCCAAGGCTAATCTATCATAATAATCTAAGTCCCTCTTGCCTTTTCCTCCTGAGAAGCCTCATGCAGAAAATGTGACTGTTGTAAGCTGGCGCGGAACTTTCTGGAATTATCTACTGCTGATTATTATACGGCCTTCGCCTTCCAGCCCTTGTAGCTACTGAGATTCTTCTTAGGCAAATCCTTCTTTGACCTTTCATCATTTTACTTTTCTTCTTCATCACTGCTCAGCTCCACCTTTTTACTTGCTACACCACCTCCCATGCATTGTGTCTTCAAAAGGGTTGCTTTTCCCACTGCATGTGCTACGCTATGGAGTCTGTCAGCCAGACCTACTCCAGCATTAGTTATTATATATTCCTGTTGGGTAGCAGTGTCTCCTTGTTTCAGGATTCAACCTCCCTTGTAGGTGCTCAGGAATGGTCTTGCTTAGTGACCTAATTAGAAAGGCCCCAATTCATCCCCTACCATATATACCAACGGCCAAACCTGCCTTTGCATGATGTAATACCCGAGCCACTTAGGAGAGTCTGGGCTATCTGATTATGGGCTTTTTGCCACCAATTTTTTTTCTTTTTTTCTTTCATTATTGTTTGGTGTCCTTAAAAAAATGGTTTTGTTCAATGATCTCAGTTGTCAATGAAAGATAAATTATGTCCTAATTTATCACCTCACCCTTGAAAATATTTAAGTGATTTATTTATGCCCAAATTTTAACTCAAGAATCAAGCTCAAATTGTCAAGAATCAAACTAATAATTTTTTCCTTCAGAACCTCAATATGTTCTCACAACTAACTCAATTCCTGATCTTATATTGAAGATTTGTTTTACATGTCCAACCCATTCAAAATTGCTTGAAAATGTTTCTCAAGCATTTTTAAATATCCCACCTCAAATCCTTTCATGAGCCAAAAGTTTTACGAATTCATTATAGCAGATTCTGACTCAAATCAATATTACTCATATTTCAGATAAAGAAACTGTCAAGTCATTGCCTATTAAGAATGTCATTCTTTAAGTTCATACAATTTTGCTAAAAATCCTAAACCACCAATTGAGTTTGTTTAGAATTATAGTTTTACTGCTTTGGTTGTTGAACTAGGTTTCTTAGAATGCTTGTGATTGATTATTGAGATATTGAGATCCTCTTCCATCCTGCTATCTTTCTTTCTATCTTTCTTCTTCTCTCTCCTCTTTGCTCTTCTATTCTTTTCTCTCATCTTCTCTCTTCTGGTTCTCCATCCTGCTATCTTTCTTTCTATCTTTCTTCTTCTCTCTCCTCTTTGCTCTTCTATTCTTTTCTGTCATCTTCTCTCTTCTGGTTCTCCATCAAATGGTGACCTCAATATTTCCAACATGCTATGTATCATGTTCATGTTAGTATATGTCTCACATGCGTAATCTGATACATATCAACACAACAGAAGTTTTAAAATTGCCGTTTTAGAAAGATTGTTACATTAATTATGATACAAAGTCTATGCTCGCAAGTGATATTATCAATGTAGGTTGGAAGTTGATCTGTAATTTACTTGACAAGTTGTAACCATATTTTATGATTATTGACCTTTGGGCTGCTTATGTATTTGTTGAATTGTCTGGGTGAGTTGATCTCCTATTGAACTTTCCATGTACTGTGTTAAAACTTAAAAATTTGTAATTATATGCTTGTTGAGCTTGTGCCCCTTTGAGTTGCACTGCCTATGCTGTTTATGTTGTATATACATGCATGAAGTTCTGAGTTATAGTTAAAGCATGCAGTTTAGCGAGTGTTATATCATTGCACCTTTTAATGCCATATTATTTTGTTTCAGACAAAATCAAGCCCTCTGATGTAGGACTCGAGCAGGATGCACAATTAGTACGTGGGTATTCAGGTCCTGCGCATGTGCGTAATGGGAGACGTCAGTCACTGCCACCGATCAAATACCTGCATTTACATGAGTGTGACAGCTTCTCTGTAAGTGTAGCATTTCAGGATATCAGTCTTTTAGATTGAAATTTTTGTTTAAAAAATTTAGACTTTGGAGTTTAACTTTTGGCTACAACGTTTCAGTAGAGGATAAAAAGTACATGATTCCTGTAGGTTCAGTTCTCTGAGGACAGTTTTCGAGAACTCAGAGTACAGTTGTGAGAGAAGTATAAAATATCGTTCTCTGAAAATAGGCCTTTTTAAAACTTAGTTCTTAGAGAACGGTTTCCAGAGTCAAACTAACAAAATTTTGCAGTGTTTTCTGTCTTTCAGTTATTTAGAAAATAGAAAGCAGTTTTCAGACAAGTGAAGCAAGCAAGCCCTAGTTACTGAGATCCATTGATCTTTGAATTTTCTTGCAGATGGGAATATTCTGCATGCCACCAAACTCTATCATACCTCTTCATAATCATCCTGGAATGACTGTGTTGAGCAAGCTTCTATATGGTTCATTACATGTAAAATCGTATGATTGGCTTGATGTACCTGGGTCTTCTGATCCATCACAAGGTGAGCTTCCTAGATCAATTATTTCATTTTTTTTGTCAGAACTGAACTTGTCCTTAAAAATGACATTAGAACTATGGTTGTTTCTATGAAGTTCATCCGTATCCTCCTGTTGAAGGCACTCTTGTTTATAAAGTGGTTTAATTTGTGAAGCAAAATCATTTCCCATCAATTTAGGGAACCTAACTCCTGTTTGTTTGTCAGAAAATAATCCTCACTGTCCCCCATTTAGGCAGTTTGTTTCTAAATTTTGTTTCTTCTGAGTAATTAGGCTTACTATAACATTGACCTCTCTTTCTTGGTCTTGTTTTTGCAATGTCATCCACTATAAGAACGATGTCTCTTTCCAGCAACATGATATTTGTTTGAAACTGGGGTGTCAATAAGAGCAGCATTGACATCCAATTTGAGACTGATGCTATTTTATGAAATTATGTTGCCATGAGAATTATAGATCCGGAAATAACAATTTCTAATAAATCTTGAACTACGGTGGATTGACTGTATGGCAGTGGTTGGTGCCTTCCCTGCTGTTTTGATTACGTATGGCATCACAAACTGAATACCTCTATTGATGTTCCAGATTATGTCTTACGTCTTCATTTTTTCTCTTGAGCATAAAAAAAATCAAAAAAAGGAAAAAAAATCAAAAAGAAAAGAAAGAAAATATGGCGAAAGGGATGATCCAAGTACACACAAAGTATGCAGGTGTCAACAAAACCAAATTCCTTCTACTCTATCAAACCACAATAAAATCTTCAAAAGAGTATAAAGATTACTGAAATTCCCTTGAAATCGAAAACTATCTAATTTTTAACATCAAATTCTTCAACATGTGAATCAGCAACTCTACATTCTGATAAGTGCTCATATTTGACTCCTTCCAAATACACTATCTATGACATAAAGCTGCTGCCTTTTGAGCTAAAGAGAGGACTACTCACAGGAAAGGTCTCTATCAACAATATCACGGATCGGAAGATGGTTCACAATCTCCTCTGTAACTTTGCACATTCAGTTGCAATTAGGAAGGAATCTCCACCTACAACTCAGTGATATTGTTCAGTTTACAGTCGGGAAAACCTATGAGCTTGATTCGATCTGACTGACCGGTATTCAAGGGATATACTCAGTGACTATGATCTGTGGATCCCACCAAATCACTATTGCGCTGCCTATGCAACCAAAATATGGTGGTCTGCTGTTTCAACTAATAATCAATGAAAATAGTGGATTCTTAACAGAATTGTGGTGTGGTAGAAAGTGAAACAAGCTGGATCATTCTTAATTTTCTGTGGTCAAGTTTTTTAGAAATTCAAAAAATGTTGGTTGATTGCAGCTAGGCTAATATTGATGGCCAAGAGATACCCAACTTTGACCATTTTGTTAACTTAGATCATCTTTAGAAGGGTTTGATGAAGATGATTTTGCACACGATTTCGGACATGATAAATTTAGTGGGTTTAGATATGCTGTTGTATGGTATAGACCAAGCCTGCCGAAGATCTAGTACTTGTATAAGATGTCTACCAAATCATCCTGGCTTTATGCTACATAGTCAGGTCGTTGAAAATTCTCTCTTTGGGATAAGTAGTTGAAATGTGAATGCAGTGCCTATTTCCGAAACTGCATGTAACATGTTACGTGGGATGTAATTCATGTGGCCGATCACAATTGGGGGACAAGACTCTGCAGGAGCTCAGTTGATAAAAATAGGTTTTTCCCCCCCTCGTGAGCGGTTAAGAATCTTAATCAAGAAATAGGTTCTCTACTAATTGTTGTTAGATTTATCGCCCTTTTAACTTTCTTTATGTTATGTGCATTTTGACTCTTTAATTACTAGTTAATGTTCGAGCAACTCCAATGGGCTGCCAAATCAGCTCTCAAACTCAAAATATAAGAGGTTGGTTTAACATGGGTTCTCCAATGGGCTCTCAAATGGGCTGCCAAAATTTGAGATTCTCAAATCTTCTCTCAAATATAGCACCAAATATAGCAGCTGTTGACTCCTGCTATTGCTGTATACCCCATCTCCACCATGAAGGACACGTGAAGTTTAGCACTTTCTAGCAATATGCTATTGGTTTGTTCCCTGTATGAAGTACTTCATTTTGACTCTAAATTCCTGCATGAATAGTATAATGTTTGACAATCAAAGTAAAGGCAATGGACCATGGTAATTCTTTTTTTTTTTTTTTGGAATTATTTTTTTCAATTTCATCTTGTTGAAAATGGGTCTCTCTGGTTTTGATTTATAATATTTTTTGTTATTAATTTTAAATTTTTGCAAATGGGTTTTGTAATTTTTTTTATGCTGTTTCCTTGATGGGTTTGTCTGCTGCATTTGATCTAAATCTTGTGGTTTGAAAGATTTTGCTTTTCATGTATTCGACGAATTGCTTCACTTGTTTATTTGATACCTCTAGCATATGAAAAAAAAAAATATTGTAATTTGATGGAATTAAATCAATTGTTCTTCTAGCATTATTATATTAATCTAATTTTTGGATTTTTTTGTTTGGATTGTGTTATTATTATTAGTATTATTCTTTAAAAAAAAAAATTAACATATGAATGGTGGGAATGGTAGTTGAAAAAGATTTGATACATATGCGCAATTTTACTTTTGGATATTTTAAACATTTGATACAATCTCTGTTTTTTTTTTTGGGTCCTCAATTACGGATGTAAATATGAATGGTGGGAATGGTAGTTGAAAAAGAATGGTGGTTGTGTCAAAAAATAGCATTTTGGATGAAATACACCATTGGAGCCGAATTGCTAAAATATAGCATTTTGACACTGTAGCACCTCTCAAAATATAGATTTGGCATGCAAAAATAGCATTTTGCATTGGGGATGGTCATATCTATATATATTTTATATGTTTTGCAGCGAGACCTGCGAAACGTGTTAGAGATGGTGAGATGACTGCACCCTGTGGCACTACAATCCTCTATCCAGAAAGTGGGGGCAATATCCATTGTTTCAAAGCATTAACCCCTTGTGCTCTCTTTGACATCCTGTCTCCCCCTTATTCGTCTGAGGATGGACGTCATTGCACATATTTTCGCAAGTCTCCAAGAGGGAATCTACCAGGTAATAAAATTAAAATACCTCATTTGTCAATTGAATTGTAGTTATTATTGTTACTTAAAATGTAATAACCATCTCTTTTCCGGGAGGATGACCCTTGCACTTTTAATTCACATGAACTATATATGTTTGTGTGTGTGTGTGTGTGTGTATATATATGTTGTCCTCTTTACCTATATATATATTATATATGTTGTGCCTTGTTTTATTCAGTTTCTATTTTATTTATTTATTTTTTAAGAAAGATTTGGAACTCACCTCTCTTCTTATTCTTTATTGTTTGATTTCTTGATGAAGGTGACCTTGAATTGAATGGAGTAACAGTCTCTGAGGTGATTTGGTTAGAAGAGTTTCAGCCTCCGGATGACTTTGTGGTTCGTAGAGGGCAATACAAGGGTCGTGTAATTAAAACTTGAAGGTTTTATTGTTGAGGTATTCATGCATTTGAATGAATTGAGTACATTTTGGGTTATATTGAGGTGAAATTGGCATAGGAAGTGGCAATAGCTGTGACAATAATTATTTTTATTAGCTGTATGAACTAGGCATTTGACTCGTACATATTAATATACCATGTAGTTCCTTTTTTCCCCCTACATTACCATTTAGTTCTTTGATTTACTGACCTCACCTTTAAATAGTTTCTTTCAGTATACTGAAATTTATAAGAAATTATGCCCGGTATTTTCTTGCTAGAATTTCTTTCATTATATAAACAGATGAATCTTTTTGGTCATCTTTTTAGGCAGATTAACAGTATGCTTCCTTTTGGGTATAAAGGAGCCAAGGCAAGATTTAGGATTTTAAGCTCGGTCTAGTTGAATCTGAATCTAGCTCAAGCTGAGCTTGCGCTGAACACAAGCTCAATTAGTCCTGTTAATTTAAATCCATCTAAGTTTGGTTGAAATCAAACATTTGCACACTATAAAAAACTAATATAATTTTCCTGGGCACCAATTTAAAGTAAATCATTTTTCTTGTTTAGTTACCCATGGTAAAAAAAAAAAAAAAAAAAAAAAAAAAAAAAAAAATTAGGGAAAGTGAGGGTGAATTTTATTTGGCATATCATTCTCCTCTTCTTCCCCCTTGCTAAACCCAAACAGAGCGTAGTATTTTGGTGCATTTTTTCAGCTGTTTGGTGTCGTCCACAAAATTTCATGGGCATTGATCAGAGTTTGTTTGCTGTTGTTCATGCTTTGCTTGTTAAGCAGTTGGGTCCTATTGTCAAGCTTAAATTTGGCTTGTCTAGGTTGGCAAACACGCTCAAATGAGCTGATTTCTAGTTTCTCTAAAGCAGCCGTTTCATTTACCTGCATGTCCTATGGTCAAGCAAATTCATGCTGCCCCACTTCACTGGCTGCCGGCAAGGTTCCAGTAGTTTGAGACCTGTGAAGAAGACTACACCACAGGATTTTTACATGTATATAAATTAGAGTTGAAAAGATCCTGTAGTTGCTTGTGCAACCAAACTGAATGACTTATTAGGAGAGACCACAATATGGTTCTGTTTGTTATACCCTGAGCTGGTTAATCAGCTATTAATTGTGAAATGCCATTGTTTTAAAACTTTTACTGAGTGTCATTTTTGAATTTAGTATTCTGAGACATCTGAGTTCTGTAATTTAAAAAGCGGAATTGTAATGGTGAAGAAGTTGATGATCCTTGAGAAAACCAACTTTAGGTGCTCTTGATCTGATTGCCGTGCAACCCCTATTTCTGCTGAAGCAGGTGTGACTCTTCCCGGCCCTATTGTCACAGCCTCTCCACAAAAACTCCTTTCCCAGCTTAGTCTGTTTTGAGGTCTTGTCCTGTTTGTCTACGAATTTTAAAAACTTTCTTCATTTTGTATTATTAGGTTTTATTAATTTTTTTCCTTTCCTTTCTTCTCTTCCCCCCTCTTGTTCCCTCGTTAATATGTTTGTTTGGTTGGAAAAGTTTTCAGATATTTAGTTGGCACTAGTCATAATTACACTGGTGTTCTTAAAACTCGACTTTGATTTCAGCCTTTGGCCTTTCGAAAATTTCCACAATCAAGTTGTAGCTTTAGTGCTTCCTGGTTTAAGCTCTCTCAATAATAATGTCATGCATTTTTAATCATTCCTGAGAAATTTTTTGGTAAAGCGTTGAGAAAACCTCTTCCATCCTCTTATCAACATTGTGGTTTCTTCGCTGGCCTTTCGGACCTGCTTCCTTTCCAATAAGAACCATATTTGTCATGTCTCCATTTGTAGATCTCACTTTAGACACACTATTAGATGCATCAAAATTTTTATTTTATTTTCTCTCAATTCTATGTCAATTAAAGATTTTTAATTATCGGAGTTTATCTAGATTTATCTCGCGATCATGTACACAATTTTCCTATCAGAAGAACCCAAAAAAAGAAGTAAAAATTAAGCTATACATAGAATGTAAATATCATCCAGGTCTTGAAATGAATACTTGAAGTAAAAGGAGTGGTTTGTAACTTTAAAAATAATTTTAAAGAATTCAGAGAATAAAAAATTGTTTTAAGAGAATTGTGCATTTTTACTGTACTCAAAGTTACAAACAAAGCGGACCAAATTTTCATACAGAGTCATTTAGAAACATTTTAGAAGTTTTATAAACTACAGTGAAAATTTGAAATCCCTATATGGTGATAAATAAATGAGTGCTCTAAAAGTCTCGACATCACCATTGGGGATTTAGAGTGGGTGCTCTAAAAGTCTCGGGATTTAGAGTGAGAGAGAGAGAGCACTAACGGCCAGTAGACTATTTAGTAACTAATAACAATCTGGTGGTGGCAGTTTTTATGCTACTAGTAACTACTTGACTAATAATTTACCCAGCTAAATCCCTCCGTCAAACATGGTCATGTGACCTTAAAAAAACGTATCTAAACGCGCGCGCGCGCACTCTCATAGATCGGATTTGGTGCCTATGTTCCCGGCGACTCTTTTGCCCACACAGTAAGAGACCTTCACATCTAGATTCCTTACAATATATATATATATATATATATATATATCATATTACTACCAGTATTCTTTTCAAACACTGATACCGAGACCACTTAGAAAAAAAGAAATATAATGTCAGAAACAAAGAAACTCAAGCATATTATGTCATGGTCTCTCACTCATTTAAATTGTGATGGTAGGCGTATGCATGTTTGGTAGGTGAAATCCGTAAAACAACTCAATGTATAATATATATATAAAGGTTAATTACAGGGACAAGTGTAGAAAACACCTAATCATTTTTATTTCCTATTTAAAAAAGTATGTAAAGAAATTCCTAACCTTTTCACATTGTGCAAAAATATATCATCTGACATAAATTAGTGTTATAATATCCATTTTGTCCTTTTACTCAACAAAAAATGCCCAAAGGGGTATATATACTACTTATCTCATCGTATAGGGTTATTATGTGCACATTGCCTTATATATATATATATATATATATATTTTGAATCTTTTTTCTCTATATATCTCTAAACATTTATTTTTATTTTTTATTTTTATAACTTTGAGAATTTGAAAAACAAGAATTTGAATTTTTTGAAACTCCAGTTTACTCTTTTCTACTAATTTTTTTTTTTTTTTTTTTTGGGACCAACACTGTTAAAAAAAAAAAATTTCAATATCAGCGTGCACTGGTTTTTGGAGTTTGGAAAAACTTTGTACTCTTTAGCTTGCACTTTATATTTGTTTTTATTTTTTTATTTTTTTATCTTTATTTTTCTTTTTATTTTATATTTTATATTTACTTGTTCATTACCGGCGTCCTTCACTAGTGTCATTTTCGGTAATTTTATAAAATTATTTATTTTTTTATATTTTAATGGTTCAGTAAGAGTAATTTAGTCAACTTAGGATTTAAATTTGTTAGAAAGACCTATTTGCATTAGATTGAAATTTTAGGAGTATTTTTTTTTTGCACGAGAGAGGACATCCACTAATAGTGTTATTTTCGGTCATTTTGTAAAATGATTCAGTAAAGATAATTTAGTCAATTTAGGATTTAAATTTGTCAGATGTACCTATTTGCATCAAATTGAAATTTTAGGGGTGTTTTTTTGCACGTGAAAGGTACAATATGTATTGTAAATATACTTTAAAAGTGTTTTCTGCACTTGACCCTTAATTATAAGAGTCTTTTGTATGTTATTCTATGATCAGTGCTAGTCTGCTAGAGATGATAATGTGAATTTTAAATTGAGGACACCATACGCTATGCAAAATTTTTACATCGCATTTTTCATGTAGTAGTTTGTATTTTTAATTTAACGTTGTTGTGTGATGTTGCATTTTTTATTTAATTAAGAGTGTGCCGGAAAAGATCCATTATGTTAATGAGAGAGAACAAAAAAAACCCATTAGTGAGGGCAATCATAAAATCTTATCAGGTTCATTGATCATTTAAAATCCAAAATATAGTAATATTGAGGTAATTCTAAGAGATCCATTGTTTTAATTTTGAGAGGATGAGATAGTGCTATGAAAGTCATTTTCCTGATCATTTATTTTTTGACAGTTGAACCGTATTTTCCTGTTCATTCATTTTCTACGGGAGAATTGAAATGGCGTTTTGGGGTATATATTACATAATAACATCGCCCACTTTTTATGACTAAACTTGGTCGGTAAAATTCGTTTGGAGTAATTGAAATCCATCGTTATCTCCTCTTCCCTCCTGCCCCCGGTAGTGGTATCATTTTTGCCTTGTTTAATAAAACCGGGAAAAAAATTTGAAAACAGATAAGAAAAAAAATAAAGAAACAATTCATGGCAGGATGCAGCCACGGACCTGTAAGGGGACGGGGGGCGAATGCCCCCTTTGGATTTATTTATTTATTTATTTTTGTATTATATAATTGATTTTATTTTATTTTATTTTATTTTAATTTTATACCATGCCCCCTGAAATTTCACAAATGCCCCCTATTATATAAGTTCCCAAAATATTATTTTAACTCTTTCACACTTTAGTTCTCTCATCTCTGCCTCGTGCACGAATATATATGATATACCAGACAATATAGCTTCAGCCTTCAGGCCTTCTAAGAGAGTTCTCTCCATCACCGACTAATACCCATTTGCAATTTGTTATTCTAGTTGTTATTAAAAGGCCGTTTCCCTGACATAATTTTCTGGGTCCGTCACTGACGGGATGCATGAAATGTATGAAAGAATTTTGTTCAATTGTGGCACACCATGCATGACAATATCAATGCAGATGGATGGATGGATGGGTTGTGTGCTTACACACACTACACACACACACATATATATATATATGGACATATATTTAGTTGTTAAAAAAGAGTGATGCAACAGTCCAACTTCCCACCCGGAATGGAACAATATAATATAAGCACAATTCTGTGACAGATTCTTTGTTTAATTGGAAAACGTTTCATTTATATGAAAATGTCAACCCATGCACAAGAGATGACAACACACACTGACACACACATATATATTACTGATTAATTGGTATGTGCGTAGGGCAAGGGAATTCATTATTTTCCTAACTACACTACACTGCACCACACCAGACCCAATTTCCTTTCTTCTTCCCCATGCATAGATAGATATATATATATTATGGTCTTTCCCATTGACAAAACTTCTCTTACATTAATACTTCGAATATTTGTCCTCATTAATTGCCCATCTCTTTCTCTCTCATTCACTTGCACAATTAAACATACATATAGTAACATATATGTTACGTATATGTTACTATATATATATGATACATGTCGTGTCACACATTTCTTGTCAGTTTTGATTGTCTTCTAGCCAAACTTAAACCTGAAACGAATCCTTTCTAGGGAAACTTGATTTCTAAAAAGTAAATATATAATTTCATCTGATCAGCAGTGACGGAAAAAATAAAAAATAAAAAATCTCAAACTCTCTCCCAAATGCCTTGGAAACTAAATTGTTGGCGGGACAAGAGAAAGGAGACAACTTGGAGGAATAAGTATTAGTTGGGACACAATTAAGCTGCTTTAACTTATCTTATAATCAATCCTACTCCATCCTTCTTTTTATCTTCCTTATAATTGTGACTAATTAACAATAACTTTTTGAAAAATCAACTATGACCTTAACAATGGGAGTTAAGCAAACCCATGTACAACTATTTTTTTTTTTTTTTCTCTTTCTTTTAAAATTTTATTTTCCACTTGCAGTATAAAAGTTAGGCATCTGTGATACATTGTAACTAATTAACGGAACTTTATATATGGTGCATTATAAATGACTTTTTGTCACTACTCACTGCTTATATGTGGGTTGATTAGCAAAAGTGATATATATTGCTATTTTCTGCTGGTTTTAATTAGTGTTGTATTTAATTATTTAATTGTATTTAATTATTTTCTCCGTTGCTTTTTCTGTATTTTCAAAAATATTATTACATATCAGAAAATATATATAAACCCTTTTGTATAATACATTATGCGTGAGGAGTGCCCTAATTAAGAATCTCACTTACAAGGATTTTGTAATGTATACGATTGATTCTTGTACTAGTCTTTTTTTTATTAGGTGGGTAGGGGTTCACCTAATATATGCTGCTTTGTTTTTTTTTTTTCTAAAATTTTGTGATAAAAAGAATATAAAGGAATCATGGTGAGGTAAGGTGAGGTGAGGTGAGCTAACAAATTTGCTTCAGAGAGAATTTCAATCACCAGAGGCCACCTCAGAGTGAGAAGACAAGAACACAAATTTTACACCAAAAGGAACATTTTTTTGGGTTTTTTTTTTTTCCTAGTTAAAACCCACACACACTTGTCTCTTCTGAGATTCTCTCTGAGAAGTAAGAGGCTGATACTGCTAGGCCACTGACCCGTTGATTTCGACAAGGACTAATTAACTTATAGGATATAGGTACTTGTAAAGATTCATTTTATTTTTGAAGAAAATGGTTGTAACCCCATACATTCTTCTCCATTTCTTAATCAAGCAATAAAAACTCTTTTCTTTTTTTCTTTTTTCTTTTTTGGTAAAAAATATAATTAATGTATATCACAAATTAACATATATTAAAATCATAACTAGGTACTATACACACGCATATACGTATAACCTCTATGATTGTATACAACAACTCAACTATACATTAGCTAAGCTGTTGTGAGACTTGACTAGAAGGGGTAGATAACACTTCATTTTCTGGCAAGGCTGTAGGTTAGAAATTAACACCGTCCCTCCTCAACATAGAATAAATTTAGACTATATATGGTCTTAAATGACCAATCATTTTTATTTAGATTACACCTCCAGTGGACCTGTTACTCGTTAATGACCCATCAGAACCCTCAATGAAGCCAGAATCGATCATTACCTAAAAGATCGATTAGGTACTACCAACAATTATGGAGTTGTCCCCTTTGAATATGGCCGAGTGGATTTCTTGCTGGACTTAGGTGCTTAATAAGCCTAAGGTCCAGGGTTCAAGTCGCCACTGAGTGTTCTTTGTGGCTAGTCTTTATTGTTTCTACAGTGACTTATTCGGTCCGGATGGGGAAGTACCCTTCTGGACCCTTGGGGATTAGTCAGGTTGAGGGGCCCTAAAGGTTCGTGCCATCCCGAACACCCCGAGTTAACTAAAAAAAACAATCATGGAGTTTGTAATTTTATTTGACGAGTTATTTTCGTACCTTTCAATTGACACGAACAAAAAATTGAGTCACACAAATTAATCTATATTTGCTCTCTCTCTCTCTCTCTCTCTTTATATTTTTAATTTACTAATATTCATAATCAAATGAGTGTTGTTTTGGCCTAATTAAGAAGCTCACAGGGTTAGGTTTCATGCAGAAAGTGACTCAGTTGGTCGCATGATTTTAACCCGCGCGCCAATCGTAGCGCTCGGGCGTCTTGCAGCTCCATACTATATATATGAACGGTCTCTATTAATCCAACGATTTAAACATTATGGATGCAGGTAATATTCAATCAATATTGTAAATATATATATATATATATATATATATGCAACATGCATAATCTAAAATTACAGAGCAACAATGACAAGGTGACAAGAGAGTGTAAAAAAAATGGGGGAGGAAAGTCATGTATAGAAATGGACGTGTTGTTCACATTAATATTGAACAAGATGGTCTACCATTCTGAGTCTAAATTAAAAGTTTTATCCCCACCATTTTGTAATATAATAGGTAAGATGGAATATGTTTATTTATTATATTAAGAAATCAATCAAACACTACAGTGCCCAGCAGAGGTCAACTACAAAAGATTATCATGGATGTGTGTGAGAGAGAGAAGCTATATATCAAGATAGAAGATGAATATATATATATATATATATATAATAATGAATGGGGGTGGAGGAGTCACATGATTTTCAATAGTCCAAGAGAGTGGTCGCGTTCTGTAAATGTAATTGTATTATTACAAATTAGTAATATAATTGAAGTGTAGAAAAACCAAGTGGAGCGACGGACAGTAGTCGTCTTCCTCATATCTTATAATATATATTAACCATACGAATATATATCTGAAAATTTTGATATACAAATGCCATGATGCTCAATTTCCACATATTCCAACTACCATTGGAAGAACACCACACAGTACGTAGACTCTCTCTCTCTCTCTCTCTCTCTTTCTGCAACATATATGATCGATCACTTGTAGTTGTTTACTATATATCTTGGCTTGTCGATCTTGATCCATTGATGGACTAGTTAAAATATATATTCTTCAGTTGTTTGGAAGGTAAATCTGGATCAGCCTAATTTCGATTTGATATATTATTGAGTTTGTTTCTTCTTATAATTCGGTGGGTTTACCAGTAGTTTTTGAATATTTTGATCTAGGCTAGCTAGCTAGCTAGTTTGAATCCATTTTATATAGTGATCGATGATTTGGTGGGTTAGTCGATCAGCATCATGTTTGAACCTGTTCTGTTGTTAGTACTTTTCATTTATTCAATATTTCGGAAGGAAGAAGGGATGATTCATCTTCATCATCATCAGTGGTACGTTTGTTTTCATGCAAGTTGTATAATTCTACATTCTAGCTCTCTCTCTAGCTTGCTCATCATTTTATTTTAAGTTATTGTTCCATTAGGTTATTTATACACCTCTTTTCAGTTTTATTTTGCTTCCATTTCCAATATCATTTCCTAATACACTAATTTTTATTATTATTTTTTTCCTGATAACTTTCTAATTGTTAAGTTACTATAACCGCTAAAACAATTATCAGTATGTGTTCAATATCACTATTTAAAGTTAAAACACTGCATTAATGCAATAGTTGATATGAACTCTACAAGTGAAAATTTATCTTCTGAACTTTTTTTTGGGCAACTAATATATCATCTGAATTTGTCTTGACTGCAGCCTCTTCCTTCTACATCTTCTGATGATACAAGTTTCATATTATGGCTGTTATTTATATTTCCATATTTATCAATTAAATTATCCATATATGTTGTTTTGGATCAAATATAGATCTTACCAATTTACTCTACAATGCCATCTAATCATATATAGTTGGATGCCATTTACAATCACCTAATAGATTCAAAACCTTTTTTTTTTTTTTTTTTTGCAGTAAATTAGATTCAAATCTAGCAAGTAATTGAAATAATGGAAGCCCTATTTTCTAACAAGTTTGTTTTTACACAAAACATCAATGATGAAGATCTAGTATCTTATTCCATGAAAAAAGGCAACCCCTTCCATAGTATATAGAGTCAGCAAGCCGGTCGTCATGGACTCGATCAGCTGAGTCCGAGTCTGTTATTCACCAACATATCGGTGACAACTGGAATCACATGTGACTCCGCTGAGCTTGGGAATCGACAGAGATCGAGTCCCTAGATAGCCAAGTCTGCACATCTAAGCAAGCTAGCATTATATATATTAGTCTCCTCTTCCCTTCTCATTCCGATGTTATTGACCATTGGCGATGATTGTGGCCTTCTGTACTGTACCGTGGTCCGATACTATAAGAAAGTTCCTCTCTGATGCCAAGTTCATGCATTTTCTGTTTAGAATTTTCTTTTACTACTGTTTATTAGAAAGTCTTTTAATTTACTATTTATAGCATAATATAACTCTTCTTCCTTTCAACCATATATTCTTATCAGCCAAAAAGCTAGATAGAAACAATGGAAAGAACTACAAGCTCATCTATTGCTGAGAGAATAGAAATCTCCGATGAAGATAAAAAAAGCAACGGAAGTAGTGAGAATCAAACCAACACTTGCTCTCCCTTATCTTCTCGGAAGTTGTCATGCTTTGACTTAAACGAGGCAGCCATCGATGATGAGGAGGATGATAGTACAAGCGGTGGCCCCGGTGAGCAATTTGATGATCCGGATGGGATGTCACCGGAAGGTGATTCAAGTAGCAACAACACAACTGTGGATGGAAACGAGCGGAATGCTACAGTTAGGCAATATGTTAGGTCTAAAATGCCCAGGCTCCGGTGGACTCCTGATCTCCATCTAGCTTTTGTGCATGCTATTGAAAAGCTTGGTGGCCAAGAAAGTAAGTTCAATTTTCTAAATTTCAACATCTCTAAATCCAACTTATTTGTACGTAATAAGTCATGATTCTTCAAGAAATTGGGAGGAAATGAGAAAATTAAATAATTGATTTTATGTTTTCATTTGGATGTCTGAAGGAGCAACTCCTAAATTAGTTCTTGAGTTGATGGATGTGAGAGGACTTAGCATTGCTCATGTGAAGAGTCATTTGCAGGTAACAAAAATCACACACGAGCTATATATTTCTTTTAATTCCAACTGAATTAATTTGCTTTCTCGATCTCCTCCTCTAGTAAAGGTCTTTTTTTATCCTTCTGTCTCTAATTAATCATTCAAATTAATTAATTTTTTGTTATTTTTGAATTCAGATGTTCCGAAGTAAGAAGCTGGATGAATCTGGGCAAGGTAAAACCACAGAATCTTTGGTTTAGATTATGCTATACATGTCTGTTGTCTCTTTAAACGTTAAACCCTATAAATTTTCTAAGAGATAAATTAGCATGCTAAACCAAACAAGAAAAAAGGTAACATTAATCACGTATATCCAGTTTAATTATTGGGACAATATATTGACTTCCATAGAAACAAAAGACTCCTAGTTAAAGAGAATGGCACAAGTAATAATTCTCGAACTATATTGGGGTTTGAATATTTGATACAAAACAGAAGCACCTCATCAGTTTATACAAGGATCTAAATCTGTGCAGTACTGTATTAATTGAATATTGTTTTCTACAGTTTTACGTCAATCAAGTAGATTTGTGCATGGAAGGGATGATCACATTATGGAAATGTACCAGAGATTCAATCCTTATGGACAATTACTAATGGAGGACAAAAGCCAATTGATGTCTCAAGTGGTCAAAGAGCCATTTGATTTCAGAGCATACTCTCCAAGGTAACCAACCAAATCTCAACATATATATATATATATAACCCTCAAGGATTAATATTGTTATAAACCTTCATCCCTAACTAATCTCTCTCTCTCTCTTTCTGAAACAACCAATATATGGGGTTTTAGTCATCCAATGACAAGATCAAGTTCACTATGGAGCAAAGATTCAGGCCTGTTGACGGGTTTTCGGAATCCAAGGATGTTCCAAAATGGGGACAAGTTGCTGAACTCAAACTTATACTATATCAGGGATGCAATAACTGGTAATAATGGACCAATAAGATGTAGTCGATTTCTTGAAGAGAAGAGATGGCCTCCACGCGAAATGATTGGAAATCATGGAAAAGGATTTTTTAAATTTTCTAGTGATGGAACTAAGTTTGAAGTTATGTCAAACAAAATAAATCCCAAGCCAATGCCAATCAGTAGTACTGGTAGCTATGGTACCACTCAACCTTCCATATGGAACACTGGAGCAGCCACCACCATCAAGCAATTTCCATCCAACACATGCAATCCCATGTTCTTCTCCAATAGGTTTGAACCTGATCTCCCATTTCACCGTAAGGTAAATCCCTCCCTCTCTCTCTCTCTCTCTCTCCATCTTCCATTGCTAATTGAAAGCTGATTAATCTTATAATTAACCTTTCATTATGCAGCTACAAGAAAATCAACCCACATCTATGAATAATGAAGTAGTGTTTCAAACAGAAAAGAACACCAGAGGGGATTGGTTCCCAAATTTAAAGTTGAGTTTGAGCCACGATCACTTTGAAAAAGGTGACAAGATGAATAATGATCATCACAGAGGAAACGATATCAACACGGTGCTTTCTCTTTCTTTATCTTCCACTTTGTCAAGACAACTAGCACAATCTAGTGGAAAACAAAAAGGGATTACAAATTTCTGAATTTGGGATTTACAAATTAATTAGTAACAGATCCATCACCGAGGCCATGATGGGGCTGAGTACTTATATTAGGATCTGACCATGTTATATTAAGCATATATAGGAGTGAGATCTTGTAAGTACTTGCTTTATTTGAAGGCCATATGAACAATTAGTTTTGCTGCTTATGTTCAATAGTATTCTCTAGTTATTTCTGTGTCTAAGTAAACTCTTTTAATCCCCATATTTTAGTTTAATCTTATATGCAAGGTTCTTTTCTTTCTAACTCTGATCAGAAAACCACCATGAATTTATTTATTAATGGCAATGAGTGAATCCAATTCACTTAATTAGTTACTGTAGTTTCGAGATTGGATTTATGTATATATATATACATACACATGAAAATGCATAGTTTCTGGATTGGATATTTGGATTTACATATCATTAGATCAGAAACATTGTGATTAATTAGGTTGATATAATGCTTTTTTTTTTTTGAAAGGTGAAGTCAATATATTAAAATATATAAGGATAGAAGGCCTAGAGATTAGACCAAGACACAACAGACATTACAATGAAACATATGGCCTAGCTAAGAAAGGCCCACCTAACCCAGAAAGAATCACATGCACACGCATATAATTGGTTGATATTATGCTTCTGTTCTCTTGGGCCTGTTGCTTATTAGCTATTTTATATGTTTTTGGGCTGCTGGGTTGGTAGGCCAGCCCACTATTATACCCAAATATATAAATATAACTATAGTTGAGAAGGGAAGTTTGAATGATACTTGGAGCTGAAATTGTATAAATGTAACTCAAATACTTGAACAAGTATTCACTCAAACAGGGGAGTCAGTCACCATTTGAGAGGGATTACTTCACTCTATGGATTTTTACAAGCTCTCCACAATGGAAAGTTTCAAGTATGAATGTTCTTCCTTCGTCTTTTACCAAAAATAAATAGAACAGAAACATTGAATGAGGACTGACATAAACCTGTCCTTCGATGCATACACCAAGCTTCTTCAATTTCTCAAGTCCTAAAATTTAAGAGACAGATCGATATGTTGGCCTTTGAAAATTCAATTTCAGAGACTTACAGTTGTAGCCATAAGGGAGGGAATTTTGTGAATGAAATGGCCTTAAAACTTCCCACTTTTAGTTCTCCCACTTAAATTCCTCCTTCCCAACCCACAAAAATCCACCACATAATGAGTTCTACTTGGTCAACATAGTTCCTGTAGAACTAATTCTCATTTTAGTAAAAAGTATAGAAAACTAGAAGTAAGAGGGATAGAAGCATCACTTCTAATGCTCAGTTTAATTAACAGCTTGAATATTACACGTATACAACTCAAACCATCAAAGATTCAGCACCTTACTCAATAGTTTCGAGTAATCCATACAGAAATTTGTATTAAACATCAAACAAGAAAACAGCAGAACATATAAATATATACATAAATTTCACCATATTGAGAATGGCATTTACGTTAGATTCAACATGTAGGAGTCGTGTGTTATATCTCATATGTCATTCCAACCCTGAGAAGCCTAGTCCGCGGAATTGCCATTACTTTCTCCCCTTGCCTAAAGTTTTTCCTCAGGAAATTATACGCATAATTGACAACAAACTTCTTGAGAAGAGATGAATTCCTTTCTGCTCGCACTTCTGATTCTCCAAGGAGATAAACAAAGCCACTGTCTGTTGCCTTCTGCACAAACTGCATCTCCTCTTCAGCTCCCTCTATAGGCCCTGAGACGATTCTGCTAGAAGAATTTGATGACTTAGCCGCGTTGAATGACTGGATGGATGCTGATGACACACGAGTTGGGTTATTCTGGTGCATTGTTTCCTCAATGTGAACCATGGATGAACCTGATCCTTTGACTTTTCCATCTGTCACTAACAAAGTGGAATGGGGGATGTTCACTGCCTCAGCTGCTTGTTCAGCAAGCCCTCCTTCACGTATGTAGTGTTCATGCTGGATGAAATCTTTCAGGTGTTCCACTAACTGGAGCTCAAACTCCTTGGGTTCCTCAATGGCATCATTATATCCATATCTTACAACACAGCGGAACATTCTGTATTCCCTTGGCTCAACCTGCCGGAACAAATATCTCTCCTCGAGTGCCACTTTACTTATTGGAATAAACTTTAGTGAGACAAACACCAGAACTGAATGGATAGATGGTATGTTGGCAATGAAGTGAGGAAAAATTGGAGGAATGCCCTGCACAAGCTCTGAGTACAGAAGCCCAATACCAGGCACCCTGTTGATATTCGGGTTCTGGGCTAAGTCTCTTATGAAATTACTAGAGACCTTGTTGTTGAGCTCAAACATGTATCTTTGTTTGTGTACATAATGCCATATTCCCATGATCATCATTAGGACAACTGAAAAGGCCAGCGGAAGGTAACCCCCTTGAGTGAATTTGGAGAGGACAGCTGACAGGTACAAAATTTCTACCGAAGCAAACACCACAAAAAATAGAACTATCCACCATATGCTTATCTTCCATATAACAAGCATGATAAGAGAAACCATACAGGTTGTAATGACCATTACAGATACCACAGCAATTCCTGCATGAAAAATGTAGATGTCATTAATCACTCGGAAATTGAGGGCTTGTCTGGTTCAATTCTTTGAAAATAGATAACAGTTTCCAAAATGGTTTTCTGAAAGTAGGCATTTTTTTTATAAAAAAAATCCCTTTTTGGTGAAGAATTTTCTAAACTGTCAATAAAATAAATTTTCGAAATGTTTTATGTTTTTGCATTCTATTCGAACAGAATACTCGAAAGACTGAAAGAAACAGGTGCTGAGTTTTCTGGGCGATATTGACATTATTCAAGTTACCGTGTTCAAAAATCAAAGTTAATGACTGAGATTTCTGAATTTAGAAAGCCTTTGAAGCTTACCATATGCATGGCCGATCTTTTCTGTGGTCTTGAAGCTAAAAGTGACTATAACACAAGCAACCATGAGTAGGTAGTTGATCTCTGGTATGTAAACCTGACCCTCATACTTAGCAGAAGTATGGACAACTTTAACTCGGGGGAAGCAGCCTAGACTCAGGGATTGGGAGATAATTGCAAATGCTCCAGATATCATAGCTTGGCTGGCTATAATAGCGGCACCAACAGCAACAACAAATGTTGGCCAGTATATTGGATCTGACAATGCCATACCAATGAATGTAATAGACAAAAATATTTAATAGTGATAGCTTAAGTCAAGCACAATGAATTGTTTAAATTGGAATAGGACTACCCTTTGAGACTTACCTGGAATAGAGGCGTAGAAAGTATTAGCCACATCTTTAGGAAATTTCATAAGGTACGCAGCTTGTCCACAATATGCAGACAGTAACGCAGGAAACACTATTCCGGAGAAGCTGATCTGCAATTCCATGGAATAGAAAATGATGATTAAAATTCCATTAGTCCTTTCAAATGGAAGCACATAACATAACAAACTTTCCAAATATCACAAAATCTAATGTTCATTCAGTGTATCCGATTTCACTCACTTGAACTGATTGAACACTAAAGTGCCCCAAATCAGCAAACATGGCTTCAGTCCCTGTTTCAAACAAGCATATAATATATTCAAGGAAGAATTACCATAGAGTTGATGACAATAAAGCTTAAAATAACAACTACAAAACCAATAACTCACCTGTAATACAGAGTACAACTCCACCTAAGGAAATCCATCCTTGCTTACCATTTCTTTTGAAGTAATCTACCATGTATTTGGGATTGAATGCACGTAAGACACCCACATCATATTTGAATAAGTTATAGAGGCCAATGCCACTAATGAATGAAAACCACAAGAAGATGATTGGGGCAAAGGAGTAGCCCACTTTATCTGTGCCGAAGCGTTGAACAGAAAAGAGGACAATCAAGATTGCAATTGAGATCCCCACAACAGAATCTGGCACATCAATGATTTGGGCTGATGAGTAACACAATAATGCTACATAGACATTATAGAAGTGCAAATAAAATCCGAATAAATACTACATAGGAATATAGTTTCACACAATTATGCTTAGTAGCTGCAGGCCCGATACAAGTGAAGAGCCTACAAGAAAACTCAAAATGAGGCTTTTTTACAAGAGGGAAAAAGAAAAAGGGAAGTGAGAAGGGAAAAGAATATATGAGAAGTCTCCCAACTCATACAGGAAGTAGACCTTGCAATTTTAGTTAAACAGAATTATGTAAAAGTCTTAAAACAGAAAATCGTTTATAGAATATCACAAAAGACATTTAAAATCAAGTCTTTTAAAACTATAATATATTAACCAAATAAATTTTTGTATTAAATTTTTTTGTTATTGAGAACAAGATAACTTTATTTAAAAACAAAACCAAACATACCCAAAACATCTGCATATCGATTTTAACAATACAATAATTTTCTTCTCCAGTTTTTCATAGTTACTCCTTCATAAGGGGATCACATCAAGAAATTGAATAAGTGTGTGTGTTTTTGTTTTTTTTTTTTTTTTTTTTTTTTTTTTTGTTATAATAAAGAACAAAGGAATTATTTATTTATTTTTTAAAATACAGAAACTCACTCGTACATACACTTTGCTTCAGAAACTCTCCGTGAGTCGGTGGTACAAAAGAAAATAAGGAGACTCATCAAAATCTACTTGGACTTTGAGATGGAGATGGCAGAAATTACCTTCGCTTAAGGAGTTGATCCCACTCACGGCAGAAAGGACTGCAAAAGAGCAACTTTTTAGTTTAGTTAGTTTATTAAGTGAATAATGTGTAGGGGCAAATTAAATGTAGAGGTTGATATATATATATATATATAAATAATAGGAGTAATTTAGAAGAAATGAATGAACCTGAGATGCTGGGAGTTAGAACCCCATCGCCAATGACCATTGAAGTACCCAAGATGGTGACAAGAAAAAGCAGAATCTGGGCAGTTTTACTGTTCTCCAGCTTCTGTTTGATATTTTGAGCCCGTTTCAACTGGTTCGACGGTATGTCCAGCCTGTAGTTGGATAGCTCTCCGTCCTCTGGTTGGTGATTTGGAATCAAGCTCACCTTTGCGTACCGGCATATCAACGAATACAGTGCAAACGTACCCCCTATATATACAATACAACATACCCATATGCTCATTTCCATTTTTATCTAGAAATCTTGAGTAATTATATAAATAACCCCATAACTTTATCCTTTGCACCATTGATTTTTCTTTTCTCTCACTAACGCTCTCATTATCATTTAAAATCGCCCCGCCAACATTTAATCAGTTTTACTTCATGTGATTGATATTCTAGGGAATTAAAGTATTTTTTTGTGACCTACCTTGGGTATTGTATACTTTCTCTTTAAGCAGACAGAAGAATTGGAAATTAATTAATTAGGGAAGAAATGAGGAATAAAATGACTGATGTATGGATGGAGGAAGTAGTGGTAAAGTAGTACTGACCGTCACCGTTGTCATTTGCCCACAAAACAATGAAGACATACTTGATCATGGGAACGAGGATTAAGGTGTAAATGATGAGGGATAAGACTCCAATAGTATCATTTGTGTCCCGGATCCCATCTGTAAATGTATTCGCAAACACATAAAGAGGAGACGTCCCTATGTCACCATAAATCACCCCTATGCTCTGAAAAGCCAGACTCAATGTCACCCTCCAATCTACCTGCACCCACCAATCACCTAGCTCCATCAATCATAAATACCATAAACACAAATTAACCCACCATATATATATATATATATATACACATATATAAGAGAAACATAAGTACTTGTTGTACATAAACATAAGTACATATTATATAGTTATGTATAAGAAAAATCAAGGAAGAAGGAAAGCTGACATTGGAGGTGTGGGTTGGACTAAAAGAAACTCTTCCAGCCTCCAAGTTGAGGGAGTCCACACGACCCAGCGTTGCCCATGACACCTTTCGCTCTTTCATGTTTCTCATCTCTGTTCCTGTTCCTTCTCCTGTTGAATTTTCCATCTCCGAATTAGCCAATTCACTGCTTCTCTCCCCCACTGTCGACGCTGCCATTTTCCTAGCTACCGTCACAACTAACTTGCTTTCTTTGTTGTAAACCTTAATTGTCCGTTGAGTTTGGGGTTCTTATATATAGGATCAAAAGTCAAACCCTTTAGGCTAGCTCTAATTTTTTGTGTTTTTTTGTTCACCACTTTAGGCTAGCTAGCTCCTTAGTTTGTTGCTAATTAATCGTCATCTATATTATTATACAGTATAATATACCCACTCTCCAGTGCATTTCAAGCCATGGAAGGTGTTGTACGTTAGTTCCCTCCTAAATCAAATTCCTCAAACGCCAAACAATGCGTGTGAAATTTACACATACAAGAAAATCAAGCACGCGCATTGATCACAAAAACATCAATATATAATCCTCTTTCATTATTAATCAATTAATTAGTGTACTGTTTTACTTTTACAGGGTAAGGACTAAGCATTATTTAGTACCGTACTGTTGGAAGTACACTGGAGGATTGCTTCAGGGGAGAACAAAGGGTCAAGGGAGCCGGTGAGTATTCATAATTATCAACTTTAACTGACATTAAAAAAGATGACACAATTTTTTTTTATTTATTAATATTCCAGGTGAAAATGATTGATATAGAAGTGCATTTGTTCAGATGTATTTGGTCTAATAATAACCCTTTCTCTTTCAGAGAGTTCAACTCTTTAAAACAATATTGTGTTTGTTCTCTCTAATAAATATTCGTTTTATTAATCTACAAATCATAACTTCCTCAATAAGTGCTTTTTCAATTCTTACGGTAGTAGGTTGTGAGAAAAGTCAACTTAGTTTGCTTTGAAAAAATATATATATATATATATGTGGGCAACATGCTAATTGACAAAAGAGATTAATTTTCATTTTTTTTTCTTTCCCGAAAGAGACAATAAAGTTGAAAGTATCAGCTACAATTATAAAAAAATTAAATTATTAAGGTATAATTCATTATTTAAACATATAATTTGGTGGTACCCACCCTTCTAATATTACTGTCAAATTTTAAACCCTCTTACCTTCCGAAAAAAAAAAAAAAAAAAAAAAAAGAACAATTAAACCCTCTTGACTTTTGACGGAACTCTATGTATTACTTGATCAAGTTGACTTCCGCTTGCATTATTGGAATCACATTCAATTTTATCGAATCTGAAAGAACCACCTTTATATTAAATATAAAAAATCTAGCAACAGTGCCCAGGGAAGAAAGGATCGTGCAAGGATTGTTTGTGCATGTCACAACTATTTATATATATATTTTTCCTTTTCACAGGGGCAATAGAGTTGAAATCTCGAGCTAGTCACTGAATCACAATAATACAGTAATTAATAATAAGTTATAAATCACGGTTTAATAGTAAATATATACACACTTTTGAGTCGTGAAATCCCCATTGCAAGGTTGCGTACGGCCCTTTCTAATTTTAGTGTCATACCTTAAAACTCTGTTGACTTTCATTAGCGTTATTGGATCAATAATAAGTACTATTAATAAGTTATAAATCACTGTTTAATGGTTTTTTTAGTCAACAGATGTACTTTAATTAAAAACAGCCATGTGCAAGTGCTTGTTTTATTTAACCTTTTTTTATTATTATTTTAAAATGTCACTGTCTAAAAAGCAATGGGGACTAACTTGAAAAAAATAATAATAATAATAAAAGCAATGGGAACTTCTAAGTTTGTTATGCAATTTGAGAAGCAATTATTATATAATCCGGAATGTCCTGAATAAGTACAATAAAAAAAAATAATAATAAAGCTAATACTGCTGACCCATTTGGTTATGTGTCACTTTTTGATTAACTCAGAACTAATAATTTCGCAACTGTGTTGTAATTTTTCCATATTAACATTTTACTTCTCAACATTTATTACGTGCAATCTAAATCGGGCGCATTTTTTAAAAACATGGCATACATCTTAATTTTGGTAATTCGGGATGCAAAGTTCAAAGAAGTTGAATTCTTAAAAGGACCATATTCACATAATGATATGAGATAATTTTGGTTACAAAAGGGCATACCTTTCTCATATGAGATAATTTTTTTTTATTTTAAACACGATGGATAAGAATTAATCTCATAACACCACTTTTGAATTACCTCAAAAGAATATAAATGGAAGAAATTAAAGGTATGAGCAAGCTATTCAGTCATGCATAAAAAGATCGAATATACATTACAAATATATATAGGCAATATTCATGCTATATATATATATATATATATCCAATTTTATTGATAAAACATCCAATACAATCCACATGATTTGTAGTAAAACATGACACTGCCATTTCTTGAATATACTAGAATAGCTCCCATTCATATATATTTTTGTCTTTACAGGACTCATCAACCCCCTCCACAACCTCCACAACCTCCACCACCACCACCGCAACCACCACCACCATCACCTCCGTCGCGTTTCTTCGGAGAACCACACGCAAATATGATCATTGACAAAATTGAGAGGGACATGAGAATCATGCAGCAGAACAAGAACAGTCCCTTAGACTCAGAGTTCCCAAGCTGGATGCCCTCTCCATATGAATTGGCATCACCCATAGATTCAACCATTGTATCACTCATTTCTTGTCTCTCTCTCTCTTGTCAAACTTCTCACCTCTAATCTAAAGGCTCTAACTGGACCACGTATTTATCACTAATCTTGTGAAGCTAGCTAGCCGGCCATTTAGTCAAGTCATCAAAAAGAGTTTTATTTCCTTAAATTATTTTTATTTTTATTTGTTATTTCATTTGAGAGAGTAAAGCCTGCCTGAATAGTTTGACTTTGCATTTGTGAGAGTACCTTCTTTTTTTTTTTTTGTTTTTTTTTTTTTCCTAATTTGTGAGAGTACTTGACAATATCAATATATTAATTTAATCACTTTAGATTTTTTTTTTTTCATATAGTATTTCCCTTGCTTCCCAAGTTTTGTTTTCCATCCCTCAACACGTACCAAATGACTTTACTTTGCTCCTTTTCTTGACTAGGGAGTATTTGGTTTGATTCTTTAGGAACGGTTTTAATAAATTCCAAAACATTAAAAAAAAAATAAAAAAAAATGCATCTTTCGATATAGAATTTGGAGCTTTGAAATTGGAATTGCTGGAATTGAAAAAAAAATTAGTTCAGTTTTCTGAATTACTTTCTTTAATTCTACCAATTCAATTCTAAAATTCTAATTCCGTACCTGTCAAACATAACCAAACAGTTTTCAATCACTAATAAGTCCTATTTATTCATTAAAAGCACTTCTGTATATATATAAATGTCTCTGATTTATCATCATCATTAAGCAGTCCCTCTCTCAAATCCTAAAACAAATGGCCTGACTAACCTTGGTTGTTGGGCCTGAATGTTCGGGCTTGTTCATGTTTCAAATTACTTTTGGTTCTCTTGGTTAGCCTGGCTTGTTGGGCTATTCTTTGGCCTCTGTACATTTACCTATATTTACATTCACCACATTGCTTTAACATTCGAAAATAAATAAATAAATAACTGAATTTTTTAGCTAGCCTTCACAAATAAGCGAAATTAAAACCTACTTAAAAGCATGATAAATTAATCTAGTGCACCTACTATTTAACATACAGCAACTAATTTATCTAGAAAATTGCATGCTAGAAAAGGATATATATACAGTGGAGATAATAGAATCCGCATGGAATTCACAAGTCACAACATCCAAAACTAGGAACAATATGCACAGTCCATGGAACATGTGATTGTGCTGGACTTTTGACTATCGCTAGAGGTCCTCTGTCTTCATTTGAAATAAATAACAAAATGATTGCATACTATTTTTTTCCTGTAAGAATTACAACTCCTACCATACTTAAGCAGCATGTTCGTTATAGTTCTATAATATTAATTCAAAAGCCTCCCAACAGATGTTATCCTCCCATCTAATAGAATTGAAAAATGATTTTGGAGAAATTGTGTAGCCAGTGGGTGTTTGTTTATTTATTTAAAAGTTTAAGTCATTGAATAGGGTTGTATACTCATTTATTTATACCTATTTAACTTTATATTCAAATTTGATATGTGACAAATATCCTTGTAATAGTAAGCCTCTTGAAATTTGATATATGACAAATACCCTTGGGTGTGTTTGGATAGATAGGGGAGAAAAGAAAAGAAATGATAGTATTAGTTATGAGAAAAAAAAAAAGGAAAGGAAATAAAGGATAATAATAATTTATATTTGTGTTTGGATAGATAGGGGAGAAAAAAAAAAGAAATGATAGTTATTCTTATTTAGATAAGATAGAGGAGAGAAAAGAAAAGAAAGAATAGGAGACAAATTACTTTTTTACCCTTTCATAACTATGGGACTTGAATGGAATAATAAATCTGTATATTGATTTGTGGAGGTTAATTTTGGTATTATCAAAATACCACTTAAAATCACTATGCTTTCTCTCCCTATCTTCTCAAAATTAAAGAGAAAGCAAATAAGAGATAGGGAGGGATAGCTATCCCTCTCTATCTCTCCCTATCCCTCCCTATCCATCCACTTAACTTACCCAAACACAAACTTGCACTATTCTTTCTTTTCTTTTCTCTCCCTATCCCTCCAAATTAACCCTACCAAACACAATGACCATCTTTCCCGTGTGACCAAAATAAATTCCTTTAAAAGGTTAATGTGATGGATATGTTATGTGATTTCGGATTTCTGGTGACTGCACTAGGTTATTTGAGGCTTAATAAATGAGTGTGTGAAGCCTAGGGGTGGCAAATTATGACACGACGTGATAATATGATACGAATACGACACAAGTTAAAAGGAATTGAGTTTGGCATAAACGGATTTAGGTCATAAAAGGATCGACACGATTAACCTGTTTATTTAACCGTGTCGGGTTAGAGTTGAGGGGTTCAACGCGCGTAACCCATTTGTGACCCATTTAATTCAACATGTTATAATCGTGAATATGACTTATGTAATATGTTACCAATTTAAACTTAATTACTATGGATAATTAAGTCATTTTAACATAAACTTTGTATATACTTTATGATTTTTCTTTTTATTTTGAATATTTGGGTTAATTATGATAAATTTTTTCGATTATTTAGTATTTGATTATATATTAAATGTCACGTTTTGATAAATAGATTATTAAACGGGTTAGTACGTTTACCTGTTTAATAAATGAGTTGGGTTAGTGTTGAGGATTCTTGGCATGATTATTAAATGGGTTAGATTTGGGTTTACCTATTTAGTATAATACTCTTACATCGATACGACACGAACACAACCCATGAAAACGAATTGCCACCCCTAGTGGAACCCACTTGTGCCTAATGGCTACCTAGATGTAATAGGGGAGTTTGTTCTATATCGGATTCGGATGAAAAAATGAATGGGTATATATGGGTTAGGTGTTAACCCCACTGAATAGCTTAAGTTTTTGGGTCGTATCGCGAAGCACTCACTTGTTCATTTGATATCAAAATCAGTCCTTGATTCGATGTCACGCTAAGCGCCTGGCTAAGCCGCAACAAGTGTGTTGCGAATTCGGGTGAGAGAGAATATAATAAGAAGGGAAACTTGTCTCACATCGAATCCGAATGAAAAAGTGAATATATATGAATTGGGTGTTAGCGCCACCAGAGGCGGAGCTCCCAGTGAGTTAGGTCTAAAAAAATAAAAATAATAATTAGTACTATTATTTCCTATTAGCTAGAGTCCAGCCCAGCCCAAACTGCCCAATACATAATAAAACATGAATGATAAAGGCCCAGCCCAGAAAACAAGCCTACAAACAAATTAGATTTAGAAGATTGAAGAAGACCTAATGGCTGTTTGACATGATGTGGTATTATTTTTGGTATTTTCATACTCTCTGCTTGAGGGTGTCTTTTTTTTTTTTTTTTTTTTTTTTTTTTTTTTTCCAGTAAATTCCCTACTTGAATTTTTTCTTTAGCCCTCCCTATTTTCAAATCCTGGCTCCGCCCCTGAGTCCCACCTAATAGCTTAAAGCTTTTTGGTCAGATGACTAAGCACCCATCCATTACAATAAGGTTATAAATCTTGGAACCGGCTCACCGCAGAGCCGGATCGTCTCCTCTGCTCAATACTAAGCTAGTTTTTTAATGCTAAAAAATTGTTTGTAGTAAAATTGACTTAATAATCTCAGGGCCAGTTATTGCAATTTGTAAGAACACTAAATTGAAGATTTTTTAATGTCTTTCATTTTTTTATTATCAAATACAACACCAAATTACTTGGGCAGTTTTGGTCAAAATTTTGTAATATGACGATGTTGAAAAAATTATTTGTACTAAATTTTTTCCAATTTTAAATTTAAATTATCGAAACATATCATTAAAGTAAGAAAAATAATTAATTCAGATGTTTATTTTCAATGTGTAAAATTTGTTTCAAGTCGGGCGTGAATTTTCCTTTTAGTTGCAAAATACTAACAATATAAGAATTATATTTAAATTTTTTTAATTTTTTTTTTAACGCGAATTATATTTAAATTGGGGAAGTCATGATTCACGAATGACTGGCATAAGCATATAATAATGATTGTGAACCTTCCAAAGCTTAAACAAGGTTCACAAAACACAACCATTAAAAAAAGGATTTGGAACAGACCTAGTTTTTAATCTCCTTACTAAGCAGCAAATACCTTCACCTAACCCAGTACCAACCTACAACCAACTCATAAATTTTGAGCAAAAAGACAATATATATATATATATATATATATATATATATATATATAATAAACTGAGTAGCATTTGAGAAAGCTGATTGTAGACCATTGTGGTTCGAGAACAAGACGTTTGAAAAAAATGAAATATGTTGCTAACTAACATGCAGCCTTGCATAAATTTTAGAGTAAATACAATGGGGAAAATCAACATCCTTTTATCACAAATTACATTTTAGGATTGCCTTCACAGATGAATCACCATGCTGAAGGAAGTAGATTGGAGTTCAATGAAATGATGATGTTTACAAGAAGAATTATCTTATTTCAACTTCCCGGTTACAGGGTAGGAAATGGGCACCACAAATTACATTTACCAACCCATTATACTGCCAGTAAACCAGTAGAATGAACATTGCCGAAGCAAATATATGTAACCAGAAATTTATGTACATATATCGTATATATATCAACTACATATCGTATATATATCAACAGATGATTTGCCAAGCCGACACGTATGCTTGAGTAAAGTACTTCAGAAGGGGATCCAACCCTAAGTTTCCGGTGCAGGTGTTATTAGTTCCTAATAGAATGAGGAAAGTAGTAGTTATTATGAATCAGTTTCCAAACTGCTAGACCAAAAAATAAAAATGAAAGCAGAGAATTATTTTACCTCAGAAAATTGCAAATTCCTGTGTTGCACCTTGGTAGTTCTAACAATTGTTTCCCACTTGGGATCAACAGTTGATGTCTTGGCAGCTTGGTTTCTAGGATTAATCCCAGCACCAAGACGTGACCGCGAAGATGGATTCTTTGAGGACATTGAGGGCAAAGTACGATGAAGCCAGGACTCTGAAGGAGATTTTGGTAAAGGTGGGGGAAGATGAAACTCTGAGTAACTTCCATAAGAATTTTCTACATTTTCCACTTTTGGACACTGCTCATCTTCAAAATCCAGGTTCCTATTATGAGGCAGTTTTGAATTAGCTGAAGTAACAGACTCCCAATGAAGAACATCTTTATCATGTTTAAAACCCTTTGCCACGTCCATTTCCAATGCCTCAACTTCTTTGTCAGGAAAAGATAAGGGACCAGAATCGGCTAGTTTCAAGATTTTAGGTTGCAAAATTGCTTCTTCATCCACAATATTTAACTTGTCAATATCTTTAAGTGAAGAATCTACTGAGGGTGTTTCTTCCGTTTCCCTAATATTTGCAATGATCTCCAAATCATTTTCTCTTGATTTAGCTAGCCCCTTCATACCTGAAGAAAATGAATTTGGATTTGGAGATTCCACCTTATGTACAGAATCTACATACACAGTTTTCTCAACCAAAGGACTCGCTGCGCCTATTTCCCATTCAGTGCTCTGATCAGCCAATAATTCCCGAAAGCTGGTAGGACTTTTTTTATGCGAATTGAAGCCATTGATCCCAGCACTCTTTGCTTCTTCTGGAATGCCAAGGAATCCCCTTTCTTCATAAAATGGTAGTTGAGGTAATTCACTCTGATAGGGTGATATGCCACTACCCTGCAAACGCCTGTACAGAGATGATCCTTCCAACTTCTGAGAATTACTCGGGTAAGTAATTTGGTTAGATTCACTTTTCATCATATTCTTCTTATCTTCACGCAGCACAGCTGTTCGTGGTCCACCTATTGATCTTTGCTCGTAAGTACCAACTTGACTATGCTGTAAAAATTAGAAAGTGCAATTAATCAACATGAACCTTTGGCAAAGGTAAGCACAACATAAAATTAAAGAAAAGAACATAAAATAGAAGGATAAAACTTAGATACCTCATTGTCAGTTTCACTGCAAGAACCAGTAGATGAAGATCTAGCCTGCATTCTACTGGCAGGAGACATGGGCACCCTAGTCCGTACACTCATTCCCGGTACTGGATTTAAAAGGCAAAATGAACTTTTTAAGCAAAACCGAGGTAGTAAGCCACAAACTCTGGCTGTGACATTTCTGGTTTCATCATAATCATCTTCATCATCACTTTCTTCTTCTTTATTATCTTTGTCATAATTTGGTAAAATGTTTGGCCTATAGCGATAGGTTGGCGGCCGCTTCTCCTCAGCTAATACCTTCTTAACCTGTCTTGGTTGTTCCCATACAACAGGTTGCTTCCTGGAAGCATATTGAGGTACTTCTGAAGCCATTGCCTTAGCTGCTGGCAGAAACCGACCCATCATGAAATCTCGAGTTTGTGGATCCGCTGAAAAAGTTCCAGATGGTTCCACATCAGGATCATACAATCCACTTAAACCACTTAAGCTACAGTTTAAGAAGAACGATTCAGTTCGTGAAAGTGTATCAAGTGCATCTAAATATGCTTCATCACCATCCCCAGAATCAGAACTCTCCTCCTTTACTGCATCTTTGGAGCTCTGAAATTTTGTCAGATTTTCATCTATAGATGAAACACTCTTTGAGATACAAGGGACTTTTCCAGCTTTGCGACTTATGACACTTGGATCTTCAGCAACTTTGTCTGGAGCTTGCTGTTTAACTTTCAAAATCCTCCCAGGCGGAAGTTTAGGGGCGGTGGGAGGCTGTTCAAGAGCCTGAATTTGTCGTTTTCCTTCATCCTTTGGTCTTCCTGGGGTCTGTTCCCACCTAAAAGGAACAGCCCCAGCGTTCCTTACCGGACCTGACTTCAGTTCTGATTTGTAAGACGGAAGGGGTGGTAAAGAAGGAAGGGAATTATCAGTTCTCCTTTTGTAGCCTTTTACCGCGGACACTGTTGATGAGAATCGCCTCACAGATAGAAAAGGTTGGTTTAAATCTAACTGCTTATCCTCCATCAGATTCTTCAGCAACATGAAACCAAGAAGTCTCTGCAAAAATAGCGTCTAACTAAAACAAGGTGCCAAACTCAGACAATAGAAGTGAAGTAAAAGTAGGTATGTATTATACTTCTATGCTGCTGTCTGCTATTTCTCTTTTCTTGGATTATTTTGTATTCTATTGTCACCAATTATCCACTTAAATACTACTTATTGTCTGCCTAAACTAGGAGGATTAACCTGAAAAGAAATCCCCAAAAATGCAGCCCTTTCTCCAATAAAAAAGGTAAACAAGTAACACATCACCTTCTGAGTAAATCATGAACATGATTTTTCAGTTTCAATGTAGGGCGAATATGATGAAACATCTCGATGGAAACCCCTTGATAAAGCTCCGAACTGTGGGGTTGCTTTTCTGGTTTTTTTCCGTATGGACCATAGTTGTTTTAGTTTGTTACTAGATTTTACTTACTGCATCTCAGCATAAAGCTTAAAATGAAATTGTGCTTTCGAGATGTCATTCAGTAATTATTATTATTATCATTATTATTTTCCTTTTTTGTTTTTGATGTGTGCCAATCATCTAGAAGGCATTCCAGAAATTAAATACTCAATAGCAAACCATATCGATTTCATTTGATGGACTAATTTCAAATTCTGTTTTGGAAATCAAATCCCCATCCTCTTCCCAAATTCAAAAGATCTAACTCTTAATTTCAGATTTTCTAAATAAGTGGGCATCTTATTTATCCTATTTTTCTTTAAATACACTGCATTTATGTGAATTGTCAAAATTAAAGTAGCAGACAATGGTCAAAAGCTCTGCTCCCCATTCCTGGTTCTGTACCAAATTACCAATATGAATCAACAAGATTTGAGATTCAATGTGGTGTTTTGTGTGTGTGTGGTGGATAAAATAACAGAAAAAACTGTTTCTGCTGCAACATGATGCTGAAATCTTTGAAATAAAAATCATAAGCTTTGACCCACAATAGACCCTTTACCTTTCAATCTTAACACAAACATTATAAGAACACACTAAATTTAAGTGTGGGTCCCAAATCCTGATCCTTAATTGAATCACAAAGGAAAGAGAAAGCAGTAAATGTTTGTCACAAGGAACAAGCTTTATTCCAAGAATGTATAAGAAATAAAATTTGAATCTTCATTTTCAATCAACCAAAAAACCCAAATCTTATTTATGGAAGGAGAAGCCAATTCAAAGTTTTTGTATAAAAATTAGCAACCGAATGGATCAAACAATGGAATTTTTTTATATTGCATCAAATACCATCAATTTGAAAAAACAATTATATGCACAAAAAGAAGAAGAGAGGTTCAGAGTGAGAAACATGAGAGAGAGAGACAGTGAGTACCTCTGAGAAATTGGCGATGTTGAGCTGAACCGATCTGTATTGCTGGAATGATAGAGCATATGTTATGCCAGAGCTGTGAAACACAGACAGACTCTTCAGAGAATAGAAAGGGAGAGAATAAAAGAAGAGAGAGATATAGAGAGAGAAGTGAAGAATAAACCACTTTGTACGCTTGTGCTGTATTTTTCTTGGGGTGGCTGAGTTTGAGCTTACCCTCCGTTAATGGAAATTCGAAAACTGTACTAATGAATTGTAAAATATCTTATGATAAAGATACGTTTCTTTGTTTAGTTGTTTTTTTTGACTTTATTAATTTTCTAATCACTTGTTTTGGATCATGTGATCATCTTTATTAAGAAAGCATACAAGTCATTGTCTCACACACATCTGTAGTTTGTTCATGTGTGAAACATATAAAAAGTTGAAGCCCACACTGCTTTCAACTTGCCTATTGAATTATTGGTACATCATTATAAATAGGATGTTCTCTCTTTCATGATTAACTCTATTATTGTGATTTGAGTCACTTTGATTGTCATGATAATTTTAAATCTGTTTGTAATTTTTTCACCAATTAATTACAAAAAATGGTACTTATCACATTGAGATATTAAAATAATATCTTCTATTGTAAGGTTAAAATTTTAAATCACAATAAAATATAAATGATTTCACTCACAAGACATGAATAAAGGTTCTACTTTTCAAAGTATATATCTAAAATCACTTAAAAAAAATAAATAAAAAAGATTAATCATGTCACTCATCAACATGGATGAGTAAAAAAAGAACATTAGGTATTGTTAAACTTTCTTAATTCTTTGATATACGAAACATGTATAATAATGTTGTTAAACATATTCTTAATTAATTTGGTCTTCTTTCATTGCAACTAACAATTAAAGATGTGTATTATTTATGTCTAAGCGGTTTTTCCTCTTTGACCAAATTGAATGCACTTGGGAAGCAGTGCTGATGGTAATGGGTGCAAAGTCTCGTGCAGACATCCACATAGTGGTGTGCAATAAAGGCTACTAGGCTAGGCGAGAAGGGGGGTGTTTGTACCCATGAATAAATTTATGTTTGTATCAATAAACAAACAACGTCAATCTCAAATTTATTGTTCATTTACTTGGGTGGGCTTTACTCTTGTATCAAATTTATTGAGGTAAAACGTAAATTTTAATTATTATTATGAAGCGCTTTTTAATGTAGACCATGTTAAAAAAAAAGGTTGTGCATGTCCATCAAATTGTGTTTGTTAAAATATATAAAATAAACCTATATTAGAGTATAAATCTTTAAAACACATGCTTACAAGCACAGTTCAAAAAGTGTCAAAATTGAATTCCAAGTTTGAAAATCAGTAAATACCAAAATCAGTAGTATAATTTATGTCACAAAAAACAGTAAAAAGTGAGTGTTTAAACTACAAACACGCTACCAACATCTCCAGTTACTATACAATATGGTGTGGTCCCTCTATAAAAGTCTACATCATGTCATTATTTAACTTCAAACTTATTAAGATGTAGGGTAAGGGGATTAAGATGTAGGGTAAGGGGATAGGATAGATACAGCCTAACGATAGATATATAATTTATTATATTGTGGACTGTAATATATTGCAATTTTACAACATGCTACTAGTAGACACTAGACAGTAAGTAATAAAGGGTTCACGTACACGATGTACTAGATGTTGGTGAGGCACAGCCACCCCATTTCGCCAGCTGTCTGTCGGAGGGAAGAGGCAATTTTGCGCGCGCCAAGCACGTGACTCACACCCCACTCCTCAGAAAGAGAAATGAAAAGAAGCCCGCATTGCAGCTTTCCTACTCGATCCATCAATTAATATCACAAAGCCCAAATATCAATAACAACCGCCCGTCACTCTCTCTCTCTCTCTCATGTTTCCTTGTTTGCATTTTCTATATTTTCATTCTCTATCCAAAACTGATCTTTGATTTAGACATGAAGGTGAGTTCTCCATAAAATTAAGATTCAAATGTTACTGTCCGGCAGAGGGGGTGGAGATTCAAGTCCTCGGATCTGCTGGTGGTAAGCTCATCGTTCTTTCCTCTGCAATTAATCCCACATACACGCATACATATATATATATATATATATTCATATGTGTCGGTACATACATATATATATATATATTTAAGTCTATAAATGTGTATGAATGTCAGTTATGTTGTTTTTCTGATTAAATTTTGATCGTATTGAGTTTTTGAATAGCATGGTAAATGTTGAAATTTGGAATGAACTCATATTGGTTTATTGAAATTTTCATTGCAAGTTTTAAGATCAAATCTTTGGTACAAACGCAGGGTTGAATTGTGTTTTTGGAGGTGATTGATTTTGGGGTTTAAGTTCGTTGAATTTTTTTAGCCTTTTAGGTATTAATGACAGAATGTATATATAATTTGAAATAACTCTGGTTGTGTACTGTGTTATTTAGGTTTTCCCAGTAGTAGTTTTAGTTGAAGATCGTGAAATTCAGTCTAAACTGGTTTTAGATTTTAGAATTAGGAAGCAATTACGCCTCAATACCTTAAGTTCAACCCTTTTCTAAGGGAAACTGATGGAGGATGAGTGCAGACACACGCACTCTATTAAAATTTAGAAGCACTGACACAGGCCGAATATGGAGAAACACTCTCCTACAAACACAAAACTTAGAACTGATGTTGGGGCATTGTTGAAAGGGCTTCTTTAAACTCGATATTTTTAGTTCTATGTTCGAAGGACAGTAAGGGTATGGGGTTTCTACCATAAATACAACTGAATTTTTAGTTCTATGTTCATTGTTGAAAGGGCTTTTTAAACTCAATATCGAGTTTGAAGTGTTGGGAGTATAAGAACCTATGAGCTTCATCTTTTCCCCCTTTTTCAAGGTAGAACGAAAAGCATTGGGAGACTGGTGTTCATTATTGTAATATTGAGTTTTTTTGGTACAAGGAAAGCAATTGTTGGAGATTGGGAGCTGAAGACATATCTTTAAATTGATCTAGAATTTGAACCACAAAGGAGTTCCATTTGTTTGTTCTCCTTTTGAATCACAATGCATTCTTCATGCTCTTTTTGAATACTCCTACCCACATCAATAATCTTGGATTCCATGCTGTTGATCTCTTTTTTCATCTTATACCGAGCCTTTAGCTCAAGTGGTATCTCCTCCTTCATTTGGGGGTTCAAGTTTCTATAGGAGCAATAGTAGGTGTGTATCTTACCTACCCAATTTTTTTTTTTTTATAAAAAAACTCTTCTTTAATCTAATTTTCTTGTAATCCACCTTTGGCATTCTATTTGAAATTATCAAGAGCTGGTGGTGTTTTTTGCTTGCATTTCTCATTTGGATTCAAACAATATGCAGGAAGACTCTGTCATTGAGATTCGAGTAACAGAGTTATTACTTGTTGGACACTGCAAATGTGATAGATCTCATTTGACATATTTTCTGGCAATACATCAGAGCACTGGACTAACAACTTAATTACTCTGAAGGCATGTTAGATTCAGACCAAACAGCTGATTCTTTCACTCTCTTTTTTTTTTTTTTTTTTCCCCTTTTGGTAAGTAAGATTTCATTAAAAGGCGCTCAAGAGGGGAGCTTTCCCAAAAGAATACACAAAAAGCTGACACTGTCCAACTATAATTTTAGACTATCAACAAAATCTACAAAATCCCCCATAGATTTACAATTGTGCCCCCAAACCCAAAAGAATAAAGATCTCATAATTAAGTGTTTGAGAGACCGAATAGGAGTTTCCTCTCTATCAAAGGATCTATTATTTCTCTCTCTCCACAAGCCCCACCATAAACATAGGTGTGTGGCCCTCCAAGCATCCGTAACTTGGCTATCCACTATGCACCCTCTCCAAATCTCGAGCATATCCACCGGTGAACGAGAAGGCACCCATTGCATACCAAACATTGCCAAGAACATGGACCAAATATCCCATGCCACTGGGCATTGGGCAATGAAGGAGAAGATGATTCACCGATTCCTCCGCCTTCTTGCACAAGCAGCACTAGTTTGCCGCCTAACGCCTCCGTCTCAAATTGTCTAGGGTGAGAATCCTGCCAATGGTGACCAACCAAACAAAAAAAAGCAACCTTCAAGGGGCTTTCGATCTCCAATGCGGATTCTTTCACTTCTTTGGTCAGTAGAGTGTAAATAGCCTCCAATTCTTTGCTTGAATAAATGAGAAATTTATTGATTGTTCTACCTCTTTTTTTTTTTTTTTTTCAATTTGTCAAATAAATTTGCTTCAATCTTGATAATCTGGTCATTATTCAAGTTGATTAAGAATACGTTGAATTTTGATATTCAACAACAATTTTTTAGCTTGGATTTCATGTTTCTTCATCTCAATTGTAGTTGCTGTAAATAGGAGCAAAAAAATAGAAGAGAAGATTTCTTGTATATGACTTAGATGTGAGTACATGTGGTTTTATATAGGAACCCAAGACATACACTCAGTACATTAATTTAGCCAATTACAAGAAATTAAGCTAATCAAAATCCTATAATCAAGCTAGCAGATTTAATGCATCAGAATATTCCTATAATTAAGCTAGCAGATTACATGTAGCAGAATAGTCAACTTTCCTAATTAATTACAGGTTGTAAACAGCCTATATTCATGACACTCCCCCTCAAGCTAGAGAGTAGATATCAACAACTCCCAGCTTGTTGCAAATAGAGTCGAATGCATTCTTTAGAAGAGCTTTAGTGAAGATGTTAGCTAGCTGATTGCAAGAGGGCACAAAAGGAGTCACAATCTCATTTGAAGCTACCTTAGAAGGAATGAAATGACAATCCACTTAAATGTGTTTTGTCCGTTCATGAAAAACTGGATTGCTAGCAATATGAATGGCGGCCTGGTTATCACAGTAGAGAGGAGTTGGATCTTGCACTGAGATTCCAAACTCTTGTAGAAGGCTTCTCAACCAAGTTAGCTCACAAGTTGTGTGAGCCATTGCACGGTATTCAATCTTAGCACTAGATCGAGCAACAACTGATTGCTTCTTACTTCTCCAAGTCACAAGATTACCCTTAATAAAAGTACAATAACCCATAGTTAATCTTCTATCTGAGGGAGAACCTGCCCAGTCTGCATCAGTATACCTTTCAATGCGAAGATGTCCTGAAGATTGGTAAAGAAGACCACGGCCTGGAGCACCTTTGAGGTACTTTAGAATGTGTACAACTGCATTCATGTGAGGGACCCGTGGGTTGGTCATGAATTGACTCACCACACTGACTGCATATAAAATATCTGGTCGAGTGATAGTCAGGTATATCAGCTTACCAACTAGTCTTCTGTACATCTCAGGATCATCAACTAAGTCACCAACATCATACATCAATTTCTGATTAGCCTCCATAGGTGTAGCAATAGGTCTAGCTCCAAGATGACCCGTGTCTCTCAATATATCAAGAACATATTTTCGTTGAGACAAATAAATGCCTTTCTTTGATCTCGTAACCTTAATACCAAGAAAATAACGAAGCTTGCCCAAATCTTTAGTAAGAAAGTTTGAACCAAGATGACTAATCAAAGTCTGAATGTCCTTACTGTCACTTCCAGTAATCACAATGTCATCCACATAGACGACCAATATCACAATACCATGTTTTGTCTTCTTAAAGAACACCGAGTGATCAACCTGACTTCTAGTCATTCCATGAGTAACCACAACTTTGCTGAATTTGTCAAACCATGCTCGAGAAGACTGTTTGAGTCCATAAATAGATTTATGGAGATGACAAACACACTCCCCCTTGGACTCAAACCCAGGTGGTTGACCCATGTACACTGTCTCACTCAAATCTCCATGCAAGAGGGCATTCTTAACATCAAGTTGATGAAGGGGCCAATCAAGATTTGCAGCAAGAGAGATAATAATATGAACTGAGTTTAGCTTGGCTATAGGAGAAAAAGTTTCAGTGTAATCAAGACAATAGGTTTGAGTAAAGCCCTTATCAACAAGATGAGCTTTTGACTTGTCAACAGTACCATCTGGATTTTGCTTCACTGTGAAAATCCATTGGCAACCAACAATGTGTGCACTTGCGGGCTTAGGAACAAACGTCCAAGTATTATTCAAGTGCAAAGCATGCATTTCATCCTCCATTACTTTTCGCCAATTAGGATGGGAAAGGGCCTCCTTATATGTCTTAGGAACCGAGACAGAAGATAAGGATATTGTGAATGTCTTAAATGAAGGAGATAAATGATTATAAGATACAAAATTAGAGATATGGTGCTTAGTACAAGACCTTTTACCTTTACGAATGGCAATGGGAATGTCAGGACTAGATGGAGGAGTAGGATCTGCAGGCGCCGAGGAGAGCAATGGAGGATTTGAGGATGGTGCTATTGGTGCTGTAATTGGTTCAGATGGGCAATGAGAAGTCCACGGATGTTTATGAACATAGACCTTAGGATATGAAGGGATGAGCCTAGTAGGATATAAAGGGACGGAAAGAACAGGTAGGGGCCGAACAGACTCTTGGAGTAAAGGCTCTTGTAGTTGACAACCCTCCGTAGAGTAATAGGGAACATTTTCAAAGAAAGTGACATCAGCACATACAAAATGTTTTCTTAATGTAGGACTATAGCATCGGTACCCTTTTTGAGTACGAGAATAATCAAGAAATATACATTTGTGTGCACGAGGGTCAAGTTTATCACGTTTAGGATTTAAATTATGGACAAAGCAAACACATCCAAATACCTTTGGAGGGAGACAGAAGGATCTTTATCAGGGAAGAACATTTTAAAAGGTATTTCCCTTTAAGAACCCGAGATGGCATTCTATTTAAAAGGTATACTGCTATGAGAACAACATCCCCCCAAAGTTGTTTAGGCACATTCATTTGAAGCATGAATGCACGGGCAACAACAAGGATTGGACCATTCTTTCGTTTAGCAACTCCATTTTGTTGAGGTGTATCATCACATGAGGTTTGATGTGTAATACCCCTTAACTCAAAGAAGTGATGAAACAAGAGCATTATCAGTACGAAGAATGTGCAACTTGGCATTAAATTGATTAGTGATTTTAGCATAAAATGATTTAAATGCATCAAACACTTGAGAGCGATCTTTAAAAACATATAACCAAGTCAAACGGTAATGATCATTAGCAAAAGAAATGAAATAACGTGCACCAGACAAACTAGTTGTTCTCGCTGGACCCCAAACATCGGATTGAACCAACTTAAAAGGATGTAAACAAGGACCATTAGGTCGACATTTAAAAGTGGCTCGATGATGTTTACTGAGCTGACACGTTTCTCAATTAAAAGTATAAAATGAAGGTAAAGAAGGGACTAAAAGACGCAGATTGGCAGTTGATGGATGTCCAAGTCTACAGTGCCACTTATATGGAGAAGTCATGGTATAAAAGGCAGAGGAAATTAATATGGGAGAGGGTTGGAAGTAGTAGAGACCATCCTTTTCATATCCCCCACCAATCGTCCTCTTCGTCTTTAGATTTTGAAAAACACAATGAGAAGGATAAAAGGTTACGCAACAATTTAAAGCAGAGGTAATTCTATGAACATATAATAAATTATAAGGAAATTGAGGTAGGTATAAGACAGAAGAGAAAGTTAGACGAGGGGTAGTAACTGTGCCAACCCCTTGAACTGGAGATTTAGAACCATTAGCAATTGTAGCAAAGGAGGAGAGGGAGTACTTGAAAGATTAAAAAGAACAGAGGGATTACTAGTCATATGATCGGAGGCTCCAGAATCAATAATCCATGGCTGATTGGATGAGGAATGGAGGCAATTGTTACCTGAAGCACCCAAGGTGGCGGTTGAGGTAGATGAAACATGAGTGCGCGCCATTAGTGAGTCATACTCTGCTTTGGAAAGAGCTACAGTCTCTTTATCAGCATGAGTGGAGATCTCCCCCTCAACAGTAGCATGATTAGTCCATGTGGGCTTGCCATGGAGTTTTCAACATTTGTCCACAGTATGGTTGGTGCGATTACTAATGTGTGCTCAATGTTACCACTCGCAATGGTACGAATCTTTGTAGGATAGGACTATATAGAGGGTGTCAATCCCACAGAGAGATGAGTGTTCTTTGTTTTGTTTCTAACTAATCCAATTATTTTTGGTTTGCAGGTAACTGATTGAATTTGATTGATTGGTTGTCACGAACATAAAGTAAAATTAAATTGAATTTAAACTAAAGAGATCAGAGAGAGAAGAAATCTTAGGGCTTTGACTTTACCACGAATCTTGTACTATGGTCAACTGTTTAACCATGAGGTTTTAAAGAAAGATGTTTTATAAATTTCAATTAACTATAACTTATCTGCGGTTCGCATGGACTATCCACCTACCTACTTTAACTAATTTGCGGTATAATTCATCTTTCCTAAGCATAGACTATGAAAACATTCATTTATAAAAAATATTGGAACACCATTACATGATCTCCATTCTAATGTCCGGTAGGGCTCCGCCAGATACCGTCCAATAAGAATGGGGTGAGAATAGTTAATGAATACCTAAATCTAAGATAAGGTATTATATATTCAAAAACTATGTAAAACATTAAAATCCAATTGAGTTGGCTCAATTGCTCAGAATCATGCAATAAAAAATATAATATATTAAAAATACCCAAAGTTGAAACAATCAAACCATAGTAGTACTAAGAACGGGTTACATCAGTGCCCTAAGAGAGGAATTAACTACTCATGACGACGCAGAATATCATCTGTGTTGTTGTGGTCTTCATCGTCACGGACGGCACTTCTCTTTTCAGGATCTTCACCTTATAAGGTTATGAAAATTCTAAAAGCCGCCACCACAGTATGAGAACTCTAAACAATACGAAAGAAAAAGGACAATTCTTCTAAGGCCTTGTGCCTTCTTTTATAGAAGAATTAAGGTTCTGGCGGGCTTTTAGGTCTTCTGGCCCATCTTGAATGAAATAAGACATTAAAAAGGATTTATGATAAATCCCGTAACTTATAAGTCCAATCTGTCGTGGAGAGCTCGAGCTTTTGAAGCAAAGCTCGAGCTATTTGGCACGGGCTCGAGCTTTGGAAGCAAAGCTTGAGCTTTCTTGAATGTGGCTCGAGCTTCAAAGAATGGTGCTCGAACTTTACTTTTGTACTTAGTCAAATTTCTTCAACTATTTTCCGAAGCGTCTCCATCAACACTTAGAATATTTTTGGGTTTTCTTCCTTTTAACAGTGCTCGATCCTTTCTTCATAGGGCTCGAGCTTCATGTGGAAGGCTCGAGCTTTTTGAAATCCATCTTTTAATTTCCAACGCCTCAGGCTCAAGCTTTTAGGCAAAGGCTCGAGCACCCCGAGGTAAGTTTGAGCACCCTTATGTAGAGCTCAAGCTCTGTAGGTCAAAGCTTGAGCTTTGATGCCTTAGTTGAATTTCTTGTTTTTTTTTGGAGCTCGAGCCCTAGAACTAAGGCTCAAGCCTTGACACTTGATTTACTCCAAACTTCACCATTTTGACTCTCGGTTTGTTTTGAATGACCGGCAACGACTCTGTAAGTTTCGATATCAGTCTTTTCATCATAAAGTCTCGGTTTTAACCGTTTCTTTGGGAAAGTACCTATAAACACACAATAAACATAAATCAGTCTAACAATGGATAAAAGTATCACTTTAGGTCTTAACATACGTATATTTAGGGGCTTGAATATGCAATATTCAACGCTCATTAATTACAATTTGTACATTTCTTGAGGCCACTATGACCACCTTGAAAATTTCAACCTTTATTCGAAACATATCCCCCACGACCATTATGGAAATTATCAAATCGCCTAATGGGAGCTGCAAGGGCAGAGCGATCGGCTTTCTCTAGAGCAGATAGGTTGGCCCGGAGAACACGATTATAGGCCTCACTAGCAAATGGCAAAAGTGTACCAGCGAGAATCTGAGAACTAACAAGAGCAAATTTGGGTCGAAGTCCAGAAAGAAATTTTGCGACGCGAAATTCTTCCCTGTATCATTTTTGAGTCTCCATACCAGTAGTCAATGGCTGATACACATTCAATTCCTCCCACATACCTTTCAAGGTGGAGTAGTCACATACCTTTCAAGGTGGAGTAGTAATCTTCAATAGAGCAAACTCCTTGTATAGTGGAAAAAAGATCCTCATAAAGCTGATGAATCTGAGAGATGTTTTGCTCAGACGAATACATCTCCTTCAGGGCATCCCAAATCTCTTTAGAGGTTTCAAGAAAAGAGACATTGTTGAAGACCTCGGGCTCCATACTGTTCCATAACCAAGTCATAATTTGGGCATCTTCTTGTTCCCAAGCATCAACCAATTTGGCATCAGTAGGTTTGGTTAACTTAAGATGAGAGAACTTCCCTCGAGCTTTCAAAGCAACTTGGACAGCTCGGACCCATTGAAGGTAATTGGGACCCTTGAGTTTGATATTCGTCATGGAACCAATAAACAGAGAATCTTTAGCATCTGTTTTGTTACCCATGGAGACCAAGCAAGAACGAAATGAGATCCGAGTAAGAATAGGATCCAAGCAAGGAGATTAGCAAGAGGATTCTTTCCAAGCAAGGCTATGCTTTGCCATAGAGTCGATGAAGCTGTAACCTTTTTTTTATTTTATTTTAGATAATAAAACAAATAATAGATATTAAACCGTTTACATAAGAAAATGTAAAACTAAATAGAACTCTAGCAGAAAAAAATAAAAAATAAATAACAAACTAGAATTCTTAGAAGGCACCAGACTTTTGATGTGAGAACAATAGAGAGAAATGGTGGAGACTGGGTGAAGAAGAGGAAGACGGGAGTTGGGTCTCAGGAGCATTTTTGCTCTGATACCATGTTGTAAATAAGAGCAAGAAAATAGAAGAGAAGATTTCTTGTATATGACTTAGATGTGAGTACTTGTGGGTTTATATAGGAACCCAAGACATACACTCAGTACATTAATTTAGCCAATTACCAGAAATTAAGCTAATCAAAATCCTATAATCAAGCTAGCAGATTTTATGCATCAGAATATTCCTATAATCAAGCTAGCAGATTACATGTAGCAGAATAGTCAACTTTCCTAATTGATTACAGGCTGTAAACAGCCTATATTCATGACAGTAGTCATAGGTGGTTAACTAATCTTTTTCTTTTTAATCCATAAAGTCTATCTGTTTTTTCTTCTATAATTATACAAATTAAATTAATAGAATCAGGGTTGATATTGAAGGATATGTGTAACTCGCAGAAATTACACCGCACCAGATAGAACCAGTATAAGCAGCACAAGGAAATGAAACAAGAAATCATTTGATGAGTTATTAGAATGGAAGTACAGTCTATTTAAGCCGCCTTGTAAGAATAAGTATGTTGCCATGTGACTGAAAGAAGGGAAGTAAGTATCCCTTTTAAATCTTCATTATTATAGGCTCCACAGTCAAAATAATATTGTCACTACCCACGCCACTGTGTAAATATTGTCTGCTTTACACACTCTCTGTGCTCATGGTTTTCAAAACGCGTCTGCAAAATTAGGAGACATCCACACATGTAAGTGCCAACACCTCTTCCCCCCGGGCAATGTGGGTGTCACAAATATCATTTTTCTCATGTTCATGTTTCATTGGGTCTTCCTTATACTCTGTCATCATATGTAAGAATAAGGAGGCTTCAAAATATTTAGGTTCATGACGACGCTCTCCTACACATGATTGTTAAAATCCTGATTAGGGCATTGCAATATTATTCAAAAAAACTGATTTGACCTGGATCAAACAAAAAGTTTTGGACGGTGGAATTTTCATTGAATCCCTATGGAATTGATCAAATGGATCTTTCTTCTATTTGCAATTGTTCACGGGCTACACTACATATGATTAAGTAATATATCTGGGTTCTGCTAAACATTTGAATATTTTTCATCCAAACAAACAGAATTTTCCTCCTTGCAGGTCATATGGCCGCCAGCTTAAGGGAGACGGAACGAAAGAAGTATGTGAAGCGGTGATTTGTTGTCTTAAAAGAATATATAGATTGCAAAGGTCTTTTATGGGTAAGAATTTTTGAAACGGCTTTATATTTCAAATATTTATAAACATGAAGGATACACAAGATGATGCAGCATCAGCAGAACAAAGGCTTCCAAATGCTACATGGTGTCCTTCAGATTTTATGGAAAGATTTGGATCTGTTTCTTTGGATTCTGAAGAAGAAACTCTGAGCACTAAAGAATCAAATAACTACGGCAAGCATGATAGGTTGTCGTCACAGACAGCGTCACAGATTCTATGGAGAACTGGAATGCTTTCTGAACCCATTCCGAATGGTTTCTATTCTGTCATTCCTGTGAGTGTTCTTTTTTCTTTTCTTTTTTTATTTTTGTTAATTTTCTCTTTTGTTAGTGCTGGCGAGAATTTGCTGTTACTATGCTTCCTGTTGATTATTTCTCTAGTATTTATTTTTTTACTGAATTTGAGCTCTCAGAGATCTACTGGTGATTTTGCCATAGAAGGAATCTATTTTCTATTATATCTTTGTGTATGCAGTTCATCTGTTTTGATTACAGATCTTGTTCTGCAGATTTGTTTGAGTAATCCTTTTTTATTTCTTTTCTTTTTCTGGATTCTGCTTGGGCAGGTCTATAATATGAGTTCTTTGCACTTAAATGTATATTTTTGTTTCTACTGGGGGAAAATGCTAGAATTAATATTTTAATGTTTCAAATTTAGTTCTAGTAGGAAAGAAATTCAGATTGGTATATTATTTTTGTGGTAGTTTTTAAGCAGAAGCATATAGGGAGGTGTCTTTCTTGTTTTCTTAAGAGACAAAGAACCTTAGAATTTAATGTTGTAAATCTTGTTTCCAGCTCTTGAATGCTCTCTCTAATTGTAATTTTAGTCTGTCATTTAAGGACGAATCATGTTCTAAAACCACAGTTGCTTTCATGCTATTAGGAGTAATGATTCTAATGAATGACAATGGAGGGACAAGGGTACTAAGTCGTCAATTGTTTTCTTGGAAAAATAAGCTTTTTAGAACTGATAGTTATGCATGTTTTGAATCACATATATTAATGTTTCAATTCCAACAAGTTTTAATAGGGGCCCACTCTTTTATATTTATTCTGAGATTCTTTATGCAAGACAAATTTTACTTTTCACTACATTCCATATTCTAATCAAAATTTGTCTAAACAACAAAAATCCTTGAAAAATACAATTTAGATATGGTTTTGATCCTCATTCCAACCCATCAAAGCCCTTTCCTAGCTATTTGGGGTCATTTACATGCATCGTGTTTTGCCATTATGTCCTGCTAAGACCATAACTTAAGTTAAATAATAGCCATCATATCTTTCCTATCTCAAACCACATTGGTTTTAGTTGTCTCCTTTCCTTTGCATTACCCTTAATTAAGGATCGTGTAACTTTTCTTAACTGTTGTAGTAATTGGACATCATTGGAATGGTTGAACCATTTTAGTAGATTTCTCTCTAATATTATCTCCATAGGTGCTAACAACCCTCTCATGAATGTGTTTGTTTCTAATTTTTCCTTTTTTGTCCACATTTCTGAGCATCCATTTTAATGATTATGTTGTTTCTTAGCCACCCAACACTCTATCCCTTAGACTATAACTTGTCTAAATATATTGTTTCTTAAATCATCTTGCTTTAAAATTCTATGATTAACATCGTATCCATTTCCTCCTCTCTTTTATTTATTTATTTATTTATTTTTTTGGTGGTGGCATAATCAAACTAGATAACAAAAATATTTGTTTTTGTGAAGTTACGTTCCATATTTCAGTTTTAGTCCCTACTAATCCCAAAATCTCTTGATTCTAGACTTCCTATTTAAAACTCTATTTTAGCACTTACTCCTTCTCTGATGTGATTAATCAAATGATATCATCAACAAATAGCGTTCACTATGGAACAATGTTGTTAAAGGCGCACCTAGGCTCCAGGCTCTTACAGGCACAACACTTGCACTTGTTGTGTGCCCAGGTGTGCCTTTGACAACATTTGCGCCTTTAATATAGAATATGAATCTGTTTCAAAAGTAATTTAATTTTTCAATTGTGCGCTTCGCTTCACTCAGGTGTGCGCCTCACCTTGTGCCTAGGCTCCAAAAGACCTCTAACGCCTTAGTGCGCGCCTTGGGCCTTTAATAACACTGGCATGGAACCTCATACATCTGTAACTAAGGCAAAAAGATAGTGTTAATGCCGATCCTTGATATTCCTTTATTGTCTAAAATTCATCGTATTATATCTTCAGGATCCTATCTATGACTATATCCAAATGTATGAAAATCATTTGGAGATACTTATTTGTCCTTAATAAATAAATAGCTTTTGTTGTTGAGGTTCTTGACATCAATTCAAATTGATTGCTTGATACTATAATTTTACACCTTATTAGTTGTTGAATAACTCTCTTCCAAATTTATAGTATGCTCATTAATTTGATACCTTGGTAATCTGTACATCTTTGAATATCTCCCTTCCATAAATAGTGTGTCTGCTCTTTCTCTTGCACATAAAAAACCATGGGCATAGAGACAATCTCCACATCCAGCTTCCCCCTCCTAATAACTTTGTTTCTCATCATGATTCCAACATCTCTAGCACTGATGGAGAACCCTTCTTGAAAACTCTATTCCCTTGTCTTATAATTTCTCATATATATGGGCCCTACTTAATAGCTAGTTAGGAACATCTGATAGCCTGTTACCAAAGTATACCTCAAATATCCTTACATAGGGGTTCCTGGACCATAATTCATGCGCGAAGCCTAAATCTAGATTTGCATCATTATATTTGATTAGTGTTGTTACATGGTGAATTAGTGATGCGTCGTCTAACTCTTATTTATGTTTGTCATATGCTAGGTCACATAGAGCGGGAGCCGGGAGTGGAAGTGAAAGTGAGACCAGAGTGTGGGAGCAACAAAACTTATATTTTACTCAGAACACAAATGTTCTACGAGTGCGAGTTTACAAATATCTATATATAAACAGTTTATATAAGTGTAATTGATATTATCTCCTAATATGTAAATATTGTCCGATTACTTAATCTTAAATATTTTGTGTGAGTATATATTTTTATTAAAGGTGAATTATTTTTTGATATATTTGTATCACAAGAGGTTTAAGTGATAAAGAATGAAGTATTTCTCATTTGAAATCTTTTGCCCCAGTGGTTTGTATGGTTTTTACCATTCACCAGTTCATGGATTCAAGATACAAACAATCATTACAGTATTTTATCAACTTTCGGTGGGCTCATAGGAATTGATCAAGTCCTGTTGAATGCTTTGGAAAATATCTAATAAAGCTTCAAACTTTTAAGCTTCTGGGTTCCGCTCTCTGAGATTTATGAACTGTCCTCCCAAAACATCAAATTGCGGTCTCATCTTGAATCCGCTCTTAATTTGTAAAACCACGATTTGAAAGCGGTTGCAGTGGCCATCTTAGGTGGATTTTGTCACTTAAGTCCTGTGCCCCTGTATCTCAATTTGTTAGTTCTTTTTTGAACTTCTATTTATTTCTGATACTGAATATATGATTACCTTGGTTGGTTTTCTATTAGAGCCCTATTTACCAATTGTTGACATGTAATTGTGTACAGGAGAAAAGGCTCAAGGAGCTTTTTGATGATATTCCTACTTTGGATGAGCTTTATGATTTGGAGTTTGAGGGTTTCAGAGCTGATATCGTCCTTGTAGATGCAGAGAAAGATAAGAAGCTTTTTGCACTAAAGCAATTGATTGTTACACTGGTGAAAAGTTTGAACTCAAATCCTGCAGCAATGATAAAAAAGATTGCTGTATTGGTGAGAATTTACAGAACTTCATTTTTACTGTGTAGCCTTTCTTCATTAGTTTCATTAAAGATTATTAATTTATTCTTCTTGCAATTTTTTTTTTTTTTTTTGTTGATTATTTTTTATTAGGGTAAAGTGCAAAAAAATGCCTTGAACTATGTTTGAATTTGTAAATAACCTCCTTGAACTATATTTTGTGCATAAAGCTCCCTAAACTATCTCATTTTGTTGCAATATACCCCAAGGACTGTACTATATTTCATTAAATGACCATAATGCCCCTTCTTATTGAATTACATTTAATATATTTTTCTTATCTAAATAAATTATGAAAAAAATCATACTAATTTGATGAGATATTTTCCATTAAATTTGCATAAATTTACCTTTAATTTTTTTAATTATTTATTTAAATAAAAAATTTTAGTAGAATTTTTTTAAAAAGATTAATTAAAAATTTAATTTGAATAAATATATTACATGAAAAGAAGGTATTTTTTTCAAAAGTATTTTATGAATTTTTCATCAATATATTGTATGAAAAAAATGATATTTTTTTACGATAAAAATGTTTAAATTGGTTCTAATACGTTTTATTATAAATAATAAAGTTCTAATAATAAGTTAATCAATTTAGAAAATGGTAGTTACAAATATATTTATCTATTTTTTATTTTTATTTTTATGATAAATTGATATTAAAAAAAAATAAAGGTAAATAGTATAATTAATATTTACATAAGAGAAAAGATAATAAAAATAATTTAATAAGAAATGAAAATTTTAATGAGAAAGGGTAAAATAGTCTTTTGTGATGGATTTGCCCTTAATTGCAACAAATCAATAGTTCAGGGGGGGTGGTTTTTAGTTCAAGGGGGTTATTTGCAAAAGGGCAATAGTTTAGGGAGGTTTTCTGTACTTAACCCTTTTTATGATTTTTTGTAAGCATTTCTCATATTATTGGAGGCAAGAAGCCTCTTTTATTCATTTATTTTTTAAACTGCAATAACTTTGCTAAAACTGGATTTCGAGCTTTCTCTCTTCTTGGATATAGTATGCATTATGCAGGACACTACACAATGATTTAAAATCTTAATGTCTCCTATGTTAAATTGATTTCAAAACTGCATTCATGCTTGGTCTGTTTTACGCTGTAACATTTCCATATTTGACTCGATCTATTTCCTCCACAGGTATCTGATTTTTATAAACGGCCAAATTTGGAACTATGTCCAGCAAAATCTGCAGTTGAGGAAACTTCTCATGTCTATGAAAATCAAGGTGTCCAGATGCTGGGGAAGATAAAGCATGGTTCACGCCATCCTCGAGCAATATTATTCAAAGTTCTTGCTGATACTGTAGGTCTTGAAAGTAGGCTCATGGTGGTAAGTATTCCCTTCATTCAGAAGGAACTAGTATTTACTACTTATCTTTATACATTTTGGGTCTCTTGAAATTGTTTTAATGTCTGTTACAGTCAAATAGATAGAATTTTGTTTATTAAATGTTTGATTGTTGTCCATCATATGGCTAATTCTAAAAACCAGTCATTTTTCTTTATATACTTTTTTACTTTTTGTTTTGGTGGTTTTCCTAATCAGGGTTTACCTAATGAAGGGATTGCTGAGTGTGTGGACTCATATAAGCATATGTCTGTTGTAGTTGTGTTGAATTCTGTGGAATTACTGGTCGATCTTATAAGGTTTCCCGGGCAATTGATACCTCGCTCAACCAAGGCAATTTTTATGACCCATATCTCTGCAGCAGGGGAGAGTGATTCTGCAGATAATGACTCATGTGATTCACCACTAGAACCAAACAGTCCCCTGTATGGGTTTTTGGATAGAGTTGATCCTGACAGGTTAGTACTTAGCAGTAATGATAACATAAACAACCTGTCTTTTTAACTAATTCCTTACTGTTGTAGACAATGTCTAAGTAAATTTTAGATTTTTTTTTGTGGTAATTGATTTATGAGAGTAACTAATTCTTAGGTTGATGCTACTGCTTCATCACACCTTCTTCTAGATCTTCTTTTTTAATTTTTTTTCCAGCTGGTTATGGAGTTATTATTGTTGTTCCATATACTGCAGTATTGAGAAAGATGAAAGCCTCCAATATCAGCGGAGGATAGAAGCGTGTTCAAATGCATCGGGACCTTCTTTGCGGAATATGATGTTGCGATCTTCCACCTCTATAGACAAAAATTTGAGGTAATATCAATGCCTATCTTGACAAGATTCAACTTTGAATCTGGAATTGTATTTTGAATGGGCTCTATTTTTGTTCCATATTTATTTCTTCTCACACTCAAACTTTAAAGATGGTTATACGGGCTGTCTGTTTTTGGATTTTTCTCACTGCCTTAGCTTATCTCATAGTGAACCCGATATTGCAACTACATTTTGGCGAAGGAGCCGGCGAAAGGTCATTGCTGAACAGCGGACTGCAAGTTCAAGGTGACTTACATGCCATATGATATGGGTTGTTACACACATACATTTATATCATGTTATGTTAGAAATTGATTTATTTGGAACCTTGCATGTAGTTTTGAACTTGATATATATCATGGCAGCATGTTTTGTATTTTAGATGCTACCATTGATATCCGAAATTTTCTAGATTTATGTTTGTTGAGCACATCCCAACTGTAAATTTGAACCCATAAGTGTTTGCGACACTTCTGCAATCCAAAAAAAAAAATTTGGCGATCCTGTTCAGAGTAGTATTAAGTCATAATAAACATAGTTTTGGGCTCCAACTCTTATTAACTGGTCTTAAGAGAAGGAATTATAATCTAATGTTTTACCACAGTTTTGGAGGCCTATATGTTTTAAACAGTAGTATATCTCTTTGGTAAATGCTGTCCCTGAAAATGACCAATTTGTTCTGTTGATTTTACTTGAGAATTATGATTTCCATTGTTTGTCTTTTAGTTGTCACTCAAATATGATCTTTTGTTATCTTGAATCAAAATTATGATTGTTTGAATTTTATTAGAATCATGAGTTAACCTCCCTTCATTATATTGTGGATCATAAATATTACAAGTTTATAACTACACACTTGACGATCTCACACTTGTACACACACATCTTTTGTCTCGAATGAATTTGCCCGAAATAATGTTAAATATTCTATGAGATATTTGAAGATGCTTCAAGTCCAGTAAGCCAATTTAAAGTTACTGTGAAAAGTGTATTTTTTGTGTGATCCTATTTTTTTGTTTCTTGAATCGTTTTGACATTCCAGTCCAGAGCATCCCTCGTTTCGAGCCCGTGGACGATCCATGCTTAGCGGTGATAGGAAATCATTCAGAAATTATGCTGATGAAATAGCTGCATCAAGGTGGTTATGTTCTTTTGCTTACCATTTCATTACATAATACATATGCAGTCCTTATGGATATATTGCAATTTGAAGAGATTTTTTCTTCTTGTTTTTTAACATTGAAATTTGATGCATTCTACTACAAAAAAATATTAGTCCTTTACAATTGTGTGGCATTCGAGCTAGTATGATATAGTTAACCTTGTATATTTCACCTGTTGAAGGATTTAAATATTAAAGTTACACCCTCTCTAACAACTTAAGCTTTTAGAGTAGATGGTTGTAACATGGTATCAGAGCCAAAGGTCTCGAGTTCAAACCTCACCGTCACCCTAATAAAAAATTGAAACACGTGTTGGACCAAAAGAAGGCCACATGCGAGTATTAAAGTTGCACCCTCTCTAACAGCTTAAGCTTTTAGAATTGATGGTTGTCAACACCCTCTGCATTCCAGGTCTTGATACTAAGACATACTTTAGGGACTTCTAATTTGTTTCTTGCTTGAACTCTGAATCTAAGACTGAAAGGGGAATTTTTCGTTATAGTGACAGGCCACTGAGATTGCACATTGTTGTTAGTCACTGAGAATGCACATTGTTGTTAGTCGCTTGAGCTTTAAATTTGAGGTTGCTCCAGTTTTATTTTATTTATTTATTTATCCTCATGGTGACATGCTGTGAGAGTGCAGTCTTATCCATTCTTGGTCAGAATTGTAAATATAATAGAGTGGATTGGGGACATAAAGTGTTATGTAAGTCCAAGCTACAATTAATCATTCTAAATGAAACTTCGGGCAATTTGTCCCTTGCAATCTTTGCATGACCCTCCATGGATTGAAGAATTTTGTTGTGTAAAGATGTATTGCCTGATAAGTACTGATATTGGTAGACCCAATTCCTATAGTTTTCCAATGCACAGTTAAGTATTATATCAATGTTGTTTCTCAGTCTAAAGAATTGAACAATACCTTGGGATATATTTAGTGCAGAATATTATACGTTGAGTGCTATTATATCAAACAATTATTAAAGTACTTCCAAGACGAAAAAGTAAATAAATAAATCTATTACATGTTTTGGGTAGTCATTTAACCTTGCTAACCATCAAAGAAGTGATATTTTTTCTTTTACTTTCTGTTTCGGTTTACTTTCTTGGTTTCTTTTGTTTAGATCTTTGTGAATTTTATTAATGCACTTGCCATTTAAAAATTATGCTTTATTTAATTTATTTTTTTGTTGGGGGAGAGTATATAAGCTGGCTTTGTGTAGATTATTATTATTATTATTATTATTATTATTTTGATAAGTACAGTATCATTGAAAGACACTCAAACCGGGAACGTAGCCTATTGTCTAGTTTAAAGAATAAAAAGTACACATTTTTACATGTAGTGGTCTTATGTGAATCGGGTGTATGCCAAGGTTATTGATGGGGTGATTGACTCTTATTATTTCTCCCCCTCTTTTATCTCTCTATCTATTTGCTGGGAATAAGTATGGTGACATCCGTAGGTTGGAGCAGTACTTGATCGTGTACCTTCAGCTGTAGAACTCTAATGTGAATTTCTATGAGCATGAATATGTGAGCACATGTGCTTGTGTTCCTTTTGGCTCTAAAGGAGAATCTATTTCCCTCCTCCCCCATTTAAGTTGTTTGAGATTCATATAGTGGATCAGTGGTATGATTTGATGATCTCTTTACTGTGATGTAGTTATATTGTGAATTAAACATATTTTCTAAATTTCAAAAACTGATTTTTATTCCAACATAGCTGCAGGTCAGAAGGTGCCTCAACATCAGAAACCCGTAGACTAAGAAGAAGGAGCATTAGTATTACTCCAGAGATTGGGGATGATATCGTAAGGTTGATGTTGGTTCCTATACGCCTTCTTTTTCTTTCTAAATGTCCATTTATAGCTTTCTGTTTAATTTTGCCTTCTGTTTTCTCTCAATGTTTATACTTTCTAGATTTAAGGTATTTTGTTAGGATTTAGGTTCTGTAGTACAATGGTAATCTTCACTGCCATACTTGGCATGATATTGATTTACTTCTTATGCCTTTTCAAAATATAATGCTGATTGATTGAAGGAAAGGGATGCTAATTGCAAGACACGAGGAATCTTGTGATGATAAGGGGTACACTGAATCAGAAAGATAAGAAAAGGAGAGCAGGGAAAAAAGAGAAAAAAATGGCTAGGCCAGGGCATATACCTGTTTACTTGATGGTTTCTAATTTTTTGTCTTTGAAAATTTTTCATGCCATTTATGTATAAAAGTACTACTTATGATGTTTTTTTGCTCCATGAACCAACTCTAGGGCTGTGCGTGCAATGAATGAAACACTAAAGCGGAATCGTCTTTTGAGAGAACAGGGGGATGATAGTTCATTTTCCTATTCTTCATTTGACAGAAATAGTGGTTCAGATCTTCAAAAGGATGTGCGTTTTTTTAATTCTAGTAACTATGTACTGCATCAATTCTTTACATTGTCTTGTTGTTTAGCATTGCTTTGGAATTAGTGCTTGCATTATGAAAGTACTTTGATTTTCCAATTCTATGATGTAGATGATTAAATTTCTTTCTTCGTGGTGGTAATTGTGTTAGCATTGATTTCAACACCTTTGAATGTGTTCATATATTATCAATTTTACTCTAGAAGTTAGCTCTGAGTCAGTCAAATATTTATAAAGTAGACAATTTCACTTTCTTTTTCTTCTTGGAAAGTAATTGTCGTGTGATTAATTTTGGGATTTTTTTTGTCAATTTTTGAATTAAACACAATATTTGTCTTCTGGTGCCTTTTAAATTGTTGAGCTTGTATTGGATCATGTGGATGCACCCATACATATACAATTTCTTTATCATGATTAATTCTTGTGAAACTTAAAATGCTGGAGGACTTTTGAAGGACCCTGCGAATATGGCTTGTTCTGGTGTGTAGTAGTGGTATACAATTAGGGTGTGGCTTGGGTTTAAATCAGGAAAGAATTTGCTTTCCACACGATATGGCACTTTCATTAATAGTGTTAAAGTTGTAACAGACTAGGTTTTAGCTTTTAAGTAATTCCAAATGTTCACTTCATTATGTCACTATATATTTCTCACATAACTTGGCAATTGACACTGCATGCCTTTCTTCTTTTTTCTTTTTCTTTTATTTATTTATTTCATTCTTTCTTTCTTTTTGCAATTTGTACAAACTCTTTATCTATAATAAAAGTAATGAGACATTCATAAAAGTTTGATTTCAACTGTTTCTTCTGTCTTATATATATATATATATATATTCCTAACTCGATCACAGAGTATATTTTTGGTTCTCACTTTCCGTTCCATGTTTAATTTTTACTTCTAATTTGATTTTTTTATTAACATTTATCTAATTTTTTTTTTTTTCAAGTTATGATTGATTAATAGACTTGTAAAAAAGTGACTTTAAAGAGGAAAAATTGTAGGAGATATTCTTAAGTTTTAAAATTCTCCCTCTAACCTATCAACCAGACGTTCCCCAAGCTAACCAATACTGGGCTGACTACCAAAAACAGAGATTTGATTTGTTTCGGTTGGAATTGGGAAGCCTCTTCAAATGGCGGGGTTGGGCTTAAGTTAGACCTAACTGAGTTGCAATCGTAGGTACCCCCAGTTGGACTTTATGCATGTGTATTTGTTTTCTCCCTAGTTGGTACTCACACACACTCCAAGGAATTGTTTGCACCCAAGAGGAGTCGAACCTTAGACCTAACGCTTCTGAGGCACCAGGGCCAAGTGACTAACCCACTTGAGCCAACCACTTGGGGTTCATGTATGTGTATTTTATCTTTAAAAGTTCCTTTTATTTCTTTGCAAATGACCTAAATGAGGGCAAATTATGCAGTGGGCAACGAGTACGTGTAAATTTTCTTTATTCTTGTTTCTATATTTTGATCAATAACACCCAAAAGAACACATGGATTTCTACTAAAGCTGAATAAAAATCCAAATGGTCAAATTTAAGGGGAACAAGATTACCCAATGGCATCGCTATAACTTCTCATCTATTTCACTGCAAGATCTTATGTCTCATTCACTTTCATTTTCCAAAATTTGGAAATTTCCGGCTTCTACTAAGGATTTAGTGTATGAATTGTCTTGCCTTTTCAATCTGTTTCTCGTCTATGAGCATCAGGTTAGTTGCACGGTTCCTCTTTTATTCGCATGTAAATGCCAACCATATTTCTTAGACTACGGTTCCTCTGTAGTTTTCTTGTATCATAAACACAGTATACCTGAACTTATTCGAAATTTTTAAAATTTTTATTATTAGTATTCTGTGGATCTTTTGATTGCAACATCTTCCTTAGAGCAGGGCTTTTTTAAACCCTAGTTGTGTGATTGTTAATGACCTGGTGCACTAATTCAGGCATCTGATTTTCACCATGATGATCGTGATGAAATATCTGGTAGAAGATCTGCTTTATACGCTCTTCCCAGGGAGCAAACGAGTTCTCAGAAGGCAATATCATTACCTTCATCTCCTCATGAATTTAGGAGTCATACTTCTGTGAAAGGCAGAATTTCAGACTATATAGTAATTGATGAAGCAGTCTCAACATGGAACAAAGTTCTGGACTCATCCTTGTTCCAGAATAAACCTCTTTTGCCTTTTCAAGAATGGAATATTGATTTCACAGAACTGACTGTAGGAACTCGTGTTGGGATTGGTAAGAATTGCCCTTCATTATAATCTCTGCAGCATTTTAGGCTTTTAAACTTCTTTAATTCTGATGTATTTTTGTGCCATTGCTAATGCTACATCTTATATTATATAACTATATATACCCACACACATACACGAAACGAGAAATATTATTAAGAAGAAAACAAGGATGCAATGTCTTGGGAATTTTTGAAGACCGAAAAGATGGAACAAGAAACAGAAGCAAGAGGATATACAACAGGGAGAAAAAACCAACAAATCCAAACAGGATATACAACCCCAAAACCCTGTTGCCCATCCCCCACCTCCCAAGTCCCTGGCCCTAGCAGGGAGAAGGATGATATTGGGGGTTTAAAGTGGCATCGTTACCAATGGACACTTACCCGGATGGTATAAGCTCTCCTCCTGAATTGGGGAGGTTGAGTGGTCGGGCCTCGGTGGAGGCAATATGCATATAATGTATGTGTGTGCTTGCTTGAACTTTCGCAAAAAAAAAAAAAAAAAAAAAAAAGGTGGCATAGTTGAGGAGCTTCCTTCTTAGCCAGAAAATCAATTTGTTCATAGGTGTTCTCATAATCCATCTGATCTCTGCATCTAAAAGGCTAAAACGAAAACAATATCCAACATCTTTCTCGACAAGCAAGCAATAACAACCCAAAGACTGATATCTCACCAGCTTGTTAGAGATGTTTTGATAGGAATTTCACGCTAATTGTTCTTTTCTGCTTACTGGGGTAGCTGGAGGTGGGGTTCGGACCATTAGGGGTTTGAGACTAGAGGATTATCTCCTTCCTTTTTTACTCTCATGGTTAATGTCTTTAGCAGATTGATCTGTATGGTTGGATAGGATTGATGTATCTGACAAAAGTACTTTGAATAAGCCTTACTTTTTACGGAGGAGTGTATACATAATTTCACTTTTTTTTTTTTTTTTGTTTTTGTTCAAGGTTTGTAACCAGAGTTTAATTTTGTTTCTTAGAGTGAAGGTTCATCCACAACAAAGGTGTAGTTGTTATTCTAGTCGACACAATGTCATAGAACATAGAATTACTACTCAATCTCTAAACCTTGTAAAACTTATGCTTTCTGAGTGACTACTTTGCTCTCTGGTTAACTTTTTGTGTTTATGTTCAGTTTGCTTAAATATATGTTTGTTTATAGGATTCTTTGGAGAAGTTTTTCGTGGTATTTGGAATGGAACTGACGTAGCCATCAAGGTTTTTCTGGAGCAAGATCTGACTGTTGAAAATATGATGGATTTCTGCAATGAAATATCCATCCTTAGGTAACTTCTCTTGGACATGCTGAAGGTCTTAGTTTCTTGTACTATTTTTATTTATTTACAATTTAATATCATTCTAACGTTTATGCCTTTTTATTTTCTTTTTCTATTTTTCATTTTCGTTCCTCCAGCCGCCTTCGACACCCAAATGGTACTCCTCCTGCTTTTTGGTCAAATTAGACCTTTTCAGTATCCGACTTCATCCTTTTTAAGTTTGCTGCATGTGATGGTCAATTTATACCTTTTACAACCCCCAAACAAAGAAGAAAAAAGGTTTTAAGAGTCCAATATCTGTAAAATAAGGATTTAGGTGTTAACTTATTTAGTATTTACTTCTTTTGTTTCAAATCGATGGGCGTACTAAAAATAAAAACAAAATAAATAATAAATAAATAAAATGTAATAAGAAGAAGAAAGCGGAAGAAAGTATTATGTGTTATTTTTAATGTTATGAACCAATATGCAATTTGTTGCAGTTATTTTATTTCTTGGTGCATGCATAAAGCCTCCACGCTTGTCAATGATTACTGAATACATGGAGATGGGATCCTTGTATTATTTGATCCATTTAAGCGGTCAGAAGAAGAAACTCAGCTGGCGAAGGAGACTTAAAATGCTGCGTGATATATGCAGGTGCACTGAAACTCTGTACATTTTGTTGAATTCTCTCAGTTGCTTGAAAGATAAATTACTCTTGAGTCTATGTTCACTCTTCATTTTTATAAGAAGATAGTACCTTTGAAGCTATTTTCTTATAAAAATGAAAAGTGAACATAAACAATCAGGAATTATGTTAGTGTGGTCTTGAGTCACTTTTTACTGGTTGTACGTAACTTAGATGGCCCTCCTGTACCTGGTCTTAAAGTCAGTGGGTTTTAGTCACTTTTTGCTGGTTTAAACCTTTTAACATTCCTCTTAGATTCTCTTCCTTATCTGCACTATACTTTCCATTAGGTTACATGCATATACATTGGAAGAAGTAAAGTTTGGACGGACACACTGATTCCTAGGAAACATGATTTTCACAATAAAGTCTTCCAAGTAAAAACACTGATGGCAAACAACACTACTCTGATAGGGTAATAGCCAGATGTGATTGGCAACTATTACATGTATTTGAACTTATAATAAAACTTTAGTAAAGAACTTATGTAGCTTTAATATTAGAGTTATTGGCATTTGTTCATTCTCTATGTAAGTGAACCAAGAAGGTAGAGAAATTTTCTTTATATTGTATTTATTTTAATTGTAGTCTATAATGTATCAGTCAGTGTAGCATAAAAATCATTATTAAGTAACTAGTTTTGTGTTGTGAATGAAAGGGGATTGATGTGCATACACCGGATGAAGATAGTCCATCGTGATATAAAAAGTGCAAATTGTCTGGTGAATAAGCATTCAGTGGTTAAGATCTGTGATTTTGGGCTGTCGAGGATAATGACGGACTCCACCTCAAGAGACTCCTCATCAGCTGGAACTCCACAATGGATGGCCCCTGAATTAGTTCGCAACGAACCCTTCACAGAGAAATGCGATATTTTCAGCCTAGGGGTGATAATATGGGAGCTGTGCACTCTAAACAGACCGTGGGATGGTGTACCACCAGAGCGGGTATGCTAACATATGTGTCGTATGTTCTTGTTTCTTTTCCCCATAGAATGAGAAATATTATTTGATATTTTGCTGAAAGTAAAGAGTGACAGCTCCTCTTTCATGCTTTATACTGTTTATAGGTAGTTTATGCTGTTGCTAATGAGGGGGCGCGATTGGATATTCCCGAAGGTCCCTTGGGCAGGATTATTGCAGGTATGCATATATGCTGTAGTATATCAGTTCCATTTTATGAGAGTTTGATAGAGAGAACAGTTTGTTTGTTTATACAAATACATAATAAATAGTATGAACACTTTTTGGGTGCTCAGCTCATGCGTTTTTGATTGCAGATTGTTGGGCGGAACCGCATGAAAGGCCTAGCTGTGAACAAATACTAACTCGCCTGCCAGAGTGCGACTAGTAGTGTACTCACTCCGCTAATGCAATCTTTTTGTTTGTAGTTTAGAATATATATTGAATAATTAATTACTATACTGCAATTTACCAATTTGACAACCACCAATTTTTATATTTTCAAATATCAATTTTTCTGCTAGGTTGCGAGACTACAACTGCAAATTACAAATATGTCCTCACATTGTTTGAATAAGAAGATTAATAAAAGAAAAACTAGAGTGTATCAGGCATTTCGAAATTCAACCAATGGGTTTCTCAATAAGGGCTATTCTCACACTTGGGTTTTAGGTTTTGAATCAAATAGATTATGCTCCTGCGGAAGTATCTACTCGTCTCGAACAATCCACGGGTATAAGCAAAACAGCAAGAAGGACCATTGGTCCATTGCCCTGACAAATAACTCTCACAATGTGTGGGTTGTGTGTGTATATATATATATATATATATATATAGTCTTTTTATTTTGTAAGACACTATACCACCAAATTATAGGCCTTTGTAAATTGACTTTTTGAACGTAACACTAATGGTCTGTTTAGATGGAAGGAAATAATATTTTGGAGGTAAGATATGATGGAAGAGGCAAATATCATTATTTAGGAGATAAAAGAAGGAAGAGAAAAGATGATGGATGAGTCATCATTTATGTTTCACAAATTTTTTTTCCTTCAAATTTGGATGGATTAAATTATAATACTACCCTTTATAATTATTAAATAAATCTAATGTTAGCGATCTTTCTTCTCTCTTAACAAAGTAGGGCAAGTACCCCATCTGTCATTCTCTCCGTTCTTACAAATAAAATAAAAAAAAGGGTACATTACACTCACACCCCCGAGGTCAGGTCATATTTCAGCTAGATAAAGATTTTGATTTTAATTTTCACTTACACCCTAATTTACTTTTTGTTTGCGAATTGGTCCTTTTATCCTCAAATTTATAATACAAAATATATATAATCTTAAATGACAAAAAAGTCCCTTTGTTAATATATATATATATATATATATAGATATATATATATACCCTGTTTGTACACGTAGTCCCGAGACCACCATGTAGCAATCCTAACCGTCGCACACATCAATTGCATTGATTTTACTTTTCAATGCTTTCTTCAGCATATATTTCTGTAGAATTTTTGAAATTAGGATTATCAATTTCATTGATTTGAGATTTACAATTTTGATCTGAATAGTCAGAGTGAATGAGTCTGAGACTGTAACAGAACTGGCAGAGCACAGCTTCGTGACTTAGAGTGCAACTATGATAATAGTTGAAATTACTAATTAATTTTGATATGTGAATTACTTATTTTTGACATATATATTTTTTGAGCAAGTAGTAAATTTTGACAATTACCGGAGTTGAATTGGTTGAACGCGTAGGTGACGCCGGTAAGGATGAGAGCTAGGGAGTTTGTGGTGTTGTTGTTGATGTGGGTCTTCTTGCATTTGTGGTTGTTGTCTCTGGTTTGCTAGGCCAGAGGTGAAGAAAATGGTACCGATCATGACGCTGATGGTGACAAAGGGTGATTGGTATCACTGGGATAGGTAGAGAAGATCGCTTATGTGTGAAGAATTTTGCTGACGTGGATATTCCTCTTTCTCCTAAGCATCAGTGTACGTGGGTTAGTTTGGTCACAAAAATAATCAACACATGGTCAAATGATAACATAGTCATTTAACACATCAAAAGTACCCCTCGCCCCACAAAAAATTAATATTTGGGGTGCAAGTGAAATGTTAAACCACTAATTCAAATATAAGTGAAATTTATAACCAAAATCTTCATCTCGCTGAACTATGACCTAACCTCATGGGGTGTGAGTGTAATTTATCCAATAAAGTAACTCCTTTCCTTAAGAATATCTCATAACCAGTAATGAGTTTTTCACATTTTAGTTATAAAAATAATAAATAGACACATTTTATTATTATTATTATTATTTTTGCTCTTTAACCCACTTTAAAAATTCAATCCTAGGTAGTTAGATTTTTATTAGTTTGACTTGATTTTTATTATTAATAAGGAGCTTTTGTAACTCAACTTAATTTGTTAAAAAATAAATTAAAATTAGTATTATACTATTTTACTTTTTATTGTATTTTATTAGGTTTCATCAGCAGAATATGCTGTGTTAAAAAAATACTCGGTAGTAAATTACTCTAAAACTAATTGAATGCTAAGATAGATTTGAAGAGAGTAAATTTAGATAGTTTGGACAATAGATGGAAATGTAACAAAAAATGATTAAAATTGACATGTGGTGGCAAAATACGACATATGATTGACTTGTGGTGGCAAAATACGAAAAATACTCAAATTCATGTTAATAAAGAACTTTTGTAACTCAACCTAAATTGTTAAAAAGAAATTAAAAATATTATTATATTATTTTACTTTTCATTATATTTTATTAGTTTTCATTAGCAAACCATGCTGTGTTAAAAAATACTAGTAAATTACACTAAAATTAATTAAATGTTAAGATAGATTTAAAGAGATTAGACTTGGATAGTTTGGTGAAAAGAATTATTAAAAATGACTTTGGAAATATAATAAATGATAGAAAAGATAAAAATATGACAAATGATAGAAAAGATTGAAAACAAAATTCATATAGCTGAACATATTTATATGAGATAAAGATAATAATGATAATCAATTTTATTTTATTTTATTTTTTCAGAAGCTAAAGATAATATTTATTCCAACTAATTAAATATATCGTGACCAACCTATATATTCTGTATATAGGTTCTACTTAAAAATCGACTTGTTTGATGAAGGAATTCTTTCAACAAGTCCAATATTAATGAAATATTCAAGAAAAATTCAAACTCATTACCAAATTTATCTAAGCTAAAAACCAATAACAATTACATACATGTGATAGATATATATATATAGCTGAGCCGAAACATTCAGTACTATAGTATGAATATCGCTACAAAATGTCCGGTCCAGCCCCATCACGTGCCTCTCACGCGACAGCCGACAGCCGGCACACCTCGCCGCTTCTTTTACAAACTCCCTCTCCCTCACCCTCACCCTCACCGACGCGAACCAACAAGCTCTCTCCCAACCCAGAAGACTCAACGACCACCGTTACCCAATCACAGTCTGATACACCACCACCAATGAACGACGACGACGACGAACCAACCGCCACCCTCCCGTCGCCGGCGACGGCGCCGCGCCTGTCCCGACCACCGCCGTTGATGCCCATCCGCGAGGACTGCTGGTCCGAGGACGCTACTCACACTCTCATCGAAGCCTGGGGCGAACGCTACGTCGAGCTCAACCGCGGCAACCTCCGTCAGAAGCACTGGCAGGACGTCGCCGACGCCGTCAACGCCCGTCACGGCCACGTCAAAAAGGCTCGCCGTACAGATATCCAGTGCAAGAACCGAATCGACACTCTCAAGAAGAAGTACAAGATCGAGAAGGGAAAGCTTCTTGAATCGAACGGTAACTACACCAGCCAGTGGCCTTTCTTTCCCGCTCTCGAATCCCTAATCGGCTCCTCCTACAAGCCCTCGCCATCGTCTGCGCCTCACCGGAGAACACCGCAGCTACCGGCTCTGCCTCCTCCGTCCTCGGTGCCGGTCGGTCCCCGATCCAAACGTCCGGCGATTACTCCGGCGCCGGCGCCGGTGCCGGTTGATGATTCATTTTTCCGGCGGAACTTTTCTGCGATTGCTGCAGCTGCTGCTGCGGCGGCTGAGGCAGAGGAGCAATCGGAAACGTCGAGGTCAAGGTCGAGCGAGGGAAGCCGGCGGCGGGGCGGGGACGAGAAGGAGTGGTGCCGGGAGCTGGCGGAGGCCATGGAGAGGTTTGGAGAGATATATGAGAGAGTTGAGGAGGCAAAGCAGAGGCAGATGGTAGAGTTGGAGAAGCAGAGGATGGAGTTTGCTAAGGACTTGGAGATACAGAAGATGAAGCTTTTCATGGATTCACAGATTCAGTTGGAAAAGATTAAACGTGCAAAGCGAACTTCGGAAGCTGGTGAGAGCTTTCACTGATCTTCTTCTAATTGTTGTTCTTTTACGTTTTGTTGAAGAGGATGCAACTCAGATAATAATTGCTTATGGATTTGGTGAACATTATTATTCTTGTGGTATTAGGAATTAAGATACACTGTTTGGGTGTGTTATATCTATATCAGGGCAATCCTTTATAGAAAGAAGAATACATGTATGTAGTTAACTCAGTGTAACGTTTTCACTTTTCATACTATAAAATTGTGGTTCCATGTGTTATATCTTGACAAGGTGGCTGTTAGCATATGCTCTTGGATGAGCTTTTACCTGTGGATTATATGATTACAAAATACAAGAATGTCATTGACTAATATGAATATTGGAAGATCAAAGAATTTATTACTACTCAACTTCATTAATGCTTTAGGTGTTTGGGGAAACCGCATTCTGACCTGATTGTGTAAAACTGCATTTGAAGTTGTTCTTTCATCATATTACTACTACTGGCTTTGTTTTTTATTTTGCTGACACCGTTGTTGACTTTTTTTTTTTTTTTTTTTAATCAAACCAGCTAATTTATCGAATGCCCAACAAATTCTTCAATTTTAGCATATTAAACTCACTGCTGAAAAATTACCTTACATAACATCCTTGACTCCCTTTTAATTTTGATATAGTTGTTTATGGAATCAAAATTTCCTGATTATTGATACCTTTGTAATGTGACATTATAGTTATGCAAAAGCTTGAGTATGGTATATTTCCATTTTGGTGTCAAAACTTTGTGTAATAAAAGCTAAAATGGTTCAACATTTGATATGGATCAAAAGTAAAAGAGTCACTCAGAATTCCTTCAAGTATGATTTTGTCTTGACTTGGTTAATTTTTAGAGATTGCTTCTCTATGAGCTTCAGTGTGGGGTAATATTTCATAAGCTATTGGTGGCGTCTAGTAAGATTAATGATTTGGAAGTTCTACACATGAGGCTTAAATTAGCCTATATTCCGAGGTATCATAAATATCATTGTACTGGTTGTATTTACGATAACTTCAAGTGGTGGAATTCTTCATTCTCTTTTTATTTTAAGAGGGTCAATCACAAATATCACATTTTTTTTTCTTTTCCTTTTCCTTCCGAAGTGTATTTATCCCTCATCTTCCATCTCTTATTCTCCTTGAGTAATTATTTCGTGTTTGATTGTGATTTGACTGGAGACGTAAGTATCTCTACTTCTGGGTTTGTTAAAAAACTAGTAGGTTAAGAAACCAAGAGAGATTAATAACTTATTTATTCTTAGTGTTTTCTGTCTCCATTCATATTAGATATATGTATATCGCCCATGAAAATATAACTAGCATTTCAAAATAATAATGAGATCTAGAAGAGGGTGGAATTGGAGGGAGTAAAATGGAGCAAGTAGCTTATAACTTTGATCCAGGGTTATGCCTTTAGTATCTAAATTTTGTTGTGGTTTGGTGTTTAGCCAATAATTCTAATTGGATTTTGATCTGATAGTGCCGTACAAAGATGTGATTTTTGACCAACTGAATTTTTATTTTTATTTTTATGTATAATGGTCCATTTATGAATAGTTGGGATGAACCCCAATGGGTTCTAATAATTGTTGAAGTATTTGTCGGCTTTTTATTGCTTTCAGGATTTCTATATCTTTTTATGTTGTTTGTAATTAGCTTTGATAATCCTTTCTTAGCAAAATGGTTTGTGCCTGGTCATGTGCTTTTTCTTTTTACTTCTCACTATTACATTAATAGAATACTTAACTGTAGTATGTTTCACATTCTCAGTTCATATATTAGGAATGAGCTTGTAGGAGGTAGTGCGTTCTTTCCAGAAATGACTGTTTCTCAAACGTCCTGCATTCATCCATTAAGAGTTCGTTGTATTGATTGTCACATTTTTTAATGGAACCTTAATTGTCTCTAGAGATTTCTTTGATGAGCCTTGTGTGGGACGTCTGGGTTTTTTTTTTTTTTTTTTTGGATTAGTCTGGGTGTAGTTTTTCCTTTCTTCTTCGGGTTATCTTTCTTCTCTCCCGAGACTAGTGGCAGGACTGCTTTCTTTCTTAGTTCATACGAAAAAGTCAAGTGATGAACTGTGATCTTTTACATGGACAAACTTTTCCCTTGAAATGGTGAATGATTAATTTTTGGATTCACTTTAACTTTATGCTATGAAGTAATTCTGTTAGTCTAACATTCATTTATTCATATTATTTTGATTTCTTTTGGTCAACATCAAGGGTATTGGGTCAACGAAGCCTACAGGCCTACTCTCAATCTGAACTTTAGAACTGCAATATTTTGTATAATTCTCATTCTATTTTCTGTTAGATACTTTTTCCTCCATCAGTTGGCATGTTTGTACTTCAGGCTGTGGATAAATAGAAGCTCTTTTCTTTTCTTTTGCTTTTTTTGGGTAGGCAAGTAACTCACACACCTAATTAATACTGTGCGCACTATAGCACCTAAGTCATTGCATTTGAACCAGGCATTAGCTTTACCTTTTGAGAAAAAACAGGCATTAGATTTTGGAGAAGTGTGCTGTTTATTGAGTTTGAATCTATCTTTACATGTATTTACTTTTGACTTGTATCGTTGTTTAAACAAATATAAATGAACTATAATATATTATTCTTTGCAGAAAAGTCTTTTATATATTTTTTGCATAAAAGTCTTTTATATATATATATATATATATATAAAGTAAAGATCATTTATAAACAAAAAGTATTTCATAGTCCACTCACACAAAATTTAATTTTGGCATATGTAATATTTATATGAAAAAGAACAAGAATCTAAAGTTAAAAGCATAGTTAAATAAGGAGAAGGAAAAAAATGTGGATTTCAAAAAGAAAATCCTAAAGGATTCCAATTTGAGATTTTACGAGCTTTGTGGGATTGGCTCACATGTTAAAATTTTCTAATATTCCTTTGGTAAGTAAATTTTTTAAATATTTTTTATTCAACTATAAGTATTTGTAGGATTCTAAAATAAGGTTTTCCAAAATTTCGCCCGGTGGGGGTGGTGCTTATATTTTTTTGGTAAGTAAATTTTTTTTGGCATATCTAATTTGAATTATTTTAGGCCCCTTTAAATAGGATTTTTTTTTTTTTAAAAAGGAGGGCCATGGCCCCCCTTAGTCTTAACATAGCTCAACCCCTGGCTAAAAGTGAGAAGTAACATTTTTGGTGGTAGGCTTGCGTTAGGAGTCTCTGACTTCGTCGTATTTGTGAAGTAGACTAGATACCCATTAGATGAGGTTAATGGTGTATAAAAATTGTATTATCTAGTGCATATCCTGATTATGCATGGTACTGAGAGGTGATGATTGGAATACCCCTAGCTTTTTGTGTTATTTAACATAAAGTTTCTGTTCTCGAACTTGAACTAGGACGACAGGCTTGTTAGTTAGTGGTTTTACCATTGTATCAGGCAATGTTCCCTTCTACATGGGGTTCATGGTGTATGCTTTGTTGAAATTGACAATCAAGAGACGCCACCAAGTGATAATTTTTGAGTGTTAGGCTTGGTTATCCATAATGAAGTAGAGAGGACATATAATTAAAGCATGATGGATGGTGGGAAATTGTTCAACAGTTCTCATTTATTAGTGTTTGCCTATAAAATTGATGATACCATTTTACTATAATAAATTGTGGAATTGGTGGGAAACAATATGTATTGATGCTGAGATGAATGTGTGTTGATAGTAAAGGACATACTTAAATATGAAGATCATGAATGGTTAATTGCATGGGGACACCAATTGATGACGAGATGAAAGAAAACCGGTTAAGATGGCTTAACCTACAAAGAAGGTCAGTATTTACTCCGAGGAGGAATAACATGATCCGTATTAGAGGTCACAAGAATTAGGCCACACTGAGAAGGATACGGGTTAGGGTAATAAGGAAAGATGCTAGGTCATATAGTGTAACTGGAAGCATGACCCCAAATTCTCAGAAAATGGTTTACTGAATTGTGTTACTTCGTAGCGTAGCTTCACTGAATTGGTTTTAAAAGGCCTAGGGCAACCACGAGGTATCCGTAGTTCTCTTATTTAACCTCTATGCGGATCTTTCCGAGGAAGTAACCCCAGCTTGTCTGGTTGACCGTACTGGGTAAAGTATTCAAAGATGAACTCTTGCACTCGCCAGCATTGATTAAATCCTCAATCATGTGATCTAAACTACTTCCCAGGAAGGACCATTTTACTATTGTGGTTTGCTTTTCGTCCCAGGAGGTAACACTTCAACCATTTACGGCTATACTATAACTTGACTCTTTTGGTTCAGAAGAGAAGGTGAGATCAACGAGAAAAGAGTTATGTACTGAACAGAATGGAGAATCTTCTTACTATTTACGATATACTCGATCAACTATGAACAATATTTCGAAAGAACCCACAAACCAATTAAATGGGTATTTACCCGCCGTTAAACAAACGAGATGCCCCCTCCCCCTTCTTGGAGCTGAAGATTGTTCATCTACTTGTTTACTTGTATAGGTGCCTGAAAGTCTATATACTATGGGTAATTGGTTAGCTAAAATTTTTTGTGGGTCGAAAGGATTAGTTTTCTTCTATCAGTTATTCATCTCTCCCACTCTCTCATTTAATGAACGAAATATAGGAGAAAAAGAAGTCATAGATTTTTGGGTTGGGGAAGAGATGGGGCAAACTATTCTTTGATCAATTATTATAGAGAACTATGAAGGGAAAAAGTTCTATTTTTTATTTTATTTTTGGTGTGTGTGTGTGTTGGGGGGGTGGGTGGTGTTAAAATGCATAAGTGTATCGAAAGAATTATGGTCTTTATGGGGAAGGCCCTTGCATTTCTTTTATTCGATTTCTCCAAAAATTTTGTTTCTTATATAATAATAATAATAATAATAAAAAATTAGAAAAGAAGAAGAAGAAGAAGAAGAAGAAGAAGAATAAGAAAAAGGATGTGTAACTGACCCCAAAGGTCTTTTTACCTAGGCTAAGTCCTTTTTTGGCATGAGTTTAGTTTTTGAATTACTTCCAATCGCTATCAATGAGGGTGAAGCCGAAGATTGTTCATCTACACAAACACCCAAAATTGGGACGAAAAGAATTATATGATTGTAATGGCGAATAGCCTATGGAAGAGTATGTTTACAGCTTTCAATGCCCTTTCTGTGTTCTTTCTCCCTCTATAAATATTGGAATGATGTCACGTTTGTAGGAAATTTTCCTCCCGAACGTCCTCACTTCCATTTCATTGCTGATTTGTTGCAGAGGATTCGGCCTTACTTCACTCTCCCCTTCTAATTCTGGATTTCTGTTTCAGTTGGGATTTTCATGCCACGCGTCACTTTTCGGTTTGTCCATATGGTTAGTTTCTATTGGTTGACGGTTTGTACAGGTGCCTGCTTGTGACTGGTTTGGGATATTTGGCTCCACAATATTCCTATTTTATTGTTTCTTTCTCCTGTGCAGACATGTATACTTATGCCATCTTAAAACATAAAGTTGATATAAAACAACAGAAGTATATAATATCTTTTGATAATGTGTAATCGTCGTAGTTTTTGCCAGATTAAGACTCCAATTTAAAAAATATATATTTTTTCATGCTTATTGAGGACCAGAGGGGAAAAATAGGAAGTTAAACAGTAGCAGGAAAGTTGGGTTGAGCTATAAGAATAGTAGTTGTTGAACAGAAAATTATTACATACTGCAACTATTACTGGCTGTGGGAAAATTCTGATATAAATTCAAAATTACTATTGCACATATAAATAAATGAATGTAGCTTTAAGATATGATCGTGTTACGCTTTTTGTTATGTTTTTTGGCCAATTAATGTGTTTCTTATACTTAGCTCATTTATTGAGGTATTGAATTTTAAACATTGTTTATTTTCCGTGTAACAGATAGTTATTCATAGATGGCCATGATGGGGAACTGTGTTAGCTGTGAAGGTGGAAGTTATAGGTTGTTTAGTCCAGCAAATACGTAGGATTAGGTAAGTTTGAAGAACTGGATATTGCTATGGATGGAGGTGTGAAGCTTGGATGAAATGTTTTTGTTGCATTATATTACCTCCTCGTTTGTGAAGCTTTATTTATTTCCTTTTGCTTTTTGCAAACATCATGTTATGAACATAAAGGGTGTTAACATCTTACTAAAAAGTTACATGTCCTTTTTGTCTCAATCATCATTGTTCTTGTTATAATCAAATCGATTGTTCTATTCTGTTTGGCAATGTTTTGTGTGACTGCATTTGTTCTTGTTATATGTTTTTGCGACATTGCCAGTTGCCCAAGTTCCCGACTTGCATCACTTTTGAAGTAAAATTCAAGTTGGAGCATTTTTGTACAAATCTGAAATGTAGGGTTTGTCAACTGAAGATTTTTGGAATCACATAATGAGAGTCACTCATTTTTGTTATCATTCCCTGATTTAATTATTTTATTATTTGCCAATATTCTTATTGCTATTTGTTTTATGTTGAGCGGTGTACTTGATCGCCGGTTTTAGCTATCTCACAAGAGCTGTGGCTCTTCTATCACTGCTGCATCTAATTTGATCGCAGTTAAGGAAATGAATTTGATTGCAGGAAGATTGGTGCCTCATTAACAACAAACTTTATGGTGCAAAACATGAAGGAATGTGGCTTCTTCTTTGGAATGTTTGCTTGCATCCAACAACTGTTAAAAGTTCATGTTTACATTCATCAGTATATATTACTGTTGGGAATTCTTTGGTTGGATCAAACTTTTTCTCCAAAATTTGTTTTATGTTATGTTATATATAGGCAACTTGTTCAACGCATGCACAGTAGCACCAGCTATGCTTGGAATTATAATGGTGTTGATTGAACGACAAGGATATATATATATATATATATTTGTGTCCAAATGAGAAAACTAGCTCCTGCACCCCCTCAGAAATGCGATTTTACTGCGTGTTTTTGCGAGATGTTGGGAGTTGGGAGGGATTGATGAGATAGAGATTTGATTTTTACAATATTTCGTGGTATGTGAGTGTTTAACAGAATTAATATGTATTCTGAACAAGTTTTTATGACTAGTGTAGAGTTATATGTAATGGATAGCACATTGAAAATGATATTGATCTTGGCAATTTAATTTTAAAAATAATATGAAATTGAGATTGAATATGTTGATTCTATATACAGTTTTGAGGGGTCATAATGTAAAAGGAAAACTCAATTAATGAAAAAAAACAAAGAGAAGTCAATTAATGAAGTATGTTTAAAATACATGGAAGTGAAGAGTTTTTCAAAGGTCGCAAAGTGGGCTTCCAACCAAACTAGTTTGAAGTTAAGCTAAAATAGATGGGTTTATCAAAGTCAAGCATCAAAACGGGGCTTTCAATAACGCATGGTTGTAAGAGTATGTACAGTGATGGGCTGAGAATGGAACCCAGCCCAATATCTTTACAAAAAAAGACATGTAGCCCAACATTAATAATAATAATAATAATAATTAGGCCCTCCCAGCTTTGGTTTGGTATATTAGCGAGTATGTTGTGATGAAATAATATTAGTATATTACTAGTAATTCAAAAAAAGAAAGAGAGGAGAGGAGGCCAAAGGCAAGTTCCAGTCCACTATGAGTCTTTCAGCTCGTACACAACCCTTCAACTTTCATGATTAATTTCAATTACATTGTGTATTCGATTTGCGTCCAATTTTTACCCTCAAAACCTAATCACAAGCGAAATGAGTGAGACGAGGAGTATGCATGTTTCATGGAGGGGATGGGGTCCAAATGGAAAGGTTAGTGGAGGTGGAGATCGACTTCTGGAATTAGGGAGATTAGCAGTAGTAGTCGTGGGAAACTTTAAGAATTGACATAAATGAGATTAGTCTGTTTGATTTAGTTTTATGAAAACAATTAATTTTTTTGTTTGGTATATCCTAGTGACTATAATGTGGCTCATCAACTGTTGGGAAGCCAATTGATTGGCTTAAGTGGTGGATTCATCTCATATTGTGTGTTTGATGACGAGGGGTACTGTACTGATCTTGCAAGTCCTCTAAGCTAGCTTTGTCCAAAACCATGAGCTGCATGTTTTGTGGGATTTTCAATTCCAAGAAGCTGTTGTTGGATTTGATATAGGATGCTTTCGTGCATCATATATATATATATATATATATATAAACGTCTAATAATTGTTATTTGAATTGTTATTTGAAGCCAAAGGAACAAATTAACGCATAAAGTTGAATTTATACAGAGTTTTTGATATAAAAATAATAGGAGCTTACACATTCGATCCCAAATCCCCAAAAGGAGACTCATAAAACCAACATGACAGTTATTTAGATGAAAGCACTAGGCTACATCATAAACTATTTGGAAAAACAAATGAAAGAGCATTATTGAATTACAAAAGTAGTACTCCGCCTAGCTGCAACACCATTTTCCATTTTTACAATCCCAGGATGAGCCACATCATCCTGCACTCACAAATATCCATCATCAATATTTTTTCAATGTATATATATATACAACTTTCAAATTCAAAGTAATCAGGTTAGCTAGCTAGAAGGAGGCCAGTGGATTATTCATCTTTCACAAAAACACAGTCACTACCTAAATAATGGGGACATTAGATTATCAAGGTAATTAATCCACCAAATGAGTTAGATTATTAATGCAATTTTAGTTTTTTTATACCAACTATATGAAAATGCACTGTCTATCTCAGATACAACACTTGTCATTCTAAAATTGTTCTTATGCAATCAGGGCGGAACCACTGAGGGCCAAGTTGGGGCAACCACCCCCACTCAAATTTAATTATTTATTTTGTATACATACATGTTCATAATTCTTAGACTGCCCTCTCTTAAAATTATCAAAACCTTAGATGGCCCCACTTTTTTTTTTTTCTTCTTTTAATTTTGTAGAGACATCTTTCATATATTTAAGCACCACTTTTATTATCATCAAACTGTTTTAAAATAAAATCTTTTCCTTTTATTATCATCTCTCTTCTCTCACACAATGCATCTATAATTTTCTTTTCTTGGACTATGCAACTGGCCGGATCCCTACTTAAAATTCCACCCATCAACCAAGTCTATTTCTTGGACTCTCTCCCAATCTTCTTCTTTCTTTTTTTTTTTTTTCTTTTTTTTTTTTTATATATTTTTTTCCCGGGTAAACTACAAACATATCCACACTCTAAGATACATATAGACTTTTTCTCCTAAGAGGATTTGAACCTTTAAATTTTGATTTGAAAAGAAGAAGAAGAAGAAGAAGAAGATATTACTCAAGTCAAAGACTAAGTGGTAACTCTTTCTCCCTCATTTTAAAAGAAGAAGTGTGAAGAGAAAAGTTCAATTTATTTCTAACATTTAATCAATGCACAAGAACAATCACCAATAGATGTAGACTAGTGGAATGATATATCTCATTATTTCTAGAAGAAACTCAAAAAACTACTTAGCAAATGACCATGGAGAATGTAGAATGATGAATCATTACCATATGAAACTTGCACGTACACATACCTAATTAATGTATTTAAATATGTCATAAACCAGCATTAAGAGGGTTATTTGGTTAACAAAGTAAGATAAGTTTTAAACCGTTCTACCAATAGAGTGATATAAACAACAGCATTGTACAAGCTATATATTTCTATTCACTAAGACAAAATGATATGAACATTGGGATTGAAGTGGTTTCTCAAAATAGACATTTTCAGATAAATGCAAGAAATTATTGGTATTTAAAGACCCAAATATTATATCCATGTCAACCCTTCATATGGAACCCCTAGCTAGAGTTGAAAACAAATTATAGATATAGGTTCAGTAATATCATTCCATATATATATGTTTCACTGGTTTTAAACAAAAAATGTGGGTTACATAGAGGCATGCATTTAGCAAGGACAAAACCAAGTACTATAATTTCTGTACTGAGAATTCAGAGGCAACAAGTCACAGTGGATATTCCTTATTTGTTAATGCATACACTATACCTTGTTGTTTTGCTAGTGTTATATATATATATATATATATATTTATATATATAATTAACTATAAAGTTCATGATGGTTTAATTTGGCAATAAATTAAATTCATTCAACCTTGGAATCTCTCTCCAACACCAACAACCCTATATGAATCATTATTTGGTTTAATTTCCCAATGGAGAACTTCTGAAAACATTTGAAATAACAGCACTTTGAGTAAAATAACTAAAGTAAAAGAAAAGATATATATGTTCTCAAATTGGGGGGAACAAAAATGGAAACTGGAGATATGTTGTTAAACAACAGAAATCAACTATTTGATCAGCATGCACCTAATTAAATAGGTTTAATGAAAAAGAAAACTGTACCTTTTTTTTTTATATATTATGAAACCAAGGCATTGTGACAAAATGGAATATTAGTAATGTCCCACAAAATCTAATGCAGACAACGAGCAATCTAGTAAAGGTGCATAGGACAATCACATTAGGATATACAAAATTTCTGAACTGCCCTTTCAAAGATCTTATGCATTACATGGAAGTTAATGGGGGAAATTACTTGAAATTGGGTGGTTAATTGTTAACATCAACTTGTTGGGCAATATTATTTAATTAATAATCTTTTGGTTTCTAGTACATGCATACATATGAGAGATTTGCAATGATGATTATTGTGATTTAAAAATATATACAATGTGAAAGGCCATACTGGAAAGCATGAATGGACCCTGATATATTACAATTTAAGAGATAAAAATGAAATCTTAAATTTATCAAATCATTGGTCTATTCTTATTAGACATTAACATGCAAGAGTGTGTGTGTGTGTCTCATGACAAGTCCATTGGGGCAACAAATCTACAGAATCCAAAAAGAACCTAAATTAATGAAAAGTTGACAAATAAGTGAGAAATATTAAATTAGGATTTACTAAATATACAGTCTTGCAAGAGAGAGAGAGAGAGCTATTGAGGGAGTGAAATGAAGATGTTAAGGATTACATTGTCACCATTGCATTTAATTGCTTTGAGTGTTGGAGGAGCTAGCTAGGTAAAAGGTATCTGATAACAGTACTCTAGCTCTCTAAGATTACTGATCACAATAATCTTAAAGTGATTATGCAAATTAGAGTTTTGCATTTCTGTTTCTAGGGTTTATTAATTATGAAGAAAAAGAGTGGAAATCAACCATTAATCTGTTTATTTCTTCTTGTTATCATTTGGGGTTTACAAATCCAATCTAATGCTTTAACAATTACCTAGCCATCTATGAAGTTACATACAAATAATAATATATAGAGTATTGAAATTCACATATATATAATTCATTATTCAACTTGAGAAAAATGAAATTTTTTTTGAGTCAGTGCTAGCTAGCTAGCCTAATCCTTGTAAGCAAATTAAATCTACTGAACTAGAGTAATATTATTAATAATTCCATAGAAATTTACCATTTTCTAAAGCAGGCATAGAATAGAATCAAGCGAAGCGCATCCTAGAACTGGATTCGTCAAAGTCATTGCTTTGATTTGGCTTCTTTTTCTTCTTATAAGGGATCCCCCTTGCCTTAGCTTGACACTCCTTCACTTCTCGAAGATAAACACGAATCGTGCTGCTAGCGAAAGGGTTTGTCTCCGGAGTGCCACCGTTCTCTTCGTAGGCGGCTCTAAGGCGTCCGATGAGTGCATCAAGGCTGCCCCAAGCCTGCCTTAACGGGCAGGTGCAAGGAGCAGGCGGCTCGGGCTGCCCAAAAAACATACACCCTTGTAAGTGAACTTTAGTCTTCCCAAACTGATCTAGGTATCTCAGGAAATCAAGCACATGGCTGCTATTGCACTGTGGGAGTGAGACTGGTGGCCTCTGGTTCTTCAAGTACTGACCAAAAGTATTCCAGTCTCTCCGTTTCTGTGATTCGTAACGGCTCAGGGTAGCCGGTTGATCGCCGCCAGGGGATCTTGATGACCCCTCGACCAAGTCCTTCCCCCTGTCACTACTCGACATGAGAGAAAATCAATTAAGATGGATCGGATTTATTTTATGACCTAAACAAGCTAGGCAATAATAAAACCTCAAGGTTGAGAGGTTAAAGGAATAGAAAGGGAGGGAATGGAGTAGTGGAGGAAAATGGAAATCACATCATCTGCCTAGCTCTCTCTATTGAGTTGACATGCAATGGGCCACACATGAAGTTGCTTTCTGCTCCTCTCTTTTTCATCTTTCATTTGTTGTCTGTATTTTAATATATATATACCACCATATATAACCATCAACTATACGTTTCTATTAATGTTACTTACAAATATTACTACTATATATTTGGTATGTGTGTGTATATTGTTGTTGTTTTGTCAATATTAATTGTACTTGCCATTTTGTCGCGTCAAACCAAAAAAAATAATAATAATCAGAGACATAATCACCATTATTGTTCTGATCTTGGTTACACACTTTGTGCGTGTGTGTGAATGTATGTTATATACATATATAGACAGATAAATATATTTTATTTTTAAAAAAGAAAAAGAAATAGAAAAAAGAAATGAAAATCTATTTGATCACTACATGTTATCCAAAAAATTAATATAAGAAACTATAATACCAAATTATATATAGAAAGCAATAGGGGTTGATTGATTAATTAATTAAGTTGTAATAAAAATAATAAAAATCGGTATTAGTAGTTAAATGAGTTGCTACGCTCGCGGAACCCGTTCTAGTATTTAAAAGTGTAGAAATTAGAGTTCACTAGTGAAAGGGTTGATGTGAATGAAATCTAGTACTACAAAATTAAAGGTTTGATGTTGCTGATGTTAAGGTTGTCCTTGTCAAGGTAACTGAATGTTCATAAAAACCCTACAATATTAAAACACACTCAGATAGTGAAATATATACATCACCTTCGAAGTCACCTTCCAGAAAAAGAAATACCTTTGAAGTCTGTCTCTTAACCACAAAGCCTTATGTCAGGGTTTCCGGGAGCATGATCGCATGTTGGCAATATTGATATATATGCATATATATATACAGCCTTGATACACATATATATGGTTACATGGTAAACATACATACATATGGATTCATGCAAACATAACATTAATAATACAGCTAGAGACATGTACTTCGTACTCTTTAATTAAGTGTTATTTTGAATAGTATCAGATGGTACGTTAGTATTATGAATTGTACAACTAACAAATTAGCTATTTGATACATATGGTAACCACCATTGACAACATAATCAGAACCTACGTTCCCTCTAATATTACATGAAAACTTCAGTATATAATATAGACAATGGGTTTAGCTAGCATGATATGAATATTTTGGGACCCAATGGTTACCTCAAAGATGCATACATAATGGAATAACACATTGGGAAATTTGTCTCAATAGTGCCTCCTATAATTAATAACACTTCTGGACTTTGCTTTATGCTATGAATGCAATTATAAAAACATTTTAATTTTGTTCTTAGGGTGTCCGGTATGCTGTAAATGTGGGCAGCGAAGAATGTGTCGAGCCAAGGCTTTTTGTATGAGATTCGCCAAACAAGGGGCCACACATTGGCCATTAAAACACTCGACACATGTAGGAGTGCAATAGCCAGCCAATGAGTCCTAGTTGAGTGTTTGCAGTTTTTTTTTTTTTTTTTTTTTTTTTTTCCTGCACTTCAACGGCTCTTCCAAATGTTTCTATTTTTTTCTTAGGCCTCACTGTTTTTATTTGAATCAATTGATACGAAATTAATTTTTAAAAAATTTAAGAAAAAGCTAACAGCAGACCTTTTATTGCAACGGCTAATATATATATATATATATATATATATATATATATATATAATTTTTTTTTATAAATTTCATTTTGAGAGATTGATTATATGGGAAATACTTTAGAAAGTTATGTAGCACATCTAACCTTATCAATATCTCAAATCAATGATGGGTTCTATTTGCCAACTAAATAGACACCAGGCAATAATATATTTTTAACATCGAATTAGATCGGATAATCATTCAAATTAAGATCGGAAGCTTATTACTTTGCTGACAATTACATATTTTTGTTGGGTCAAAAGAGTGTTTCTCGACTATTTTCTTCACAAGTTTTATTTGAACCAAATAATATTAAATGTGCTCCATTTAACAAAAGTGAAAAATTATTATAAAGTCAATCATACTTAAATGCTCTTAGATCTTAAATGTCTTGATTGATAATAAAATTAAATATTTTACTTGATTTAAAATTAGGATATGTGAAGTACACACTAGTATTAGGTAGTATCGTTTTCTTGGCCTAAGCCAAAATAGGTTGGATTTGCACATACATTTGAATTCTTACTTGCCATAATTTAAGAGTGAGATGTGGGGAAACCTGAGGTACACGTCAAGTTGATGGAAATGACATCCGACCAATCTTGTAGGGTCCCACGTTGAAGATACCCTCTGCGAAATTTGATGGTTGCTGACAGATGGTAGCCGTTCGATCTACAATTATGCATCCTAAGGTCTAGAATGATTTATTCGATTCTCAATATAATTTTCTAATTTTCTTTTTTGGCAAGTAATAATAATTTTCTTATATATGTATGTGTGTGTGTGTGTGTGTGTGTGTGTCGTAATAGTTAAAGATAAGCACTCTCCGTTTCAAATTAAACGATTAATTTTAGGAATTTAACTTCGATGTGTTTTAATATTTTTTATTATATTATTACTTAATGAATTATTAAATATGTTCAGGATGTGAAGATTTATTTTTTATAAATTTAATATAAAAATATTAAATTAATAATATTACAAATTTTTTAAAATAATAATAATACTTTTACTTTTTTAATAAAATATTTATTTTAAAATAGTCAAAAATTAAAAAAAAAAGAAAAAGAAAAAAAAGAATATTTAATTGGGACCGAAGGAGGAAGTATTCTCACATACTTACACTTGGCAATGAGTTGACAAAAATGGTGAAGTACCAATATCTATCATGTCATGACTCGATTGATACAATCTAGAGTTAAAGGGCCTGCTCTTGGCCCAGAATTAAAAGCAAGGAATAGTATAATGGATTCCATATATTTGTTACTTTAGTTTTAGGGTGTTTAAGGGCCAGGGCCCGTCTGCCAAGCATCCAAGTGGGCCAGTAGATATCCATTCATGTGGGCCTGAGGGCAGAAGATCTTTTTTTTTTTTTCGAATGGTAGAAGATCTTATTATCATGAGCTTGTTCAGTCCATGAAGTCAGGTCCCCCCAAACCAAAAAATAGAGCTGCCACGTGGAGTTATTTGGAGTCCACATACTAACACCACGTGGAAAACAAAATTTCAAGTGATGGGACTTGCTCGGGTTGTATTGGTGGTGACTCAAGGAGTTTGCTCATGTTAACAGATTTAAAATTTAGGGATCTGTCCATTCTAAAATATTTATCATTCTTATTATTTTGAGATTTTCCAAGATACATATCTCATTCTAAAAATAGATATACTATTTTTTATAATATTTTCAAATTCTCATTTTGATTAAATAAGTGCACTAGTTATCAAATATTATTTTGTCTTTTAACAGTGATATATTTAAAAACTTACTCTTATCAATACAAAAAAAAAAAAAAAATTATTAAAACCATACTACCATAAACAGTTGAATTTCCCCCAGATAGGTTAAGAATTTTGGAACAAATGAAGTAATAAATAATAAATAGAAAAGAATAATACTAGAGACTTTCAAATAGTTTGTCCACTTTCAATTTTTGGCCCAAAATTCCCCTAAAAAAATTAATGTAACACTCCCTAGAATATTGCATGTGGTGTTATAATAACGAAAATACCCCTTAATATAAGATTAGAATAAACACAAATAACTCATTCAGCATAATGTTGCAACGGCGTATCATAAGAAAATGAAAATACTTGGAACAATTTTAAAAAATATATCAAATCCAATCAAATTTTTACTTTCTAAAAAATTATAATGAAAATAAAAAAAATCAATTTTTTACTTATTAAAAAAGTTAAAAAAGTAAAAGAAAACCTAAAATGAAAATCATTTTAAAGAAAATTTATATTTTTGTAAAATTTATATTAAGGGGTATTTTTGTCATTATAACTTCACTTTGCAATAAGGGGAGTTTTAGGTCAAAAAAACCTTTTGTAAGAAAGTTTTATGCCAAAAACTAAAAGTGAAGGGATTTTTATGCAATTTGCCCTAGTTCGTCCTTGGGGCAAATGAAAACATGAATTTATAGAATTTGAAATTTTTGAAAAATTGGCCATCTAATTAACAAAATTATTTTACTTTTCCTATAAATTTTAAAAAAAAAAAAAAAAATTGAATTTGTAGATTTTACTGCTAATATTAAAGTTCTGATTTGATTTGTGTGAATTTTTATTGAATAGTCTTTTACATTTTAGCCAAATGTTGATGTTAACCTCAGTTTAATTTAGGATTTTGTTTTCGCATTTCATAAATTATTGGATTTATGAGATTTAAGCTCTAAAATTTGTTTTTGTTCTATTATATAATTTTCTTTCTACTTCTCTCTATTATTTTTTATGATACTTGTATTGTGTGCATGTTTTTGTTATGTGTTACTTTATAGTACACTTTGTTATTTATATTTTCGAATAAAATATTTTAATTTAAATGCATTTTTTTAATATAAATATAACATGCTATTAAATTCTTCATTCTTTGACCATTATTAATTGACCAAAATCATTTTTTTTTTTGGTGTTTGATTTTTTTTTTTTTTTTTTGTTTGGTGTTTGATTTTTTTGGTTGTTCATTCTTTAATTTGATTCAACGGTATTTTGTATTCCAAGAAGATATAAAATGCATATTTCTAAAATAAACCCTCTGTATAGGGGAAAAAACTAAGTACATCAAATTTCAATTGAAAATCACTAAAAATTTCATCTATTGATTTTTCTTATCTTTCAAATAAAAAATTTGAGAATTATTCTCGTAAGAACAAAATGAGTATATATATTTCTTACCAGGTAAAAGAAAAAATGATTATTGAGCACGAAAGCATACTAGAATTACAAATGTTGAAGAAGAAAAAATGTAAAACAATGCTCTCTCTGGATGATTTTTTA